GACAGCTAATATTTGCTGAATGCATGAAGGAAGTCTCCGCAGCCAGAGCTGGTAGAATAAACGGTTGTCTACGTTCCTACCTTTCAGCAGACTTCGCATATGTCGCTTAAGTTGTGAAGGTGTTCTGTCACCGAGGCATATGCTACTTAGTAGTTGATCGACAGCCTTCTGGTCAGATAACGAAGTAGTTTTCAGCACCTGCGGCTTCAAAACACCATAAGGTTTGTCTGGGTGGAGCTTTAATAGTGTCTCCCTCACTTGTTCAGCCACTTCTTCCGTCAAAACAGAGCTTGTGTATCCGAACTTTGTGTTTTGTGAAGTTATATGATTGGCCATGAAGAAATGTTCTAGACGACAAACCACAATTGCGGGTCATTAAACTTAAAACAAGGCATAGGAAGATTAATGGCACCCACGGACCCTAAATTCGAAAAGTCTTGATCATGACAGTTTAAGGACATCAGTACTGGTACAGCGAAAACAAAATTAAGAACAAGAGCAGGAAAAATACGATAAACAAGTGTGTCAATGCCTAACACAAAGCAGCCAGAGAAATTCTCAGTATATATGTATATCCGTATACAGTTATTAATGACTGGTTGCAGTATTCAAGAGAGTTTAATCACGTTGGGCTCACCAGTTTGTCGAGCTCTTAGATCTGACTCGAAATGCTACAAGACGACTCAGAATTAACCTGACATTCTTCTTCAATGAGCTGCACTAATTCACCTTTATTACCAGTGGTGAGTCTGAGTTCGAACGCAACAGATGCTATGAACTGCTCCACCTCACCCATAGCGTGTCAATGAACCTGTTTACTTGGAAACTTCTTTTTCGTCAAATTCTCTGAGATGTGGAAAAAACTTCTGAATCAACCTCTGAATTTAGTCAGTTTCTGGTTAATCTTTTATCATTTGGCAACTTAACCGGCCTAATGAGTACACCAACACTAACCTCCATGACATTTATGCGGTATGTTTGTAACTTGCACTCTATTCTTGCAGCTATTCTCAGTATATTGCCACTCTGTTTTCCGCTGTCGTTTTACACTCCTGTTGACCAATAGTGTTCACATAGCACGAAATTTACTAACTTTGTGCTTTTGAAACGTCTTTGTGGCCTCGGTGAACTGTTGTACAGGCATTCAAAACTGGTCACTGACACGAATCTTCCCCGTGTTACCAACCATATCCAGATAATCATAGTTCTCTGCCTTATCCTAAAGAAGAGAAGTACCATTGAACCATGGGTCGAAATTCAAACAGACATGCTCGCAAAAGCCTTGGCTAAATCCACAGTAGCAAAAGACTACTCCTAACCTGCTTTCGTTATTGAATGAAACTAATATGAGTTCCAGAACCAATTATTTCGGTGCAAATTGGGCACAACACCAATGTAAAAACTGACAAATGTTTTGACGAGCACCCCGATGATAAGCGCAACGACTGAGGATTATTTATGTATTAAAACAACTGTAGGTAGCGTTGATGCACAGATAAAAGCTGTGAGAGGCATTGTACAGACGGTTGAATCTATATTGGTGATTTTCAATAAGAAACCCTCAGCTGTTTTCAAACTCACAGAAACAATCCAAGACTTATAGCTGCAGGTGAACGATCTCCGCTCTAAGACCCTCTTAGTTGAGGCAGTTCTTGTAAACAAAGCGGTGTGCAGGACGTCACACCTTTAAAGATACTGATCACTATATTTAACACGACCCTCGAAGATACTGGATACAAGGTCCAGACCGAGCCTGATGCCACGCTGAAGCTGGGGAACTTAACCACTTACATCTCTTCCGAAGCCAAAAAGCAAATTTCAGCTGGCTAGGGGGCAATTGTATTTCAGGTAGAATGTCTATAAATACCGTGAAAAAGTAATTTTTAGCGCTGCTAACGCGTTACATATTCCATGCAGTTGCTTCAGGCCTTCGGAAAAACACCAGAAATACTATTGCCCAGTTCTATTTCTTTTCTACAATTAACAAACGGTTACCAAGTTTATGGGCTCTTGTAACACCAGCATTCTCATCGCCAAACTTAGGAACGTTAAGATAGTATCAGAAAAGACTGTTAACCAACGCAAACCTACAAAAGTAAAGGAGGCTCATAACCTACATCACCCAAAAACAACCTTTCTGCAGCCACCGATTGCCCAAATGCCTTGAATACCCAAACGAACCGGTCTCAAATCATTGTGCTGGGGCCTACTAGTTCTACCGCTGGCTCTATATGTAGTGGTAATATATTCGTTGGCCCTGAAAAATCTAGCTCCCCACCTGACATACAACAGCAGACATCGTTAAAGTGGAAAATCAAATATCGCAAAAAACCTACCATGCACAAGCAGAACAATAGGACTCAAAGTTACCCTGAAGCTAAGATGTTAAATCCCTCTTAAGACAAACTACAAGGAATCTCGTTCACACGATCTATTTAACTGAGCTCATAACTGAGGCTGTCCCAAGCACATGGGAAACAAGAAAAATAGTATGTGAGAATATTAGCAGGCAAACTCTCCAGCAGACCTCTTCCCCAGAAGACGTACATTCCAAGTCTATGCTTGCTTGACCCAGTTATGGGTCAAGATATTCGTCCTCTTTCAACATATGTTCGTTTCGAGTTTTTATTATTCGTTCTATGAAAAAACAAGTTATTCCTAAATATCGTCTATCAAGTAAATAATCACCAGTAACAGGAGAAACCTAAAGGAAGTAGTCTCTTTCACCTACCTAGGTGGCATCGTTTCAACTACAGGCAGTGGCACAGATGAGGACATCGAAGGCAGGATCGGAAAAGCAAGACAGGCTTTCACCAATCTGAAATAATCAGTGTGGAGATCTGCTGCACTCAGCACAAGATCCGGATCTTCAACACTAATTCAGTCAAGTCAGTATTCCTGTATGGTTCAGAAATTTGGGGTGTCATGAAAAGCATTTCCAACAAACTACAGACATTCATCAACAACTGCCTATGCTGGCTCGTTACTGAAGCTCAGATGGCCAGAAAGAATAATCAGCAAGGAACTCTGTCTGGTAACGACCCAACCAAGAACCTATCGCTCAACAAATATGCAGAAGGAAGTGGAGATGGACTGGGCATACACTGAGAAGGCCGACTGGGTACATCACGCTCCAGGCCAGGTACTTGAGTGGAACCCAAATGGGAAACGACGAGTTGGGCGTCCGAGGCGAGAACCATATGGAGGAGATTATGTGAGGAAGAAATGAAAGTTTTGGGCAGTCGTGGAGCGAGGTTCAAAAGACTGCAGAGAACAGAGTGGAATGGAGGTGTGCTAATAAAGCCCTAAGTTCCATAGGAACCCAAGGGAAAATAATCATTAAAAAATCAAGTAAATAAAACTGTATCACCGTGTGCTATTTATCAAATAAATAAATAAATCTAAAACGGAACTAAGCCCATTAAAACTATAAAAGTCAGCACCAATGTTGATTCTCGTCGAACTCTAGGTCATTGAGTTTTGCAGAATTATTCACCCGTACAGGGTAACACTACTTGTATACGTAATTTTTGTGACGGCCTCTAAATCTTATAAACATGAATCGACTTATCTGCTAAAAATGGGATGAGAATGTTGATTAGCATGCATTATCACTGAACACTTCTTACACCTCTGTTAATCAGTGTATTCCTTTATATATTATCACAAATTAGTTATCAGAAGTCTTAAGTTACTTAAAGTTTTCACACTGTTTTTGTCTTAGAGTCGTCTTTTCACCTTTTCATATGACGATCGCGGCAGCACCTAAGTTCCAGTCACATCAGGATGTATTCACTTAGCACACAGTAAGCAAGAAGTTGATGTGGGTTGTCAAGGTATTTATAACCGTAAAAAGTAACAATATAATGTTGCTTACTGATTTTTCGCGTTATGGAAAACAACAATCAGTGGATATCTTTAAAAAAAAAACTGTGTTTCTTTCCTAACATTTCAATAAATAATAAAGCAGAAATTATTGGGAGAAAAATAGCCAACCACTTATGAAAGAATACTCACATTTATTCAACAATCTTTGTCATGGTAACAAAAGTTGTCAAATTCATTTGTTTATTTGAAAGTATATCAACACATTAAATAATATTAATAATAACTGGCAAATGTGATGCCTAAATTCAAAAAAAAAGAGAATTAAAAACAAAATATTCACTTTTATTTAAAAAGCTATTGTAAGATAGACTATTGGCATCATTATATAGAAGAGAAATGACCTTGAGACAATGATCAAAATGATGAAAACAAGTAAATTTAATAATTCCGCAATAATTATAACTAGATATAGGATTCAACGATTTCGTGTTTGTTTAAATGCATATGTGTTTCACACAGGCGTTGTATACAAAATTAATTCAGTATATATATATATATATATATATATATATATATATATATATATATATAACATGTGCAGTGGTTTTTGTAGTCAGTATTAAGGATAAGAATGATATAGTCTGTACATAAAGAGAAAATAAATTAGTAAGAGAAGAAGTAGGATTGCCTGTAAGAAATGATCGCAACTAACACTGGAAAAGTGCACATACAAATTTTAAAAAAAACTGAATGAAATCATAAATCAACCCTGTATATGATTTCCAATATTTTGTTTCACTCTTTCAATCAGTATTAAAAGGGAAGATAATTTAAAATACCACCAAATAAGTTGTTACAAAGGTTAAGTATAAGTTAAATGGTTCAATTAAGCATTTTCTTTGTTATTGATAAATATAGTGACATGAGTATTTTTGATGTATTCAAAAGAGATGGTTAGGTCAGTTATAATTTGACGCCTCTTAGTTAAAGATTTCAGGTAATAATTGAATTTTAAAGTTAAAAGAGATAACAATGTGCTAGATTAGATGGTCCCATACAGTTGGGATTTTGCAGAAATACCTGCCATATTATGGAATAGTTAAAAAAAAAAATTAAATAACTGGAATTCAATTATTCAATATTGTGTTTGGAATTCCGTTGAAACTATCAGATCAATGATGTGACATTTTCTCTTCCATTAACATGGCACGAGTATTACTCTGAAGGAAAAAATGAAGATAGTGTTAGCATAGAATAAATTAGGTAGCAGAAATCATAATGGTGACATCAATAATGATTAAGAGGATAAAATCAAATCAAACAAAATCTACGTTTACTTGAATGATTCAGGATAGTATTCACCACAGCCTAACGTGAGTTGGAAAACCACTGAAAACCTGAAATCATTAGATATTCGTTTTGTCCTAGTGTGGGACTTCTCAGAGGTACTCACCCAAAACCTCCCCAGGGATCGAACCCGGGACCTTCAGATCCCACATCGAATGTACTAACTGTTCAGTCACTCGGTTAGAGTTCAGTGATCCACAGTTTCCTACTTCTGTCACTTAGCCATACAGCGGAAATATCCACAAAGATATTCAGTTGGTATCCTCTTCACTTCCCACTGGTTGACCCCGCAGGTCATGGCTTCTCATCAGAACTCCTGCTTAAACCCAATGGCCAGGTGGTTAACGCGTTCCACTTGAGATCTGAAGGTTCTGAGTCCGATCTCTAGCGGGGTCGTGGCTGTGGTCCCCACAGGTTCTTTATGGTCCCTTTACTGATGTCAGCCCGTGATGAATACTGCCCCAAAAATAAAATCCCCAGAAAACTAAAGGTTTATTGATGGTAAATGTCGGTGCAAACGCACTTTCTTAAGAAATTGACAATAAAAGTGATCTGTTATGAACAGATCAAGCACATTTATGTCAGTTCTGTTTTTTTCAGAAGTTTAGAAAAACTTGTTTTTAATTTATTTATACATAAAATATTTTATATACTTCAGGATTAAAATTTGACCTGATGAAATTGAATGAGTTGAACACTAAGTGAATGGATTATAAAGGAAATATATTTATAAAATTCCAATGATGCAGAAAAATAAGTTTCTGACTTTTCACAACCTCGTGGAAGCCGCTTCTTTAGAGAATAAAACCTGTACAAGTTGTCGCATATCTAAGTAGTAAATAAAGATACATCATGCATGATAATAATATGGGAATAAATTTCATCGTTACTACTTATTAGTGTGTGTGTGTGTGGACTCATGTGTAGGTGTGAAGAGTTGAGGAAATTACTCTGCATGGAAAATTCAGTTTGTTTTTATATGTATCATTGTTATGATCAGTGTGTGCAGCGTGTTATTTTGGATATACTCTTCAAGGTGGTTGGATAGTTAGGCCTTTCTTTCTGTTGAGTGCATTAGGATACAACATAGTGCGAAATTTCTCAGCTATGCGTCTTTCGTTATGGTTTGAAAATCCCTTTTGAGTAATTTTAACATTTTCAGTATCGATTTTATGACTATAAAAGATGGAATGAACAGAATTTTCTGATTTGATATGTAAGTTTTTCAGTTCTACGGGATTATTTGGAGTTCATTTTTCGTAGCTATCACGTTCTTCAGCATAAATGAGGATTTCGCGGAATAATTCCCCAACGATGACATAGTCTAATTTGTAGACAAATTTGTGTAGAAGTAAAAGGAATCCTATCTTTTAGGTAAACTAATGCATTCCTGAGAGTGTTAGTTGTCTTGTAGAAGGCTTTTACTCTGTGTTTTCTTAAAATTCTTTGTAAATCTTCAATTGTACACTTGAACGGAACCGTAGGACTATTGCGATAATCTAGAACTCTCGATAGCTTAATTAGAAGACGAAGTTTATCTGAACAATGTGTTGTATTTGCGCAATACATTTTGAACAATCTAATCATACATTTACTTGTCAAGTCAATATATATTAAACCGAGGACTGGGAGGGGGAGACAAATCCAACAATTAACGCAATAGGGGATTAAAATTATGAAAGATGAGAATAAACAGGAAGTGACATACTTGATCCTAATCTTGGTAAGAAAACAAAGTTTACTAAGGTAGGTGTAGTGTAAGAACAAATTATTTTTGTACACATAAAGGTGGTTTAAATTTGTGTATGGCTATGACTTCCGCAAATCTCAGAATACACCCCTAATTGTTTCTATCTAAAACTTTGAAAGCTGTTTGAACATTAATTTTGTGACCTGTTTCTATGATATGTTTAGCTGTATATGAAGAGGGTCGTCTCCCACTGTTTCACACTCCATTTGTTTTTGAAGCCATTTAGGCATATGTTCTCCCACCCTCAACTGCATGATGTTGTTCCGATAAACTTCGTCTTCTAATTACTCTACCAAAATTCATAAAAGGGACTGTTTCGAATCTAGGACTCATCATTTGATCTTCTTCATGGATCCATTATGCTCACAGATTTTAGCCTTTTGAATGATATTCTCATGGCAGTTATTCGAATGCAACACAAATGTTATGTTTCGTACTCCCACTTGTTTATCGTTATCATTCATGACGAGACTTGTGGCCCTCATAAATAAGTTCCTAGCAAGTGAATGTTCATCACTGAGTGAATGTACTAAGTTTATTGGTTTACGATAAATCAATAAACCCAGATTTTCATTTCCATTCTTTTTAACCAAACAGTTAAAAATTGTGGTTCATCACTTGCATTTTCACATGTGAGTTGGATATGTGAAGAATGAGTATTCAATAATTTCCAAAACGTCCTCAGGGTTGATCTTTTTAAAATTACAAATGTATCATCTATATATCTGAGTCAAATACAGTTGGCTAAGATCGTGGTTTTAATATGAAACATGAAGAGGTTTGCAACAATAGAGAACACAGGGAAACCAATTGCTACTCCATTTGCTAGTTCATATAATTCCCCTCTAAACTTGAAGTGTTGAATTTAAAATAATGCAGAATTTACTCAGATTTGGAGGTCTGAGTGCGAGAACTAAGTGACCAATGATAACTCTAGGCTCAAGTTGATATTCATCATGGACTGACATCAGTTAGAGGAATATTGGAAGCCTAGGAGCACTGGATTGCTTCTTCGTCCTAGTTTGGGACTTCTCAGCGGTGCGCACCCATGACCACTTCAGGGATCGAACCCAGGACCTTCAATTTCTAGGCAGATTTGGTGGACGTGAGGACAGATGCTCAGCGATGACAATAGGTGATGGTCGCGCTAGGTCGTGAACGAACAAAAGTTGGAAATATGGACCACTGGATTTCGACCTGATGGCTCAATGGTAACGTGCTGGTCACGGAACCCGAAGGTCCTCGGTTCATTCTTTGGCCGTCATGGGTGTGCAGTGCCCAAGAGCCCCATACTAAAACGAACCATCTGTCCAGTGCTCTCAACTTCCCAATGAACCTCCAACTCATGCCACTCCATGATGAATAAAAACTTGAAATCAATAAATCCCCATAAACCCCCAAATTAAATGAATCTAGTGCTCACTGATGACTAGCTTCGAGAGATGATTTCTGAAGGTTCCAATGAGAAGTCATGACCAGTGGTGTAAACCTGGTGGACGTGAGAACAAATACTCAAGGATGACATTGGGTGATGGTCGCACTATGTCATGAACTGACAGATTACTAACAGTACATACCCTATTCATAAATGTACTATGTTCTGTCAAAGTTATCGGCTTACTTCAACACGTCGTAGTTGCTACCTTGAAGTATTATGAACTGGTAAAGGTTAGGTAAATATTAATTTTTGACAATATGATCGAAATGACAAAATTGTCAGAGAATCTAATAGCATGAATAGTTAAGTTTGGTGAAGTTATTCACCGCTCCACATTTGAAAGACAATATTTGATAAATTAATCTTAAAGTCAGGTATTCCTATAGAAAAATTACAAAAGTCAACTGATTGCTTACCAACTGCTTTTGTTGTATTTGTAATTGATCACGTTCAGTGCGTAATTTATCAAGAGCTTGATTAGAAGCTGCATTCTTTGGCGCTGTTAATTCCATTAAAGCAATATTCGCCTCTTTTTCACACAAGGAGGCAGTAAGAGACTCCAATCTGAAATAGTAGTCAAAATGTAAAGTTACTGCTGTTCAATGTTCACAAATTAAAAGTAGTGGCAAAAATAACAAAGTATTACTAAGAACTAATAGCTAGTTAAAAAGCGTTTTGATTTGTTTTGAAATTGCACAACAGTACAGACCTGTTACTATTTGTATGATAAATTTACTAAAGTGACTCGACATCAGGTGATATCATAGATTTATGAGATACATTTATGTCTCTCATGCGACCAACAAATTCAAGAGTATCATGAAGAGATTGGACAGTGTTGTGTCTTCTTATAGGCTTTAAGATTTCGGTTAGCTATTTCGTAAATAGGTCGTAAGGAAATTCATACATGTCTAGAATCAAATGAAAGAGTAGACCAATTTTTTGAATTTTTCGGCAACCCATAAATTCGTGTAGCTGTCGAATCTATTGGTTTGATGCGTTCGTAAAGATCATTGGTTTTTGGCTGATCATTTTTTAACATTTCTAAAATATTACCAAGTTATTGTTCAGTTAGTATTATTCTTTTGAGGTACGGACAAGACTGTGAATGTAGTCATCTTAGACAGAAGTGTTTACATAGACAAAATGATGACTCTATTCTCACACAAAAACAATTTCTACAAACCTGCAAACGAGAAAAAACCTCCGCTAAAATTACATTAACGTGGTATTAAAAACTGAAAGTTAAGCTTTCAGAAAATTAAATATTGATAAATGAAACCAATTAGTAAGAAATAAAAGTTTTTAATTTACATATTTACGCTAGCGTGAACACAGTGTTTAGACTACCACCATTGAGAAAGAGTAAACTTTGCTCATCATTTAGCGTAAACGGTCAACAACTAGCCATGTTTGGAAGGAGTATATGTAAATCCAAAAGAATATTACGCTTCATTATGATCATTATCACTAATGAAAACAATTCACTGAAATGTATACTTACTTGATTGCTAAAATTTCATCAGATTGATCTTCAACTTGTTTATTCAACGTGGTAATACGTCTGTTCAACTGTTCAATTTTATCTTTACAAACACTGTGTTCAGCTTTCAATTTCTCAAGTTCAATCAGTGATCCTTGAGTCTAAAATATGATTGAATATGAAAATATTCAATTAGTTAACTTTCCTTTTAAATAAGATTTTAAGGAGTATCGAGTCAGTATAAATATTAATTACAAAGATTAAAAATGATATAAAATTTATAACCTTTTGATATTTACATTGTTTTAATATTCCTTTTGCTATATTATCCCCAGCTGTGTCACTGAGCTTCCATCTGAGAATTCCATCTTATCTGATTGTAAGTGTTAATTGAGTTATTTCAATTATTCCAAAAGGTGGCCAGCCGGTTACGAGACTATATATTGCAGTGCAGTTTGATTGATGTCCAATGACGTGAGACAATCAGCAGGAATCCCTAAATCTTTGTCGCACTTGTTGGCAAGGCGTACATACAACATTTAGTGAATTCATGTCCCTTCAGATATCCGAACTTGAATCAACCAGTGCTAGAAAACGATCGATCGAATTTTGACAGCAATCAGGATTAGACACCATGAAATTGGTCACCAATCAATATATCTGATCTAATCCAACAGGAATTCAAGGGCTAGTTGAAGTTCTCAGTAGTAATGTCTCTGAAGGCAGCATTGTATGACGACGGTTTGAATTTCTGAGGAGAAATAAATTATCTTCAGGTAGCAGACACCCCTTACTGAGGAGTGCAAATAAGGACGAAACCCAGGTGCAGAGCTTCCTGCCGATTGCCTCCGACTGCTTGACACAATTTCTTTTTTACAGAAGACCCAAGATTGTCACGTGATAGCCTTCGTAAGACCGATGACCAACTTTATCTCTTACCTTCATGTTAGATTTGGCACGAAAAATAACGCACACCTACCCATATTAAAATAAACATGTGAAAATTAAAATCGTGTATACATCCATCGTAAATGGTTATAAATTATGTTTAGAATGATCATTAAAACAAGAGTGAACAGGAACATGAACTACACGATCTCGATTCCACTAACAGACTTGCTATTTTAAATTTTGATCCTTCTCTAGGATAAAATTGGATTAGGTTTTTCATTTGTTGCAGCATATGTGTATGCACTGACAAATGTTGTGTGTCATTATGACAGTTAAGATCTACACAGTCAGAATTAAATCTCTGTAAGCCTAAGCGGTTTCATTGGTTGGTCAGTTGACAGTTGGTTTAGTGATAAATTCACAACTTATGGCGTCAACATTTTAAACAAGCAGTATATTAAACCAAAGAGCATCTCATCAGTGACAGATATGTATCTCCTTCGAGACCTAATTTACAACAGTCACTATTTCTTATTCTATCATTCATTCTTTCAGTCATTGAATGAGACAAAGACTATTTAAATGCTTAGAGCATATTGGTAGGATACTTCCATTTAAACAGCGTGCATGGTTGAAAGTACTCATCACCTGACATAAAAAAACACAGTCTCAAGTAAAAGTGGATCTATTCCAGTTGTCACTAAACCCAACACTGAAGGAAGAAGTGATTAAAATAAATGAAAAGAAAAAGGGGGAACAAAGAGGAAACGAGATAATACAAGGTACAAAATCTTGAGGGAGAGAAATGAGCACCAAGAGACAGAAAACTGTGACTTCAAAATGAATAATCAATCAGAATCACCAAGCTCTAAAAACGTATCATATCTATATAAAGTAGAACAGTAAGAAAACATCGCAAAATTTGGATACAAGATGGCTATACATATATGACTTGTCTTTAGGGGTTAAGTTAGTGTTGTTATTAGGTGAAACTGGTGAACTGCTAATAAATTCTCCAAATCAACTATACTCAATATTCATGCTGACCTTAACAGATTTGATGGACCCATTGAGCTGAAGGTACATGGTTTGAAATCTGCGTCATTTGGTGAGTTGTCTGTCTACCTTACATTGCTCGATCTTTGTTTAGCAATCAACGTATGTTCTTCAATGGTCTTCCACATGTGAATGTCATCTAAGTATAACGAACTAGGAGTCAGCAACTGTATCTGCATAAACCAGGTTTACAAATTCTGTTCATTTATAGCTAATATCCTCTGAAAGAACATCCAAGTAATGGTAAAGCTGAAAAATGGAATATTTTAAGAATGATTTTTCTTTAATAACTCTGTTGCTTTATTTACGCTTTGCATATATAGCATGATGGGTTAATAATGCTCGGCGAATCTGATTATTTGTTCAAGGTTATTCCAAAGGCCATTGATTTTGAGTCGCTGTTCCTTATAGCTGAGAAGAAATGAGTGAATTTGCTTTGATCAATGTCCTCAAAAATCTTCAAATACTCATTCCTAGCATATTTAAAAACGGTATCAAGAAGCTGGTATTCCTCTATATCACTCAGACTATGAGTTGGCAATTTCGTGGATTACTTTAGTAAAGTAGTGCAAAGATAAATGAGGCAATCTTGAAAATTCGAACACATGTCTTTTGATCTCAATAACATGGGTGTTCATAATTTAACCATTTAAAAAGGGATACTGTTAGAAATATGGTCTAGAATAAAAGATCTGTACTCACTTGATCAGATCGTAATTGGCGTATAACACGATCTCTTTCCTCCAAGCCAACTCTTTGTTCATCTAATACTTGATTCATGTTGGCAGTTTCTTCTTCGAAACGACGCAGCTGTGATTGCATAGCTTCAATTCGATGCAGGTGCTTTTCTTGCTATACATGTAACATGAAAATAAGCGGGAAAATGAATGGAAGTGCGGCAGAAATTGATTCAAAAACTTGAGTGATTTAGTTAGGCTTCATTGCATAACTTTTCTGGGAGATAGTACTGGCATGCACAGAATCATCCCAATGAGTCAATTAGTAGCATGCTTCTAAGACTTAAGAATAATGCAGCATTTGTTTCCAGTATAAATTTCCATTCTGTTGTTTTTTACTTGAATATGATAATAAATTGGGGGCCTTTTAATTGAAGCACATGCGTATCACAAAACAGATTCCTGTAGCAACCAGTATAAAGTGATAGACTTGGACAAAACAAGCTCTATCTCCCATTCCTAATGAAAAGTGACACTGATATATGTCTAGTACAAATGAAAAATGTTTCTGTTCAGGAAGACTGTTCGTAGGCAAATGGTCAATTCAAGAAGGGTTTGCATCCAAACTAATATTATCTGGAGAGCTGTTAAAAATATGAAAGTAGTGAATCTCAGTTTGGGATTAACATGAGACTCTTCAGTTTCAAGAATAATGAGTTTGCCAACCTATTATATTCGATAACACCATAATAAGAGGTGCCTAGAATTGTAGTTTGTCGTGGTGGAGCTGTGGCTTGTTTGTTTATGAAGCTGACTTTCAACCAGTGGGTCACGTGTTCGAAGTCCGCTCCCACTATTAAGGTGTGAACAGCCAGTTAGTATCATTGGTCTTCACACAAAAAGTGTGGATCACTGCCTAGTGTACGAAAGTTCACAAGGTTTCTGAGTTCATTCCGATCCTGAGTTTTTCTTGCCTAGATTACAACCCGAAAGCTACTTGAAAATTTCTATACCAACAGACTTGAAAGTTCACAGCTTTCTTACACTTGAGGTTCAGTTTGTATACTGGTGAAAAATTTCAAACTAGACCAATGCAGTCAATTATTTTTCAATGGTCTTCCAGCTAGTGTGAGTAGTGTATCTATCTTGTGTGAACGAACATTCAGTTTTGATGTTTAGTTGAATGAAGAGTGAACTGCAGTATCCAAACAGATAATTTGCCTATTGGTATTGTATTAAATGACTTATTGTCCTCTAATAATAATAGGTGATGCTCAATACAGCAAAATCATGAACTACTCATAAAACAACTCCACTAATCAGTGTTGTTTATCATACAACTTTTAATGCAAATTGAACAGTTTTTGTTTACTAAAAGCTTTAAGCAAGAAGTAGTGGCATGCAATAGAAAGAATTTGTCCAGAATTACTTAATAACATGTACTCACCTCACTGAAATAAATAAATTCTGAGGAACAAAGAAAATGGAACTAAAATACTCAAGAAATGGACTAGTTCCAGTTATTTTTTGTTCATAAGTATTTAAAATGTCAGGAGGTTTCTCAGTAAGCTGAAGTAATGTATTAAATCTTGGTTTGATTCAACTCTGTGTCTGCAGTGATCAGTCAAATTTCGATATTCATTGTTGGAGTAAATGGAATAATTGTTAAATAAATGGTTTAGATTTTCAATAGTAGCCAGTGATAAGCATTAGGAGTTAGTTAAGAGGATGTCCTGCTTCATATATTCACATAAATTAACAGAGAAAGGCTGCAACTCTGAAGAAATTCATTTCATTTGTGAAAAGTGGACCTGTTTTGCTCTGCAAAGTTGTGTCACTTTGTTTAGCATTCACCTTTTTTTGCTTTATGAACAGGCTACAATCAAATTTTCTGCTACGACAATTACATCAGTCATCAATCCTAAACTGATTAGTGTACTTGATCTGGTTACACAATGAGTTAATCGTGGTATGATAGCGAAGTTTATGATGCTAGCACTACCAATAGAGACTTGAATCTCCCAGGCAGCGTCCGTCTCTTCAAGATTGTACATGCCTTCAGTAAATGACTGCTGACTGCTCAACGTTTTGACTGATGGCGACTGCATTAGGTTTGCTTATTGGTTCACTGGTGCGATTCAGTATTGTGTTCTAGATTTTGGTGAGAGCTTAGGATTATTGTGTAACCATCTTGCCTACTACTAATCGATCAACATGTCTGCTTCACAAGTTCAAGTCCTACACTTTCTACTTTAAGGACAAGAATAGAATTTTGTGGATTTATCTAATCCTGGCTTCCATAGGGCTGTCAATCAGAGCCAATGGATCCAGTAATCTTTTTAAAATAGGAATAGAGTCAACATATTCCATTTAGGGATGTTACAGATTATAGAAAGAATATAGCATGACTATAATAGCTAAACTATTCTGAAATATTTGTTATTAAAAGATTGATAACAGTGTTAATAGTCTTCAAATGTGGAGATGATTTTACCAACATTTATATTTTATTCCTACATACTTTAATCCCAAATACAGAGAGGTCACTATGAGCATTGTTATGAAGACTAGTGTCACTAGATTAAGTGGTTGAGTAGACCAGTGTTGAGTTGCCATTTTAGACTTCCACTGAGGTGCAACTTTCCCTAATGATCGTCTGTAAAACCTTTTGTTCACTAGGATATACACTCTTTCTGGGATACTTTTCAATTATATTTGGCTCCTTCTTTAACTTATTTGCAGAAAAGACGTTACTAGCAATACTGTAAAGTATTTTGACTTGTGCACACTTGAAGGTAAGATGACGAAAAACTGTGGTAGCTAAAGAGTTTTACTGTCCGTGTATCGCCTTTATGTATGGTTTTTTAAATCGTATCATGACTTCTTTTTTCCAATTTGAGGTTCAGAAAACTGATTTTGTTGTCCTGCTCATAATACATTGTAAATTTAATGTTGGGATGAGCCTCCCTTAGCTTGTTAAACAAGTGAGTTGCATGTTTCATATCATCACAAACGGCAAATGTGTCATCAGCGTATTTGTGATAAACAACTGGTGTTCCTCTGGTTACTGAGCTCAGGCGTTTCTATTCAAGACAGTTCATGAAGCTGGTTAAAGATTTAGAGATGGATATCTTTTGTGTAAAAGGGTAATAACTACTTCATTTCAACTTTCTTACGGCAATAGATCAGAGGAGCACCAAAAAGAAGGATCCATGAGACCAAATTTGTATCTGTATGCGATACCATAATCTCACTGAGCCAGTCCAACTGGCTAATTGAAGTTATGAATCTATGTGCACTTTTGGCATCAAGTACCTTAATAGAACTATGAGAATAGCACCCGTTTGGTTCATTGAGCATACATTGAAGAACTTATGCATGAAATGAAGCACATTTCTAACCAGTGCAATCAACAGACACTTCATAGATATAGGTTATCAAGTTGACACTTTTAGTTCTTCTAAAATAATGAATGTGCAGGACATATCTGGACTACTACTTTTTACAGAGGCGAATGTTATAGAGCACTTTCAATCGAACTTTTGCATATAGAGGAGGAGTGTGATGAGTCTGTCACTTCCATGGTGACTATGTTTTCATTTTGTTTCACTTTAATTATCAAATTCTTCATTTTACTCACTTACTGATTTCAACCCACTGAGTTGATCACAAGTAATCTTATGGATATAATTTCTTCGAATATTACGAAGTGATTTTTTCTACTGCCTTCCCCTGTGTACAGTTCTTGAGCCTACTGTTACCTCATGTGTAAATTGTCGATGATTTTGATGTACAACTTTAGATTATTGACTTTCTTCATGCTTTTTACTCCTTAGTTTTAAATTACCTGATGTGTTTGATATAACATAATAGCTTGGAGTGTGTGTTTAGATTTATATTATATTATTAGTCCCTTGGGTTCCTAGTGGAACATAGGGCTTCAGTAGCACGCCTCCAGTGACCTCTGTTCTCTGAGATCTTTTGAACCTGGTCCCACGACAGCCCACAACCTCTCATTTCCTCCTCGCACGACCTCCTCCATGTCACCCTCGGACGTCCAACTCGTCGCTTCCCATGGGGATTCCACTCGAGGGCCTGACGCGTGATGTCCTCAGTCGGCCTTCTCAGTGCATGGCCAATCCATCTCCACTTCTTCCTGCATATTTGTTGCGTGATAGGTTCTTGGTTGGTTCGTTCCCAGAGTTCCTTGTTGCTTATTCTTTCTGGCCATCTGATCTTCAGCAGCGAGCGTAAGCAGTTGTTGATGAATGTCTGTAGTTTATTGGAAATACCTTTCGTGACGCGCCAAGTCTCTGAGCCATACAAGAGCACTGACTTGACGTTGGTGTTGAAAATCCGTATCTTGTTCCGCATGCTGAGTGCAGAAGATCTCCACACTGGTTTCAGGCTAATGAACGCCTGTCTTGCTTTTCCGATTCTGACTTTGACGTCCTCGTCCGTCCCGCCTGTAGTTGAAACAGTGCTTCCTAGATAAGTGAAGGAGGTTACTTCCTTCAAGTTTCTCCCGTTGACGGTGATTGGAGTTTGTTGTTGTTGTTGTTGGTGGTGGTGGTGGTGCGGTATCTTCATCACTTCTGTCTTCTCTATATTCACCTGAAGTCCCGTCTTAGCTGCCTCTTCTATCAACTTGTTAGTTTTTGCCTGCAGATCTTCAAGTTTGTGTGACATTAGGCATAAGTCATCGGCGAAATCCAAGTCTTCTAGGTTCTTTTCCGTCGTCCAGTGTATCCCCCTCTTCTCGCTGCCTACTGTTTGCTGCATGATCCAGTCCACCACAATAAGGAATATCATGGGGGATAGTAGGCAACCTTGTTTCACTCCTGTCTTCACTTCAAAGGCATCACTGAGCTTCCCATTGTGGATTACTTGGCATGTGGCATCTTCATATAGTTGTTGAATGAGGCGGATAAAGGTTTGCGGTACTCCGTAGTATTGAAGCAGTTTCCAAATTACTTCTCGGTCGACGCTGTCAAAGGCCTTCTCAAAGTCGATGAAGTTGAGGTAGAGAGCTGATTGCCATTCTATGCTCTGTTCTATGATGATACGAAGCGTTGCAATTTGGTCTGCACATGATTTGTACTTCCTGAAGCCTGCCTGTTCCGGTCGCAGTTTTGAATCCAGTGCGTCTTTAAGCCTCTCCAGGATGATGCGGCTTAATATTTTACTTGGGGTGGACAGGAGAGTGATTCCGCGCCAGTTCTTGCAAGCACTGAGGTCTCCCTTCTTCGGCAGTTTGACAAGGTAACCCTTCTTCCAATCGCCAGGTACCTTCTCTTCCTTCCACACCTTCTGCAATAGTGGTGTGGTGAGCATGTCCGCTGTTGTCTCTGCATCTGTTCTCAGTGCTTCTGGCGGTATTCCATCTGGTCCTGCTGCTTTCCCGCATTTCAGTAGCTTTATGGCGTTCAGGACTTCCATTTTCGTTGGGGGATTAATGTTCACTTGTAGTTCAGCGGCTGCAGGTGGTATTTCTGGACGAAGTGCAGGTGGTGGTCGATTCAAGAGCTTCTTGAAGTGGTCGGCCCATCGTTTCCTCTGTTTCTCTTCTTTCTAATTAAATTTCCTTCTTCATCTTTTATTGGTTTCATCTGTGTTGGTCTCTTCCCTGATAGCAACCTGGTTATTTGATACAATGTCGTCAGGTCTCTCTTACCTGCAGCCTGTTCTGCTTCACTTGCCAGTGTTTCGTAGAAGTGTCTTTTGTCTTTGCGTGCACTCTTCTTCACTTCTTTGTCCAGTGTTTTATACATTGTGCTCAGTTCCTCTTGTCGTTGAGCATCCTTGCACTGGTTTATCTTCTGCTTCACCATCCTCCTCTCCTCTATCAGCTTCCAGGTATCCGTCGAGATCCATTCCTTGTCTTCTTTCTTCTTCCTTCCTAATACTGTTGTGCAGGTTTCTTTCCACATAGCTTTCAAAGACTTCCAGTGTTCTTCCACACAGGTTTCTTCAGGGATGTTGCTCGATGTCTCCCATTTTGTCTTGATGGCTGCCTTGAAGATCTCCTTTGTAGTTTCATCCTTCAGTTTCCGAGTGTTGTACTTGAATTGAGGTCTATCACCAGCTTCCTTGAAGGCTTTTAACTTGATTTGGAAGGTTCCTTGCACTAGTAGTGGTCTGAACCTACATCTGCTCCTCTTCTTGACCTTGTGTTAAGTAGACTGCGTCTCCATTTTCTTGAGATTGAGATAAAGTCGATTTGATTTTTAGTGTGTCCATCTGGTGAAATCCATGTCGCTTTGTGGATATCTTTGTGCCTGAACACACTGCCTCCAATCACCAAATCGTTGAATGCGCAGAATTCTGCAAACAATTCTCCATTCTCATTCATTTCACCTAGCGCCTCTCGACCCATGGTTAGTTCTCTTCCCGTGTTGTCCCCTCCCAGTTTGGCATTCATGTCGCCCATCAGAATTTTGATATCGCCAACTGACGTCTTGTCCAGTGTTGATTGAAGTTGTCTGTAGAAATCCTCCTTTTTCTCTTGCTCTGCATTATTTGTAGGTGCATAACATTGTATGATTGTGACCTTTCTTCCTTTTGAGTTGAATCTTGCTGTCATGATCCTGGAGGAGATTGGTTCCCACTGCATGAGAGCCTTCGATGCTCTTGAGGACATCATGATAGCCACTCCCTCAGTGTGCTCGTGGTTGGCGTCTGGGTGACCGGAGTAGATTATTGATTCTCCAGTTGACAGTTTGGAGAGTCCACTCCCATTCCATCTGCTTTCGCAAATCCCAAGCACTTCGATGTTATACCTTCTCATCTCCCTTGCAATCTGGGCTGCCTTACTGGGTTCAAACATCGTGCGGACATTCCATGTCCCCACGTTTACTTTCGCTTTCATCGAGAGAAGACACATCGGCCAATTGGCTTCCCGAAGGCTTTCACCAACTGGCGTCATTTCGCCTCTCCGATTCCAGCGGGGAATAAGTTTGTTTTCATTTTTTATATTTTGTTTGTGCTTTGAAGTTTCTTTAGCGGTTAGATTTGTTTTACGGGGTAGGGTTGCTAGCCCTATGCCCAACCTTCCCTCTTTACCCGGGCTTAGGACCGGCTAGTAACTAGTAAACTAGTTAACCAGGCGAGGTTGTGTGTTTAGATAGTTTTGCCTTAATAACCATCGTAATTTAAAACTATATGCAGACGATAAATGTTGATGAAACAAAATGATGTCAGTTTATTGTGTTATTCTAGACCTTCTTGGTACGGTCAATGATTTAGTGATCATGTTCTTCCTCCACTCTATGACATTTAATTTTAGGAGTATTACTCCGTTCTACCCGGTTGGGTAGTTGTGTGGTAGAGCACGTATAGCGATAGCTCTGCTTTTCTAAGATTTTTTTTATCGCAGTACGATCTATCTTACTGTATTTCTTTACAGTTTTATGCTGTGCTTTACTGACTGATTGACAATGAGGAAAAGTATACGAAGAAGTATACAATGATGGATACTATGAAGATAGGTAATCTAGAGAAAAACTCAGCTATCACTGAGCATGCACTGACTGAATACCACAAACCTTTATCAACCTCATTCAAAAACTATATGAGGGCACTACATGCCAAGTAATTCACAATGGGAAGCTCAGTGATGCCTTTGAAGTGAAGACAAGAGTAAAACAAGGCTACCACATACTATCACCCATGATATTCCTGATTGCGGTCCACTGGATCATGCAGCAAATAGTGAGGAGTACGAACAGGGTGGATACGTTGGCTGGACCGAAAAAGATCCTAGAAGATTTCCATTTCACCAACGATGACTTTTGTCTAATGTCACACAAACTTGAAGATCTACAGGCAAAATCCAACAAGTTGACAGAAGAGACAGGGCAGTGAAGGAAGACGGGACTTCAAGTGAACGTAGATAAGATAGAGGTGATGATGATACCCAACCAACAACAACAACAACAACAACAACAACAAATATGAATCAGCATCAACAGCAGAAACGTAAACGAAGTAGCCTCCTTCACCTTTCTATGAGGCACTGTTTCAAATATAGGCGACGGCAGAGACGAGGACGTCAAAACCAGTCAGGATCGCAAAGACAACAAGACAGGTCTTCCTTCATTAATCTGAAATAATCAGTGTGGAGATCTACTGCACTGCACTGCATTCAGCATAAAGCGTGAACAACATCTGGATTTTCAACACCAACGTCAGTCAAGTCAGTGCTTCTATGTGATGGTTGATAGACTTGGCGTGTTATGAAATGCATTTCCAACAAACTACAGATATTCATCAACAACTACCGCCTACGCTGGCTCGATACTGACACTGAAGCTCAGATGGCCAGAATAATAAGAATAAGCAACAAGGAACTCTGGCCTGGTGACGACCCAACGAAGAAGCTATGGCTGAACAAATATGCACTGGAAGGAAGTGGAGATGGATTGGGTATACACTGAGAAGATCGACTGGGGACATCACGCGTCAGGCCAGACACTCGAGTGGAACCCATATGGGAAACGACGAGTTGGTCGTCTGAGGTGAGGGTGACATGGAGAAGATGGTGTGAGGAGGAAATGAGAGGTTGTGGGGAGTCGTGGAGCCAGGTTCAAGAGATTGCAGAGTACAGAGTGGAGTGGAGGCGTGCTACTGAAGCCCTTTGTTCCATTAGGAACCCAAGGGACAAATAATAATAAATAATACATTACAGACATTTTAAAAAATCCAACTATTATTGATAATTAAAGAATTAAAAGTTATTAGAACATGAAGATAATGTTCAAAAGCTGTATGATTACCTTGCTATAATTAAAAGCAACGAAGTTTACTCAAAAAACTACTCAATACATAGTGCTGAATCACTTTGTGCAGTTTTATGTAAACACTCCCAACTCAGTGCCCAAATTTTATTAAATCGTCTTAAAGTGAGCTTCTGAAATTCTTGTTTTTCTATTCAGTAACTAATATAAAGGGGGCTTCAGTGCATTTTGAAATGAAACTGAAGAAACACTGATATGATCGACTGATAGGTTAAATCCTGATCATAGGAGTTGTAGACAATAATGTCCATCATTCAACATGTTGCTTATTGCCTATGGATAAAAGCTTCAAGCACTTTGATTTTCAGTTTTTTAATCCGCTATTTGTTTGCTACAAAAAATATTTCTCAAAGTTATTAGTGTCCTTTAAAAAATCACTAACTTATTTTAATCATGTAACTTGCAATTAAAGGGAATGATAAAATTCAAAGCTCTTTTTTCAATTGATTCACTGAAACTTACACATTCTTTTTCCATACGGTTAAGTATATCATCACGTCTACTTATTTCTCTTTTTAAGGCGTCAATTTCCACTTTCAAAGGCTGTTTTTTTAAATAGAATAACAGAAAAATATGATGCCATATAAGTATTCAGTTTACCAGGAAATAAGTGATAAAGTTGTGTGATAAATACATCAAAGATTGATATTGACTACTTGGATGACAAATTTTCACTATAGAAAAAGTCAGCATTATGCCATCTTGAAGCGAAATTTAATGATAATATCTTCTTTCAAATGAACACTGAATAATGTAGACTTTTATCTCTGGTGATCTTGAGCTCTAGATCTTGACTTACTAAATATTTTCAACCTAATATATCACATGAAATTATTCCTTTTCAGTTTGTTTTAATCTTCCAAATGTGTCCGATAAACGTTTCATATACTCTAGCGCATTTTTGAAATGTTTTCAACCTATCCTCTTTCAAGTTAACAAAATAGACGAAGAAAAATTGTCACAGTAGATGGAAATAGACTTTTTATTATTACCCATAGGATACTTATCTTCAACCGGAGGATTTTTGTATGAATGAGCAACAACTAACAAAATTACGCACACTTTTCCGTTTATTCGCTATTCCAGAAAAGGTGCTAATCTAGCACCAGCTGGCTGTTTCACACTACTGGTTTTAATACTCTTAGTATAAACATTATTCAGATGCAAATAAGTATTTTACTGCAAGAGGATTTGCTAGAATATTACATGCTAGGAATTCAGTTCTGTGGCAAACATTTATCTCAAGGTTACATAATGTGGCTTATTGTTAAGTACCATAAAACCAAGAAATATAGGTATTAACTTCAACTGTCTGGTAGCACATCTCTGAAGTGAAAGAGTAGTGATGACTGGAGATGATAGAGACACCTGGATTCTCGTAAATATCTTAAAGTAGTCTGCCAACCAAAACTGTCTGAAATAGTTCAGTCAGCAGCCAATAAGTCAATCACTGTCTCCACTTATGATCATTTTAGATAGTGATAGAAGTACAAACTGAACAGCTAGTTAGATGAAGAACAGATAGTCACCTGATTTTGATTCAAATAGCAAAGTGAGAAAAACTTTTAGTTGTCAATTTGGCACTGACGTTTATTCAGGATCTAGATGTTATGGACAAGTCGGTGGAGTTCCAGGCCTCATGTCCGGAAACTACTAGTTCACGTTTTCTGTGAACTTCAGTCACTAGCAATGTATATGAAAATCTGTTTGGTAATAAAGGCTATTTTAAATAACTTGATTGATAATAACCAGTGGATGATTAACTAAAAGACGGGAAATACCAAGCAGCTGATTTATCCTTTTCTGGAACTCCTCAGTGATACGCATTCTTGACTGTTTAAGAGGTTGGATAAATGACCAGCAGGTTCATTTATGTATCCACAAAACTTTGAATCACTGAAGGCAATTTTATTCATTGACGAAGTAAATTTTATTTAGCTATTAATGTTGTGCAACTTATCGTAAGGCTATCACACAGTATTCACTCGTCACAAACGCTTCAGTAAGTATCGAGAAATCACTGTTATGTTTTCCGGCTGGTTATTACTGCATAAGAGGTGTATTATATCACAAAGTGACTAAGGTTGGAATCTTAAGCCACTTATTTGAAGTCGGAAAACTTTTGTAATAACTCCTTACCCTGACGTTATTCTACCTGTCAGTGACACTAAGAAAGAATCAGATATCTGGTGTTTTCAAACACTTTATAGCTGTCTGCCTGAAATCCAACGATACCGAAATTAGGTCAGCATCTATAAATTCATTTATCAGTTCACATGACACCACACTTTTTGGGCAAAATAATAAGATAATTAATTAATCCAAGCAAAGATAGTCCTCCCACAGAAACATACCGATCCTCTTGACTTTGAACCTAGTTCAATTGGGCCGCCGAGCTCTTCAATTTGCATACGCGCACTACTTAACTCCTTTTGTAAATTGGCAATTTCTTCAGACTGATTTCGAAGCTGAAGTTGATACAATAAACCAAAGGTTGTTTGTTAAATGAGATCACCAGTGAATGCAGCGAATATGATGAGTAAAACAAACTATTATCGTAGCCACATATACTACTTGAAAGTAGTATAAGTTACAAAATGAAAATAACAGATTAAATTTATACCTAGCGTTGGCTTGAGTACTTTTGATGATAACCAGAAAATACTCATTAGCTTATAAGAGAAAGCTCATTAAATATATCTTTTTCGATTTCATTCTCTACAGTTGTACAAATGCAATTTTATACTTTATAGTCAACGATATATCTTTGAATCTGTTGACTGTTTTCACAAAGTTCCGCTCACATTGACTGTGTTTGTTGTACAGATAATATATAGATAGGATTGATTGCGGCTATAAAATACCTAAACAATATCTGAAAGAATTGCTTCCCTAACGTCAGTTCAGTGTGTTAATTTCAACTTCGACAATGTGATCTAATGACAATGGATTCTCTAGTAGGTTCACTTCAAACAGGTTGTTTCATGTTTAGTTCGGAAAAGAAAGATCATAAACCTATGACTTATAGATTACTTAGGTATAACGGGACTCTGAAACTATTCTAATAACTTGCCATAATGGTTGTAATTAAAATTATGTTTAATCAACTCTGAATAACTATCACACTTCAATTAAATTCATTTCTGAAGTTCAAAGTGAATCGAAAATTCTGTTTAAAGATGCACAGTTGACCAAGAAAAATGATGCAACACTAAAGAAATCAGCTTAAAGAAAGGTCATATGGAATGTATAGCTCACAAAATATTACCATGTTTCGGAACCTAAAAAATGAAAGAGAACTCCAGTCGTGTCCATTAAACCCCGTATTCGACGAATTTGTGGTACTGATTGCTTAGAAGAATAGTTTATGTTCCTCAGGGAAATGTTTGATTGAAAAAGCATATCCAGCACAATTTATGACTAGGAACATGAAAGGTAATTGAGGTATAGAGGTACGAACCCCCAAGCATGTTGAGGAAGGTAATTTACATAGATTAGAGCTACTAAGATGACTGACTGTGCAGTTGATATCCTGAAAAAACTGTTTCCAGTAATGCTTTTCATATCAGCCTTGAGTATCCTATTCTTCAGTCACTGGATGTTTTCTAGGAGGCTAAGGGACAAACATTATCATCTGAAGTATGAGGATTTGGTATATTCCTTTTGGATTTATGTTCTTTCAAAACAAGTTTAAAAACTATCCCAGATGGCTCCAAAGAGTTACCAGTGGATTTATCAGAATTATAACGGACAAACAACTTATCAATAATGATCACAGCAACACAACAATTTCTTCACTGAATGTCCTTTACGAATTGAAAATAAATCTATCGAGGATGGTGTGTTTCCGACACCCTTTCCCTTCACCAACCCTTAGTATGTGCAAAGGGAAGTTGGAATGATGTACACAAAAGTAAAGCTATCAGTCCTAACTTTCACCCCGTTCATAATTAAAGTCTTCGAAGGTCAGTTCGTCTTAGTGTTTTTTCTTAAGTTTCCATTATCTTCAGAGGTGACAGTCAAGGATGTGATATGCAGGTTGTGATCAGACAGCTACAAACATTTAATTCACACGAACACTGAGTAAGTAATAGGAGGTTGCAATGATATTGAAAACTAGCCAGTAGTTGTATCTTGTGAATCATATAGTAGTCCAGTAATCTAAAGACCTCTATTGTGAATTCTTTTATGAGGTCAATTACCCATTAACTTCATTATCGTTCCTGAATATGAAGATTACTTTGACGTCGAAAGTCAATTCAGACGATTTAGTTTATGGAGAATAATTAGTTAATAAAGCAAAGCATAAATCTCACTGAAAGTATACCAACAGCTAACTCTAAACACACCAAAGTTAGTAGAGGTGTTTATTACCTCAGATGAGAAGGAAGAGTTATTCAGCCTAGAGAATATGACATACAAAACTCTGGGAAGGCAGATAATTAGTCCATTATTAGTAGATGAAACTTTGCTTCAATTAATTCCATCTACTCCATATATATCATATCTGTCAAACAGCTAGCAATGAGTGATACTTTTCAAGTGTATGAGTAAACTGAACCAGCATGTAAGGTAAGTGACTTAATTCCATATCATGTAAGTCTGTATGATGAAGCATGCAGTTACATGGTAGATAATAACACATCACTGTGGGCTGTGTCAAGCATACTAATCTACTATGGAGTTACACCCCACTACAGTGCTCAAATTCTATGCTTAGATTAAATGACTTACATGAGTATTTTCAAGCATATCTAAAGCTCTTGATTTTTCATCCAACTCTTGACGTGTATTACCAAGATCTTCTTGTAACGCATTTAACTGCTCTTGCAGTCTCTGTTTAATTGTATCAGCATCCTTAAGTTCAGCACGTAAAACATCTAATGTTTCCCTTTCTGGTTCTTTTACCTTTTGACTTGTCAAAGTAATTTGTGTTTCAAGCTCTTTCGTGAGTTCCTTGAATTTTTGTATTTCTTGTTTCATTTGACTTGAATTTGCTTGGGCTGTACTTAATTCAATTGTCATTTGTTCCATTCTTCTTTCTTGATTCTGATATTCTCTATTTAGTTGATCTAATTGAAGTTTTAGGTGTTGTATCTTAATGATTTGTAAAAAATCAACAATATGAAAATGACATCATATAACTACTTGCATTTGTTTATCAGTAGTAAAACGGATTACTAAAATAAAGTATTGGATTTCGGATGCTCAGTTGATAGCATCGATTATTTTTGGATACTCATGTTTGTTTTTTTGCTTACTGGGTGAGAAAAAAAACCAGCCTTATGTTTTTACAACCCATTAGTAATATGTAGCAAGCTTATCGCAATGTACGTACTCAAAGCTAGCACGGGACAAATATAGTTTGATGTGCACTTTGAGAATATACTCTATATCAGATCAACTCCTTTCAGTTAGAAAGGGTGATGAGATCAAACTGAATTAGTAAAGTGGAGTCATAGCAGTTTTGACAAACATAGCAAAGCAAAATACTTTGTTTCTGAAAGCTGAGAAGATCAAACAATCGAATCAGGGTCACTTGTTACAGTATAGTGCGCTTCAGTCAGTTGAAGAAGTACTACGATCTAAGTAACTTCTATTAAAATTGTTAAAATAAAATAAATCAAGCAAATACACAAAATTATTGTCTTCGATAAGCCACTTAGATTAAAAATGTTGCATATGAGACCAAATAGATTTACTTAGCAAAAAATACTAATAAGCAATAAGGCTGTTTCACTATTCTGAGAAATCCTACAAAAATATCCTGCATTTTAAACTCAGTCTTAAAAAATAATTTACTTTGAAAGTAATAGAGGTTTTATTTTTTCTCCTCAGCATTGGTAGTGAAATTCTATGGGACTCATCTGTGATGCCAACGAAATATCCGGCTATCTATCAAAAGATGAGTATACTACCCAGCAGTCCGTTCTGTCCTATTATATAGGTGTACGATATGGCCATTGAAAGTAGAAGAAATGAAGCGATTACATGATTTTGATCACAGGGTTGTTTGTAGGACTGCTTGCGTTTGGTGGGCAATGTTAAGATCAAGTGAAGCGTATTGAGAAAGACAGGTTAGTTGATTGACGCGGTTATGAACCTTCATTGTCTAAAATTGCTTGGACATTTGTTGTGCATATCGAGACGTCACTTACTTCAACGTGCGATGTTAGAGGAAGCTAGATTAGATTGGAAGAGGGTTTAGGGTGGCTCGAAAACGATATGACACTAGTCCATAAAGTCCTTGATTGTTAGTCTGAGCCGTGTTGTGATATGTAGACTATCTCTACCTGGGGTCTCAGAGATGATAGGGATCAGTTTTAGAGAACTCTTGGTGGAATGCCTGAAAATAGGTCACAGTGGCTTAGACGTATTCATCTCTTGACGTCTTTTTAAGGTGGGATATTTGCACTGACCATTATCTTCAGGTTATTTGCCCTCTCACACAAATTTGTCCACTTTGAAATCAGTCTTCTCCTATCCACCTGTTCTTTGTATACTACTGTGAAGTATGACAACATGGAACGATGTACTAATGTGCTGGGTTCTACATTGTTTCAGGTTGTATTGTCTGTCTGATACTCTTCCTTTATGGTAGACGAAATTTAGTCAACTAAAGGCGGTGAGATAGTCTTACTAGAAATCTTGAAGATGTACTGAATAAGAAAATGGCAGTAAAAAAACTTACTTCACTCTCCTTAGACTTCATTTCACTATGTAACTGATTGCATTCTACTTCAAGTTGATGACACCGTTTCAATTCATCTGCTTGTAATTGAGTCTGATTGGAAGGAGAGGAGGGGGGGTAATGATAAAAAACAAAGAGAAAAGTACAATAATCAAAGAAAACTGTAACTTCAGTGATAAAATAAGAAATAATGCTATCCTTATCACACTTCATCGTTTAAAATACAGATTTCAGTCGTGGACGCTCACCCATAGTTCAACCGTAGGTCATCCTTACCTTTAGTTCCAAACTTCATTTACTTGTCAACAAGGCTTTTATTTATGTTGAATGTTTTCCAGAGGTTTTTACTAAAGACTACCAAAACCAGAGGAACATTAAGAAAGTAAGAAAAGTGAACAGGATTTTCATCTTGCTCTATAATCTCTCAACAGTAGACACTCAAAACCACGGGCAAGATTGAATCTGGGACTATCAGGTACTGGATAGAAATCCTGGGATTCACATTTTCTCAATGATGATGAATTTGCACATGATTTACAAACTTCACGCTCCACACTGACACTTCTCACAGCTGAATAGTTCTTCAACTGCCCAACTGTGGTGTCAAAAGGGTCTTGATTGGAAACCACCCAATCGAAATCAGGTGTGATGTTTGACACAAACTTTTCATGGACTAGTGAAATATGCTACTCAGAAACTTGAGTAGTTAGAAATAACCCTGGCTGATTAGTAGATCACAATGATCTAAGTTTGTCTGGGTACTTTACTGATGACCTCGACCTCTAGACCAGCGAAAAGGTCATCCGGTTGTTATATCATTGTGATCTGGCTGGCGAAATTTACGTATAAACCCGAGTAGTTTCTAGCTACTCAATTTGTTCAGTAGTATGTTTTGTCAAGTTAAAATGAAGTTTGCTGACTTTATTTTACAATATCCACCGCGAAGCACTTATTTCCAGTGATTCATTTAACATTACCTATGGTATGGATTGATAATTTTGTTGCATTGTTGAAGTTTTCAGCACAGAGAAATGGAGACATAAATTGTGTTTACTCGCAACTGTCATATTTAATTTCATCAGATAACAATTTTCCTACATCCTAATGTCCATTATTTTTGTTTCCCATTCAAAGGTCAGTTATGAACGAAGAATGTTGTTGTTGAATAACTTAGGGTCAAGTTCTACAGTTATAAAATCAAATTCGTTAACATAGAGATAGTCATACTGGTGGTGAATCCATTTTAAAATGCGTATGTAGTTATAATTACAATTGAATCATTTACGTTTATCCATTCTGTTATGTATTGTCATTCAGTTCATATCATTTAAGTAGAAGTGATTTACAGTATACACAGATATTCATATGATTTTATTGTATTTTTGATGAGACTGCTGTTTTTGTCAGACGCTGTTATATTTTGTAACAAGGGGGAATAACAATAACCGATTGTTATAATTTGTCAAGTAGTCAAAAGTAGGCAAACGATCACATTCAGTATTGTCTGAAAGTATAATTGTAGGTGTCTGTATGTGATTAGTCCAGAACGATTCTGCGCCTTCAGTTACTTTTGGTTGAAGCCGGTGAATGATCCTGTATCATGTTATTTCATAGGAAACTCATTTTAAACATATAGGTATTCTTGACAAGATGAACATTTAAAATAAGGTTGTGTGCTCTATCGATATGGCATGTTTGTTTACTAATGTTATGTTATATGAAACTATGAATTACATTTGTGATCATACAATCAAAAATAGCATTCAATTACTATTACAAGTTGCTCTCGTGAAGGAACTCATTAAGTTGTATGCTGGAAAAACACCAAATTTTAATAAAGAAGCCTGATTTTAGTTGTTGTCAAGGTGATCATAAAACCATTCTTAAAATAAATGACTATAAAAGGCATCCTAACAAATGTTGAGATAACCTAATACTTTTTTCTATGAATTATCACTTTCCCAACCGAATAACTAAAACTTGATTTTGATTGGTTAGTTCAGAAGTTTCCTAGGGTGGCTTTTAAAAATTGATTCCAAGTTACAACTCAGGGAGATCATAGTACACTCATGTATGTCTCTTTCTGAATGTTTCTTCTTATTTTAAAAACATTTTTATCTACCCAACAAATTGTTTTATTTATCTGTATAGATTAATTTTTAGTGAACATATTCTACTGAGTTTGTGTTTGACTTAATAAACTGATTCTATATAAATAACTTAGAAACATAAGATATCAAATCATTTTTCATACTTACATGTGATTCAGCCATATTTAATCGTTGTGACATTTCACCTACACGTTGTTCAAGCTCTGAACAATACTGTCGAACATTATTCAACTGATTCACAGCGTTTTCAAGCTTGAAAAAAATACAACGGAAAACGGTTAGTGTAGATGTAATTTTTAAGATGTAAGAATGACGAACAAATTTTTCCACAAGCCAAGTAATTCATAATGGGAAGCTCAGTGATGCCTTTGAAGTGAAGACAGGAGTAAAACAAGGCTACCACATACTATCACCCATGATATTCCTCATTGTGGTCCACTGGATCATGCAGTAAACAGTGAGGAGCACGAAGAGGGGATACTCTGGCTGGACCGAAAAAAGATCCTAGAAGATTTCCATTTCACCAACGATGGCTTTTGTCTAATGTCACACAAACTTGAAGATCTACAGGCAAAATCCAACAAGTTGACAGAAGAGACAAGGCAGTGAAGGAAGACGGGACTTCAAGTGAACGTAGATAAGATAGAGGTGATGATGATACCCAACCAACAACAACAACAAATATGAATCAGCATCAACAGCAGAAACGTAAACGAAGTAGCCTCCTTCACCTTTCTATGAGGCACTGTTTCAAATATAGGCGACGGCAGAGACGAGGACGTCAAAACCAGTCAGGATCGCAAAGACAACAAGACAGGTCTTCCTTCATTAATCTGAAATAATCAGTGTGGAGATCTACTGCACTGCACTGCATTCAGCATAAAGCGTGAACAACATCTGGATTTTCAACACCAACGTCAGTCAAGTCAGTGCTTCTATGTGATGGTTGATAGACTTGGCGTGTTATGAAATGCATTTCCAACAAACTACAGATATTCATCAACAACTACCGCCTACGCTGGCTCGATACTGACACTGAAGCTCAGATGGCCAGAATAATAAGAATAAGCAACAAGGAACTCTGGTCTGGTGACGACCCTACTAAGAAGCTATGGCTGAACAAATATGCACTGGAAGGAAGTGGAGATGGATTGGGTATACACTGAGAAGATCGACTGGGGACATCACGCGTCAGGCCAGACACTCGAGTGGAACCCATATGGGAAACGACGAGTTGGTCGTCTGGGGTGAGGGTGACATGGAGAAGATGGTGTGAGGAGGAAATGAGAGGTTGTGGGGAGTCGTGGAGCCAGGTTCAAGAGATTGCAGAGTAGAGAGTGGAGTGGAGGCGTGCTACTGAAGCCCTTTGTTCCGCTAGGAACCCAAGGGACAAATGATATAATAATAATATTTTGTCAGTTATTAAGTTATTTCATCAATTTAAATGTATTTAAAAAGAAACATTAAGTTGTGAAATTGTAGGGATCTGTAAGATACCTAAAGTTATAAATCATATTGGTAAAAGGATGAAATGAACAATCAATCTGTGGATTCCATAGTGTAAAAAAGGACTAGATTTCAGTTCCATCGTATAAAAATTAAATGGTTTGTTCATCGATTAATAGAAAAGATTCGCTTTTTATCTCGTTTCAATAGATGAATAAATTGTCAGAGATGATTTTCCTCATTTGACTTCGAGTTTTCGAATAATGAACTGTTGTTGATGGCGATTTATTACACAGAAATTTAAACTCAATTAAAAGCAAACTTGAACCTTCAACTTCTAGAAGAATACTTGTGTTTCATCAAACTATATGCAGAATTCAACAGTACAATGGATTCAGATTTTCAGTCACTTTTTCCTACTCATTCATTAATTGCAGTTACACTCCGATTATAGTGAAATACATGTAATAAAGACGTCCTAACTGGGTCCTGTTGATTAAGTAATCGCTAATATCTGTTTTTAAGTAATTGTGGCTGCAAACAATCATGTTCCGGTGAGAATGTCACCAGTTATAAAGATATTAGCATCACTTTACATCATTTGCCTAGGAAGTTCCAATGATGAATACGAAAGCGTTAAATTCACTGGACCAATTACCTTTCGCAGTCACAGTTCGTATGGAATTTTTTCTCATTATATTCACTATCCGAAAGGTTTCAATATCTGTTGTTAACCAACTTATTAGCAGACGTACTTTATACTATTGTGCGTAAAATTTCATATCGAAGAAGTTTGCTGATTTGTTGAATCATATTGAAACATAATTCTATAATTGTTACTTGGTGATGCTTGTAATTTTCCGTTGTTATACCACGTCGAATCAGTCGAACTCTGTTGGAATATGCGCCCTTATCTGGATGCGTCAACATTGCCCGAATATTTATTTTTTTGACCAACCTTGGTTGTCGCCAGCAGTGGGATTCAAGACTTGCGTTTTGTTCTATGAGTTTCAAGTTTCAGTGAGAACACAGCAGGTACGTCCAGCTGACGAGTCCTGAATGGGTCGAAATGCGCGTCTTGGATTCCACTGCTAGCCACATCAAAGGCAGCTATAATTCTACAATGGTTTGATTGTGCTTCTAACACACACATATATAGGTTTTGTATTTGTGGGCACTTATCATCTGGACACGTTCGTAACTTTAAAAAAATTTATGTGATTTCTAAGAAGTTGAAAACTGATCTGCTCAACATTCAAGTGAAAGATTCTACCATTAAGTCATTTGTTCCAGTCAAGATGACCTTCTGAAAGATTGGATCATGTACAAGAAATGGTTACTGGATGAAAAACTAACTAACTGACAATTCCCTAGTTCTTCTGGAAGTCAGCCAATCAAATTTCAGTCTGTTTGCTTTTTAGTTCAGCAAATTAACTTATTACCATTCACTAGTTCTGTCTTTTCTGAAATGAAAATAATAAGTGATTTTTGATGTTTCAAGGTAGTTCCTGTCATGGAATGACATCATTTGGAGAACCATTAAAAACTGAAGGATAGTGTACAGCTGTTGCTTTCAAGTTTGAAATTCCTCTGCAGCGCTCACTAAGTATTCTATGAAGTTCTCACGGTGAGCTTGCCATCATTCAGCCATTGAGTTGAAATCAAGTGACTATCATGTCTGTCAATCTGAGATATGGTGCGGCCATCGTCCTGACACCCGACTTGGCTAACTTCAAAGGTCACTGATGTTCAGTGTCCCCACATTTTGTTGTCTTCAAACTGATGTCAATCAGTGATGAGAATTGCTTCAAAATCAGCTAGTCCGTACTAAGCACCAAGTGAAATTAGAAAGTGTTATTAGTATAACATTCATAAAATACTTCAAGGCAAAAACCGGCAGCAAGGGCTGATTTTTGTTATACTGAGGATGAATTATCCATCGGATACTTTGCAATTATGTGATTAGGCATAAAGCTTGTATAATATACCTTGGTACAATATCTTTTGCTATAGTGATCACGTGGTACTCCTCCTTACTTAGATTCCTGTCACCAATTTATCACCAAACATTACCATAATCATTATTAAGCGACCGATCAATAGCATGAAAGTACTTGTTGGAAGGCTATTTAATTGCAACCTGATTGATAGAATTCGATCAGCGCTGAGTGCTGGGTACTAGACAGCCACATCGGTTACCAACAAACGATCAACTCATCAAGTTCTGTATAAAGATACTCGTAGCCTGAGTAGCTTAGTGATGAAGAGTCTGACTTAAGGATTGATTGACGAGGAATTAAACCGTAGAGAGAACACCATTTTCCTCATGGTTAAATGCACCTCCTGCTGATGACCACAAACAAACATTAAACCTTAGTTGAGCAGGGCGTCTTGCCAACTGAGTGCAAACATTTAACCCCATGAATACAACCAATCAAAAATAAACTTCATAAGCAAACTAAATGCATAGGCGGCAAACAACGATTAATCACATTGGATAAACTATACCTGATTTGTCTTCTCAATTAATAACTGTTGTGTATGCGTCAGTTTGTCTTTTGCCTCATCTGTCTGTGTTTGAAGTTCACGTTGAGTTTTTGTCTAGTCAAATGAGGAAACAATTAATCCAAAATAATGACAAAACACTCTTTTACTGAGTTGAAGTTAAAAACCAATAATTTGTACATTACTTCATATGTATCTCACAGAATCACATCCCAATGAAGAGCTGGTTCGTAAACTCAGTGGTAGTATTCGAAATCATAATAAATCAGTGAGACATCCTAATCGAAATAACTATTGCTTGAAGTCTTACTCTGGCAGAAACGTCAAGTAGATGATAGTAATATTGACAAAAAGCTGTCGTCATAGTATGAATAATCTGTGCTATGATGGAAATCTTAGAATAAAATCATTTGATAACAGAATAAAGACGTGAGGATGATAAAATGCTTTCCTAGAGCTATCAGCATTGTCATTGTGCTATCCTCTCCTTATCAAATTGAAGGGTCAGAAAAAGATTTCAGTAAAGGATATGCATTCTGCCTGGTGGTATGGCTTTCCATCATGAGTGGTAAAGTTCTTTTATATAAAAACTCATGAAGATAAGGGGTGAGAAAATAAAAAGGGGTCAGGTAGGAAGGCTGACTTAAAGGCCGAATAACAATGAAAATCAATAGGGCGAAAAAATAATAGTACATCGAACTTGGTTTTTCAATAGTTGAATTTACCAAGGAAGGTTTAATGTGACAACAAATTGTTTATGAATACATAAAGGTGGTTTGAACTTCCTAATAGCTAAGGCTTCAACAAATTTCAGGATCCCTCCCCAACATGTTTTGTAGATAGGTATAAAGGAAGTAGTCACATCAATCTTGTGACCTGTCTCAACGATATGTATAGCGATCGAAGAGCTTGGACGTTTGCTACCAACATTTATAGGTTCAGGTGATTTAATTTGCTTCTGAAGCCACTTTGGAATATGTTCCGAGGCCCTTACTTGCATGGATCTATTAGTCCTCCCTATGTATGTGTCACCACACGTACATTTGAATTGGTAGATACAATGGGATGTGACATTATCGTTCACATGCTGTAGGGGTTTGGGGGAATATAAGGGCTTCGTGGTTTCGATTACTGGAACCCTGGCTGCATAATAAGTCCTTCCAACAGCAGCTGCTGTCGAAGTTTATCAAGGGAACTAATTGTTTTAAAGTTCTTTTAGTATGAAATTGAACCTGCATACGCTAACATCCTTAAAAATGCAGTGTGTGACAGGTGTCAAACATACATATCTATGGTTCGGTCATCAAGCACAACCCGTCCACCTTTTCCTCCAGATACTCAAAAGGAACATCAACTTCTAAAGTATTAGCATCGATGTGGTATCAGTCACCCATAATGTTCCAGACGTGAGTAAAAATTACTTAATTCTCATCGCCCCCTTTTATCCTTGTCATTTCTTTTGAGTTTATGACCAATCTGTTTTGCTAAAATTGTGGCGCATTCAGTTTCTTCATCTTCTTACTACGATACCATTAGTATTGCTGACAAATGGGGGAACACGATTAGCAGCCTCTTACATTCACTCTTCCAACTGATTGTTGAAGTTCTCACCGTTCGAAATCTGTGTGATAGAAACTGTTGTAATTTTAACTGATACAAGTTCCTGTGTTGACACTGCCAGTTTACTTGTCCTACAGAATAACTTAGATTTTTGACAAAATATAAACTAGACTATGAACACTGATGAAACTATCCAATTAAAGAGACAGTGTGAACTCAGTAGAACAGTTAATCAACAAGAACTGTTTACCGATTGGTGATTTATCGAAGAATTTGAATTTCCATGACACATAGATAACTTGTTGAAAGGTATGCAAACAAATGCATTAAACTACAGGACAACGAACCAACCAAGAACCTATCGCTGAACAAATATGCACTGGAAGGAAGTGGAGATGGATTGGATTGGACATACACTGAGAAGATCGACTGTGGACATCACGCGTCAGGCCAGACACTCGAGTGGAACCCAGATGGGAAACGACGAGCTGGGCATCGGAGTCGAGGGTGACATGGAGGAGATCGTGTGAGGAAGAAATAAGAGCTTCTGGACTGTCTTGGCGACAAGTTCAAAGGATTGCAGAGAACAGAGTGGAGTGGAGACATGCTAATGAAGCTTTATGTTCCACTAGGAACCCAAGGGATAAATAATGATAATAATACAGGACGCTCGAAGTCTTAATTGACAAAAGAAAGAATTAAAATAAGTGAATGTAAAAAGTGGCCAGTTCGTTAGTTTGTACATAATAAGATGAACTAACTAACTACCACTACAATACTTACAGTTATTTTTACAATGGATCTTTATGACTGGTCTACATGGATATTTAACTTTCCTAAATCAAGTATGCTATGATAGCGAAAACTGACCATTTTTCTTATTTTGACATATAAATCAGTCATGATATGCTGATGCAAGATAAAATATCCGCATGTTTACAAACCGACCTATCGATATTTACTAGTCTACACGGTGGTGACGTCGATGGATACCCGTTTGATTCCGAATAATAAATGTAATGTTGTGTTTTATGCAGTTGTTTAGACTAGACAGTATAAGTGACAATAAGTTACGAAAGTTCTGCTTAAATTGAGAGGTTTAAGTAAGAATAGCAATTCAGTCGACTGGGCTATGGATCCACGTCATTTGAGGTGGTAGGAGTATTATAAATTACTGTCTAACCGAGTGGCAAGCACCGCTGGAACAGGAGCAAGTTATGACTGTTAATCAAGATTTCTGGATGGTTTCCACAACACATGATGAATGACAGATATCAGTTAAAGAACCACTGAAAGCTAGGAACACTGGATAGCTGTTTCGTTCCAGCAAAGAACTTCTTAATTCAGTGTACACAGGACTCCGCCAGAGACCGAATCCAGGACCTCCGGGTTTTGTAGCGACGCCGTTACCAGTAAGCCACTGGGTAGAAGTTCAGTGAACCACATTTCTTACTTTTATCAATTTGCGAACTTCATCCAATACCATCGTTGAGTATTTGTCCTTACGTGGGAATCAGTTTGCCCCACTAGTCAAGATATCTCATTAGAAAATAAAGACAAATACCCAGTGATGGCACTGGATAAAGGTAATATGCTAACTTGCACACTGCGAAACCCGAAGATCCTGGGTTCGACTTCTGTCAGAGTCGTGAGTGCTCACTTATGAGGAACCTCACACCAGGGCAATATAGGTGTCGAAAGTCCCTGAAATAGAAAGTGGAAGTTATCAAAGAGTTTCTCTTTGTCTAATGCATTATGTTTCAGTTTACAATGGGAGTTTCAGAAAAGTAACAAAAATGTTATCGTTATAGTGTTTTACCTTTTCAGTCTTAATTTCAGTAGAATACCTGGTTCTAGTCGTTGGATTACAACATCAGTGATAAAACAGATATTGATCACCTCGTTAAAGTGTCAGTAGGCTCTTTTTACAAATGGTTATTGACATATAGACATATATGGATAAGTTCCTCTATAATTGTTTTTTAACCTCATAACTTCTCGTTTCTTCTGAACAGTATACTTTTAATTTCTTGTAAAAATTTAGCTCTTAACGCTGTGAAAAGTATACTACTGGAGGACATGAATAATTGTAACCCACTGGAATCGATCAGCAGTGTTCGATATTCAGATCAACTTGATCTAAACACTAGAGGGCTACTTTACTTTTTGGCGGCCAAGTCTATCAAGTGTAAATCATGAAATAAAATGGGTATCTTATATCCCCTAGCTCGTATAAAGTCAAATAGTAAAACATATACTTTATATAAATGTGTAAATCACTGTGAACATTTAAAGCTCAGTTTTAAAAATGGTGCAGATTTTAAACAAGTGAAGACTTTGAAAATGCTAGTCGACCTTTAATACCACAGTTCTGAAAACCATCATACGATGGATGAGTTGGCACAGACAGAGTAGACAATTATAAACTATAAAGGTGTAATTAAAAGAAACAATGAATAAAACCGCTTATCTTGTTCATGGTCGTTAGAGTGAATCCTGATATTTGTATACAAGTAATTTAGGATTTATCATTCACTTCAAGTGAATGTGGAGAAGACAGAGGTGATGAAGATGCTCAACCAACAACAACAACAATCTGCAGTCACCATTAACGGGAGAAACCTAAAGGAAGTAGTCTCTTTCACCTACCTAGGCGGCATCGTTTCAACTACAGGCGGTGGCTCAGATGAAGACATCAAAGGCAAGATCGGAAAAGCAAGATAGGCTTTCACTAATCTGAAATAATCAGTGTGGAGATCTACTGCACTCAGCATAAAGTGTGAACAAGATCCGGATTTTCAACACTAATTCAGTCAAGTTAGTGCTTTTATGTGATGCTTCAGGAACTTCGCGTGTCACGAAAAGCATTTCCAACAAACTACAGACATCAACAGCCGCCTACGTTTGATATTAGGGATCAGACGGCAAGAATAATAAGAATAAGAAACAAGGAACTCTGGCTGTTAATGAACTAACCAAGAACCTATCGCCCAACAAATATGCACGAGAAAGTGGAGATGGATTGAGTTGGATTGGACATACACTGAGAAGACAAATTGGGGACATCATGCGACAGGTCAGGCACTCGACTGGAACCCAAAGAGAAACGACGAGTTGCGCGTCAGAGTCGAGGGTGACATGGAGAAGATCACGTGAGGAGGAAATGAAAGCATATGGGCATACGTGCAGCCAGGTTCAAAAGACTGCAGAAGAAGTGGTAGTGAAGCCCTATGTTCCATAGGAACACAACGGACAAATAATAATAACAAATTCATTTTTATACTTTACGGTGATGCACTTAAATACGTTATTAAAAGCCCAACCAACCAATAAACTTGTTGGACGAAAGACCAATATACCTGAACCAATGAAGTGATCATAAACGATACTACAAAAATCACGCATACAGTATAAAATAGACATGACGTAATAGTGAGTCTAAACTACCAGCAGTGTACGTCAATGTCTCACGTGTATTTGACAACAGTTTCTAACGCATTAGAAGTGTTTTCTAGCTTGATTCCTTGTGGATCATATGTGAAAGTATTCATCCTTTAGATAAATATTTATACACGAATATGTTCACTTGTGAGTACTCTACAAATAACCTACCAATTCATTATCACGTTCAGCTTTTTGTGTTTCCATTTCTTTCAGTTTTTCTTGAAGTTGTTGAGTATCGTTTGTTAGTTTACTTACTTCACTTTGTAATTTTTCCACTTGATTACGAGCTTCTTGTTCTGATTCTTGACTTATTTTAAACTGGTTTTGTAAAGTTTCACATTCCCTGTGTAATCTATCCATTTCTCTAGATAAATGAGTTGTTCCTGCAGTTGATCCATATAGTGGGACACTTTCATAGCTTCCTGGACCAGCTGATGCAGGACGCATTCCACCAGTTGAACTACCCATTCCAAAAATACTACCTACTGTGGCTGATGTTGTACGTCCCATACTTCGCTTTAACTGTTTGTGCAGAAATTAAAAGTAAGACAGAGAAGGCATTATGATAGTGAGGATTCGATTAATATAACACAAGACTGTGTAAAAGGTTGAAAATAAAGAAAATTAATTTACGTATTTCTGTGGGGTTCATAATATGCACCGTCTAACACAAATGGATTCTGAGTTGAAATTGTCGACAAGTGACACTATTTTAGTGTTACATTCAATCATTTAGTTAGCATCAGTGTGAAACGTGACATTACTGCGTAACGGAACAGGTCGTCACGTGTCATGTTGGCCTATCAATGTAGAAGGCATCGAGTGTTGCTTTAGTTATGATCTTCAGTATATAAGCACAAAAAGATGAGTCTAATTAACTTTGTTTGATTGCAACCTAAAGATGTCTAAGTAACGAAACATCATGTAAGGAAGAAAAGGTCCAAGAAAAGATTAATAGGGTTTTGGATGAACTATTAAACTGATTTCTAGGAATACTAGACATTTACAGCAGTAGCCTCTGTAAGAGTTATAAAATTAGCTTGAAAGGGAAGATTTTATAGAAGCAAACATCGTTTGTATACTACTCATATGTAAACAAAATACACTTGTTCATCGGATTTGTTTTTCCACTTTCATGAAGTTACATTCAACTGATGAGTCCTAGATTCCCAATCACGATATCGAAACAGAAGTCAAGAAAAATACATCATGGCACTAAGCATAAAATTCGTAAAAGGTTAGCAGTGACTGTTAAAGTAGAATATTAACTAGGCTAGTCATTGGTGACAGTTCAACTTTGGTATTCAGATACGAGTAATGATATCCACAGAAGATCTACACAGACTAATCATTCAAATCAACACCCTTCAGATTTGTCACAATCAAACAGCTGAACTATGAGACCCAATCATTAATTAGATTTCAATGTGACTTACTGAGACAAGTTTTCAGTCAACTATAACCGAGTACCTCTTACAACAAAGTGATCTAACCAGGTGTAGGCAAAGTCTTATTTTATCATTCACTTACCTGTGTCCTGAATAAGTTCAACAAGGAAACGCTTTTCATTTAATCAGGCAAAATTACTACGACCGCCTAAAATGTCCCAAAAGTATTTCTTAAAAACATGATTTAGGTTCGAGGAGATGAAATATTTACAGCAGTAAACGTGTTCAGTGCAAACTAAAATAACTTTTTAAGATGGACTGACATCAGCTGGAAGACCTCTGGGAACCTGGTACTAGTATGCGACTCCTAAGAAATGCGGATTTGCGACACCACAGGGATCAAACTCAGTATCTCGATGGTACTAGTTATGAAACCAGAAGCTCCTGGGTTCGACATCTGTTAGGGTCGTGGGTGGGCACCACTGAGTAAGTAGACTCACATTAGAGCAAAACAGTTTTGCAGTTCACCAGGTTTTCAATGGCTTTATCAACTGATGTCATTTAATAAGTAAACTATGCAAAATCAAGTGAAAATTTATGTGTCGATTGAAGGCCGGAAGCCAAATCCTCAACGTGTAATATGCAGCACATGAGTTAATCATGACTGTAAGTTCTAATAAACAGACCAAAAGTAACATCAAAGACAAATCCGTCAAGAAAAAATAGGAACACCTATTCCCTCATATTTGTTGATACGCATCGCTGATTAATACCCACAGTTACCAAGCCCATGTCGGAAAGTGCTCCCTGCAGATTGAATTTCATTATGGAACATTACCTACCTATCTCATAAAAATCAGTCGATTGAGTGCAAAATAGCAGAAGATTTTTTGTCAGCTATCTTGCAACAACACTGTTATGCATGTATAAAGCGAACTAATGTAGAGACGTTTAGCTATGCAAAAGAATCCAGCGCAAAAAACTAGAGCAGAAATAAAAGCCATGTTCTATACTTATTGGTTACTTGACAACATCCGTATCATAACGGATTGACTGCTTCCATTTCAAGGTCAAGTTATAACTATTTCACCCGATTATTCCATTTTAGTTTGTTCATTAGACATATCGCGTAGTGAAACGATATTATACGCTGGATTACGAATCAGACACAATTAATGATCCATAGTCATATGAAGGTAACTCCACAACTCTGGGACAGTTTATTTTGTTCCTAATTCTATCTCCTCCCTTGTGATATAGTAGGATTTTCCATGTACTTGGAGCAGATATTGAGTCAATCGTATTACATGTATTTTGCGTTGAATTGATAAACAAAAATTCCGTTATCGACCTCTTTGCATCCGCACTCAACTAATTTTCTTATGATGATTGTCACTCTGACCATTCTGTTATGTGTGACTGCATGCAAAACTATAGGCGAACGTTTCTCTAGGTTCTTCACTTAGATTCTATCAATCTTCATTTAACTAAGATTTTATGCTGGGTCAGACTAATTGATTCTGGGTCACAGATACTAGCAACTTTATAGACCACCCTAGCAACGGTTAAAATAACAAATTAGATTTCTTTATTTCGGCTGGAAAGGCTGATTTTCATAAAAAATATAGTAGTTTGATGAGTTATTTCAGTTGTTGCTAGGATGGCCTTTAAAATTCACTGGCTTTAAAGGCCGCCCTATCAACTGCTAAATTATCCAATCAAATGTCAGAATTTCGTCTGGAAAGGTAGTCGAGGATGTGATTGGTTATTTCAGCAGTTGCCATAGTGGCCTTTAAGGTCACACTTAACATTGCTCACCAATGCAGACTATTATTTTAAATTGTAAGCACTACAAAAAATTTGGTAAACTAAATTATTTTGCATAATTGACGCGTTAGCGTCATTTAGCTTACAAGGCTTGTTTCGAATTCAGTTTATAGGCTTAACAACTGCCATTAAGCCAGCCTTATTGAGAATCATAAGTAGTGTTTCTGGGGTATCTTCCGCGTACTATAACGACGCCGAGGTTTCCAGTTCTCTCTTTAGGGTACCACTATTACTACTGTTAAAATAATAACTATCTTACATTATTCCTTATATTTTTCTTACAATTTCTTATAAATCTATTGGTTAATTTACGAGAGTAACTACTGAGTAAGGTAGCCTTAGTAATTCTGATTTATTGTCTCAAATCTCCCATCTTATCTCCTCTTCACATGTTTCGTCAGCACCACAGCAATTATTATCTACCGAGAATAGAAAGGTGATATGACATGTTTTTGTTATTTTTGATACTTGTTATCTCCAGTCTTTACACTAGGTCAAGTTGCTCAACCTCTGTTGTCAGATAGGCTCCTGTATGGATCCTCATTATGTTGATGTCCTCCCGGTGACTAGCATCGGAATCCAGGATGTGTTTCGTCCTATTTGGGACTTGTTAGCTGTATGTACTTGGACTCCAGTGAGTGTTGTTCCCATAAATTTTTTATGATCCAATACTCTGTTTTATTGGCTGAGATTGATTAACCTCTACGTGAAATTGGACTATCTTGAGCAGACATGGTTGTTCCACTTTTGTATAAGACAATTTCGTCAGAAGTAAAGAATACTAAGTAAGTTTATTATTGATTATAGCTTTCTGGAAACTTTCAAATAGGATCAGAACTACTCCAAAAACTTGACATTCAACAACTAACAGATGTCAGTAGACTGTAATTCTGTCTAAACTCCAGCCTATTCAGTTCAAAATTATGCAGCAGTTCAGCATAATAATTTATAATAACTGAATTACCTGATCCACTTGATCTCTTAAATTATCCCGTTGACGTGCAATTGAATCACAGTTAGACTGTGTTTCTTGTAATTGACGACTAAGTTGTTGAACTCGTGAACTGGCTTGTTTAAATTCTCTCTGATAACGTTCTGATTCACTAGTAGCGTTTTGTACAGATTGTGTAAGATTTGTAATTTGTTGTTGTAAGCTTTGCTAAATTGTTAGAAGAAAAACATTTGAGAAAAAGGGTTATAGGATAAACAAAATCTATATAAAAGGACTCACTGAGCCTACTAATGAAACTGTCACTTTGGTATTACATATGACTGTAGCAAACTTCAAGCGTTTTTCCGGAGCTCTTTTAGGTGTAAGTAAGTATGGTGCAAGTGATGATACTAACGACTATGCATACGTACTGGAAAAAGAGAAACTTCTTTTTTGTTAGAGCAGTGATAATAGCAAGCTCTTCAAATCTCATTGGAGCAGTCTGGGTTGGAACCAAGGAAACAGTTATTGAAGGTCCAATATTTGATCCAATGAGCTTCAGCTGTGAGTACGAGTTATCGAAATTAGTTTCTTTACCTGTAAATTCGAATATGTTGGAAGGTAGGGTATATTCGCCTCAGTAAAACAGACCCTAAGCGTGGATTTAATTCAATCACTAATATGTTTGTTCGTTTACTTGAGTTATATTCATCCGATAGGAATGACTGATTCATGATTATTATCATTTCTTAAACGGGCTATTAAAACGCTAAGATATTCCTTGTAACTATCTATTAATAAGCAAACTTTGTTATCATTATTCACATAGCTAACACCCTTCAGCGGATTTTCGCCTCTTGTATCCGTATTTTCCAATGTATATGGTTACTTTGTTATAACTCAAAAGCATGTTTCCTACCTAAGCTCATCATAATTCTGTAGTTGTTCTAGTCTTTTCGCAGCTGAGTAGAAACGTCGAAATGAATATGAAATCAATTTGTTTCGTATATCTTGTTTTCATGAAAACGACTAAGGGGTTTTCAACAGGAAAAAAAGTTGGTAACAAAAATCACTGGTGATCAACCTCCTACAATTATGCTATAGAATTCATAGTTAGGTCAGCTGGATTTTTAGACAAGATGCAAAATACAAGCCTTACTTCATTATAATGCCTTCAGTCACCGCATTCTTTGGTATGTAGGGGGATCTATTGTTATTAAATAATCATTTATTGCCGTAATTTAAATATAGAAGATAAGATTTTGTTTCTATGATTGACGATATTATCCTATTCTGGGATCACTTACCAGCATAGCAATGTGTTCAGTTGTAACTGAATTGGTTCCTAAAGTATGTGTTGCACAAGTTGTCACAATACTTCAAAGGTTTACTCAACTGATAGCCAATGAAAATAAAAATATGTTTTTTTCTAAGTTCATCAGAACCTAAAAACGTGTACAAGTTCAGTTAGATCTTGGTATTTTTGATCAACTCAGTTGCAGATATTTTCCCAGTCTGATAAGGTTTATCATTTTTATATCTTCTGAATATTGTTTAAAGACTTTTAAAATACTGAATACTGAAGTATTTGTCAGCCTGGAACATAGTGGAATGTTCGGTATTGTAGAAAACAATTTACCAGACTTCAGAATGCTTGGAATGCTAATCATGTGTCCAAAGGGGTGATACTAGACTGACTTAAAAAACCTTAATGTGTTAGTTATTCTACTTACTACAAGATATTTATGCGACTTATCACCCACTTATGATAAGCAATGCAGTTTGGACAGATGAATTTAGGTTCATCAAAATATGTCATTCAGGTGCCATTTAGGTAGGTCCTATTTGATTCAAAAGACGCCATCCTATGTCTACTCTGCTTTCTCACCAAGTTACTGTTTTGATCTAACATAAACTTTTTACTTTACTGAGTACTACCTTTCAACATTTGGCTAATTTCAAACGCCTTGACGACAGCCATTTATCAGTCACGTATTTCAAAAAATGGTATACTACACAAATGTACCGGATAACTCCGGTTATCCTATAGGAATGTAATACTTGAAATTTCATAAACAATATAGTTTCAGTCTGAACACTAGAAATTTTGCAGTCTATTTTTCATGTTTCATATTAATTTTGGCCTTTTCTTTGCAGTTTGATGCATAAAAAGTGTTACCCATGAAGCGTCTTCATACTTGCCTCGTATCTAACACATAGTATATTATAGTATGAATAGAGAGTTATAACTCACTGATCATATGTAAGTCTTTGAATTAGACAATCAACCATAAGCATTGTTTTAAGACTCATGATACTACTTGGTTGATAAAACCTGAAGGCTGCCAGTTACAGCCTTTACGCAGCTAATATTTCAAACAGAACTTGATCATCATTTCTAGGTAAATAGACAACACTCTGTAAGCGAAATTGTTACTTAATAGACTTATCATTGGAGGCAGGCAAATCCAGTTGATGAGTCCTAAAATATGGCAAAACATGCGTCCTGTATTCCGTCACTAGCTTCTATCCTCCGTTATTAACCTTATCATCATTCAGTTATTCTGTCAACTTTCCATGTTCACTTCCTTATGAGGTTAGTTTGTTCGACATACCATACAGTGATGTCGTAGTATATACTGGGTCACATTTCGTTCATAATTAATTGCTGCAGTTCAAATGTAACATGGAATTATGCTTTACTACACAGTTCAAGTTTTATGCCTAAATTCTCGTATCCAACTTAATCTAGATCAGGACGAGAATAGTTGGTTGAAGCATTTAGCGTGAAGACGATGACAATATTGAGCGGATGGCTGCATACCATTCATCCGCATGACATACAGACAAAATCCTTTGCAATTTATAGTAAACGTAGGACAAGATTAACATTGTAGTTTCATGTGTTAATCTGTATAGGACCTGGTGGGTAACAAAAAGTCTGCCGATGAATGTTTCTAAGCCAAGCTTTCAACATTAGAATTTGTCGTCTAGTATCATACACCTTTTAACCTTTAGTTAGAGTGTCAAAAATTAAAGTTTGGCAACAGTCTATGCAAATTGGAGTCAAATAAATTGTGTCTGTTTAGCTTAAAAAAATGCTTTCAATACACATACTATAAGTTAGAACTCAGCTCCACCTATTGAAGTAGTGTAACCAGGCCGTGTTATTAACTTTCAGGCAACATCTTTCGTTCATACTTTAGTGTGTAAATGTGTAAATGGTTTTAGGGTTACACAACACCACTTTTATACTTATACTTTAAATTTGATCGTAGGATCTTCATATCCTGTAGCTAAAAACTATCGCCAATAAAGAAAGGTAGAATCTAGTTTTACTTATTTTATAACTACACCCAGTTTGTGATGCAGTATAACAGAAATAAAATATATAATGCAACAATTCCTTTCCCCGTCGTTTACTCAGATTCATTAGGTAAGGAATGAAGCTAAGTAATTATCTATGACTCTTAGTAATTGCCACGAAACCGTTAACTGTTATTAAGTTATGCAATTCTGAGGAGTAGATAGTGACGCACTGAATTGGTTATAAAATATTCGTCACGCGGTCTAACTCTATCATATTCTTACTGGCTAGTGGTTGAGAATGTGCAGTACCAAGGAATTTTAAGCTAAAAAAAGCAGCTGTTCATAGCTATTTCCCGCATGCTTTAAATCATGGAATGTCATAGTGAAAGTTCTCTTCAAAGTGAACATTTATAGAACATTGAAAAATGAATGTTTATCACAGTCACAACATAATCTCCACTTACTTTATCTATCATATACTGCTGTTGCATATCTAGTGTAGAAGTTTCAACTCTGGCTAAATTTGTTGTCAACTGTTCACGTGCAATATCTCGATCTTCAATTGCCTGACGTAGACGAACTTGTAGATCAGCAATTAATAACTGTTGATTAGTTGTATCTGTTCGATGTACATCTGGTGTAACTGATGATCCATACTGACGATCTAATTGTTTATTTAAGCATATAATCTATTGTAAAGAAAGATAAATAGGCTAATAATGATACCGATACCGATATAATGGGTAGATCGCTGTTGATTAGAGTTCTATATCACATGTAAGCTGAAAAGTATTCATACTAGTTTGTAAATTTATATCTAATTCCTCTACGTTGTTCTTTCTATCTATCCTTGTAAATGACGACCTCATGACTGGAAACATTCAATGTATTGGTTATTAGATAGCAACCAAGATGAGAGGTAAATTTATTTCGGTTTGGAAGAGTAAATTTTCCATTCCCAGAAAACTTAAGTGTAGCCTAAAATCAACATTTTTTAAATAAAATAAAATATCTACAAGGATTTCCAAAATACAATACAGTTACCGAATGACCGAAACAAACACTTATCTAACCTCCAGTACTATTAAGAGTAGGTAAAAAAAAAATCAAGTCTGAAATCATGATAAGTGACTTCCAATCAGATATTCATTGGACTGATAAAATGATTTTGAGAAACAAGTAAAACCTATTCCAAAATTGATGATTGCCATGAGTCAGTGGCATGTCACAGATAACGCTTTTGTATTTGAGGAGTCCGATAATGGTTTCTGGTCTATGTGAAACAAACAAGCATCTCCAGTTGATGAATCCTTTTGGCACGAAATATTCATCCTGGATTTCATTGTTGACCTATAGGGAATAAACAACACTACAGTAAAGCTTTTGGTAATATCTAGGCATTTGTACAAGAAGGTGATAAGAGAAGAGAAGTTGATCAATTTTGTCCAGCAAAGTGAACGGTATGAAATTCAGAATCCGAATTTATTATTCACAAACTTTTCCTGAAGTATTTGTTTCATTTCCATGCTTCTTGTATCTGAATACTGTTATTGAAGTCCTACTAACTCCCTTCGCATGGAAGGGCACTTATCATAAAATTGAAGTTGGCGGGATTCGTAAAAGCCTGGTTTCAAACCAACACTGCACATCGACTTCACAATCCGTAAAGAATGAATGGCGCTTGAACCGACTCTGGTTGGTCGTAACGGTTGGATTGCAGCAACTCATGTTAGTCTGCTGCCATGTGGATTCGATTAGAAACAGAATACGCCGGAAGTGATCGCTTGTGCTGATCATCTGATTTGATCTCTGCATGAGCAAATTATGGAAAAATGCTGTTAATGAGGACTTCAAAAAGGCTATCAAATTCTTTGCAGGCAACCAACCTCACTCTTTTAAAAACTTCATACTCAAACATCCAGTTTATTGTCGTCCGTCATTGTTATTTTACATGCGAACAGTATTCTTTGGTCATTTCTGCCATCAAATACCTCTTCATATTTGTCTTTTTTTCACTCAACTGTTTGCAATCTTCCGAGTCTCCAAACAGTTGTTCTTACAAAGCTGTCCCGCAGTGTGATTCAACTGTTCTACATCATCGTGTATCTTCTAAGCCGTTTGCTTTCAACGTTTGAACCTTGACGCCAATCAGACAATGGGAAATTTCAGCTAAATCTCTAGAAAGACTCCTATTCGATGTATGATGTATCTTAAGTACCTGCATAAAAGATTCCAAAAAATCGCTTCAAATAACTTCCTTATCTATCATTTCAAAAGTGTATTTACCATGCACTTATCTTAGACCCTACGTTGTTGACATGGCATCACATGAAGTACCAGAACGAAAGGTGTACTAGTCGACTGGATCCCCAATGCCAGTAGTCTGTGTACCGTTATGCTAAGAAGTCCGGTTTGAGTTGGAAGAAACTGACCAGGAAGACGATTTCTTCATCATCTCCACCTACGCTTTGGCGCAATGCAGCTGAGATGCATTTAAAGGTACGTTCTACTAGGAATTGAGTGGTCATTTGTATCAAGTGCCTTCGATTGGTAGCATATTACAAGGTGAAGACGTAAAAGCATAGTTTGGGCGTCCAGACTAAAAGGGAAATCATTTAGGTGGCTAATGATGGTTAATCGGTTGGGGGTTGTTTCTACGATTGTGTGCGGATCACAACGTTTCTTGGCAGCATATTTCCAGCATATGCAATTCCATCATGCCACCTAGCATTCCTCATTTAGCACTCAATTTTAGAACCAAGCATATCAAACTGTAATAAGTTGACGTGTTGGAGTGTATTCAGGAATTATGCTACCTCTGGAGCCCTGATAAATACCCTGATCATGCTTTAGTGTAAGCTGAGTTCGTTTTACATTTGTTAATCATCAGAATGGTTGTTCTAGGCAGATTGAAATGAGTAAACTAGTTGCTATCTGTATTTCAGCTAAATATAAAACCAAGCTAGACTCAGGGTAACTTAGAGAAACTTCAGGAAGTAAAGACGAGAATTGCTTTGCGATGGAAATAATCACCCACTGAATGATATCATCTCAAAATACCAGCTTCGGGGACTCAGACATGTGTTGCGAATATAGTCCCAACTGTTGACATACAGTTCACTGTTTGATTGCCCTGCGACTAGTTGAGGGAAGCACACAGTTGATTACTACATGGTATTCTGCAGTAAGATGAAGGCCAGTTGTTTTGGGTTACGATTTTTCAGTGCCTCACTAGTTTCTGGATGTAGTTTGAGGGGCAACTACGCGGCTTGCAAAGTCAGATTTGACTCCGGACTGAAACAAGCAGCGACCATGTTAAGGCATTCTTCTTTTTTCTGTTGTCGAAAAGTGAAACGAGAGTAATGAGAGTACCGTAAGAGTATGTCTGAAACTCCCTGACCAGTAACCCACTTCTATTTTCGCTCCTGTTGTTTTCTTCCCATTCATCTGAGTCATTTCACTGTCTTCTTGATGTTGCTATGTTATTGTCTATAGCACATAGCTCAGTACCCAGGCTGTACCAGGTTTGTGTTTCGAATTAAACTAATGATACACGTTTGAGTACTTCTGTGCTAGTCTACTGTCGCGTCACTATACTTCCTGTTACTCTTTTTCCTGAAGGTCATATTGGAGTGAAAAACACTTGTAAAAGTCATACAGTTTTTGCTAATGTAGACTGTTTCGGCACCTGAGTTGGATGGTTATCTGTTGGCAGTAGGAATGTAGACCACGTTAAATTATTCCAATTTGTCAAACTGTAGGTTATTTTAAAACTGTACAATCTATGTTGACATTTGTTCCAACTATTTAGTTTTTCAACTTCCCATCTGTGCTACTATAAGGTTTCCGTCAAAATCTGCACATCTAAAATCCTCTCTGTAATAAGTTTGTCAGTATCCACCAGAAGTAGGTCGACTTTGCCGATCGATAAGCCAAAGAGACATCCAATATTTAGATCACCGGCAAAATATCTTGATCAGCCTAAAATGTTTACGACTATTCATATTGTGCAGTTGTATATTAGCTTATGTTGGTATCAGTTGAATATCCCATTAACGATGAAATTTCTGTAGTAGTGATTATGACGAAGCTGACTTTCAGATTAAACTAAAGTTTCACAATTCACCCACCTAAATATAGGAGTAAAATTCACACATAGTAGTAGGGTGTAATGCTAAGTTAATTTCATTATATGATATTGCACACAGTATTATAGCATCTTTATTTTAGCTAATCAGTATGAGAAAAACTGTAAGCGAAAAAAGAGAAGGTGAATTGATCGATCACATAATCAGCTGGTTGAATTAATTAAATCCCATGTAAGGTGATCGCACTAACATTTCAAATGTTTATATGTCATCAGTTGGCTGCATAAATGGAATATCATGAGGTGATCATCACTGAAAGATCTCATATCAGAATGAATCAAATGATCAACATCCTCTGGTTTTCGTTGACTACTCGATCAAAACATGTATACGATTCGAATCCGACTGCATGCCTACTTTACTTTCAAAATAATTGTATAATTGTATATGTGTACAGTGAAATTCAGTGCTTAGTACTCACCTGTGCTTCTTTACGCTCCAATTCTTTCTGAAGTTCATCTATTTTTAATGTTAAATTAGTAGACTGAGTTGAACTGCGCTAGAAGGCATATTTTTAGTGGAAGAGAAAAGAAAAATGGAACAATGGATTGGGGGTAATTAACAGACGAATTTTTTTATTAAAAGAACGATATTTTAATTAGATTGTGGGTATACCTTGTTAACTGATGCAAAATATCTTCTATATTCAGGAGAGTCAAGGTTGTTTTTTATAAGAGGAATAAATGCATTAAATTGTGAATAACCTGTTGATTATCACGAATGAATGTTTTCTGGTTATTTTAAGTTAGTAGAACGAAAACGCTGGATGTTAGGGGTCAGCTGACAAGAAAGAAGGCCCATGCAGCCTAGTTTTCATGATTAGTGGCACTCATATGTAGTGCTTATCTGGGACCACAAACGCACTGTTGTTCTGTGGGTGATTCAAACATGTGTCACACAGTACCTGGGTCAAGAACTTTACTTTCAAGCTATATAAGTTACAACTATCCCTCCTACAAACCGGAATTATGCCAGTGAATTGGTCACTAGTGGTTAACCGATGCAGCTGCTTAGTTCTTAGTTCTTAATTACGGTTCGAGTCTGTCGGCCAAGTCTTGTAACATTACAATTAAGCTAAGAGATGCAATTATTACCAAGTCCTACAGAAATAGTTGAATGATAAGTCTGAAAATTCAGAACTGAATGACGGATACTCAAATCATACTGGGGACACCATTTTTTTCATCGTTGCAGATGTGCCATGCCAATGAGTGCCAACATATTCGAAAGTAAGTTGAGCAGCGCTTCCTGTTGACTGACTCCTAACATACAACGTTAACACATAGTGAGCTACACTTTTGCCATACTCAGGTTCGTGGGAGAATATATAAGGCTGATTAGTAGGCTCCTACCAGTTTTAAGCACTCAGGGTTAGATAGCTATGTTGATTACCCCCTGGTGACCAATCTGTGAATAACAGGTTTTGAATTTTTAATATTGAATCAAGAGAAGCAATAATAAACTGCGGTCACTAGGGCAAATGATGAGAAATCACGGCGTATTATATTTCGTGTTATTTTATGTTTGAAGAAATGGACTGTAAGTTACAAGGCGTAAACCATCTTTTTTTTGCTTCTTTGGACAAGTATTATTATTATTATTAGTCCCTTGGGTTCCTAGTGGAACATAGGGCTTCAGTAGCACGTCTCTAGTGAACTCTCTTCTCTGAAATCTTTTGAACCTGGCTCTACGACAGCCCACAAGCTCTCATTTCTTCCTCACACGATCTCCTCCATGTCACCCTCACCTCAGACGCCCAACTCGTCGTTTCCCATCTGGGTTCCACTCGAGTGTCTGGCCTGACGCGTGATGTCCCCAGTCGGCATTCTCAGTGTATCCTCAATCCATCTCCACTTCCTTCCAGTGCATATTTGTTCAGCGATAGCTTCTTCATTGGTTCGTCACCAGAGCTTAGTGTTGCTTATTCTTATTATTCTAACCATCTGAGCTTCAGTGTCAGTATCGAGCCAGCGTAGGCGGCAATTGTTGATGAATGTCTGTAGTTTCTTGGAAATCCCTTTCGTAACTCACCGCAAGTCTTTGAACCATACAGAAGCACTGACTTGATGTTGGTGTTGAAAAGCCGGACCTTGTTCCACATGCTGAGTGCAGAAGATCTCCACACTGGTTTCAGGCTAATGAACACCTGTCTTGCTGTTTTTCCGATTCTGACTTTGACATCCTCGTCTGTGCTGTTGCCTGTAGTTGAAACAGTGCTTCCTAGATAGGTGAAGGAGGTTACTTCCTTTAAGTTTCTCCGTTGATGGTGACTGAAGTTTGTTGTTGTTGTTGGAGTTGTTGGTGTAGTATCTTCATCACTTCTGTTTTCTCTATATTCACCTGAAGTCCCGTCTTCGCTTCCTCTTCTGTCAACTTGTTAGTTTTCGCCTTCTTTGGGCAAATATAACCCTGTAATACATGAAACAATGATCGATTGAAATGTAATATTTGTCACCTGTCACATATATCTGAATATTTGGTGAGTACTTCATGAGGCATATAGATGTGACTCATGTATACTAAGTATGTACTTGAACAATCCTGAAGATCTTTGTTAAGCTTACAAGGTATTTACCAGCTCACAACACATTCAAATCCAAAATGTAGAGAACATAAAAGCAAAATCACAGGTATGTTTAAATTAATCATAACAGAAAGGAGGGCATTTAGAGCCAAAGTTCCATGTAAACTGATTCCAACTCTTCAATGTTAGGTATCTTATATATCTAACTAAAGATTGTGCAGGGCAACTTACTGTCAAGTTAACAGAATACAGAGAAAAAATAATATTTTCTAAATAATCAGTTTTTTAATTTAGAAAAGACAGAAAAATACTATTTTAAATTTATTTACCACTAAAGTAATCCGACTGAGAGATGGTAAACCCAAAAAGAGTGAAGCAATTAAAACAAAAGTTTAATGATTCAAGTTATCAAGCTTCATGATGACACAGAAGAAATCTACGGAAGTAGAGAGGTGTTCTACTAAATAACAAGAATATGAAAAAACAGTAAATCAGTAAGCATACGCAAAATTGTCAAAGTTTATGATGGTGACAAAGAATGACTACTCTACATCTGTGCCACTGTGTTAGATTTTTAAACATGTCACTGAAAGTCTTCATTCATTAATCCTTGACATATCAATGACCTAATCGTAATCGTCTACAATGTTCATACACGAATCACATCAACAATCAGAACTTCAGAAATATACTGCTGAGCAATTTGACTAGTTAGAAATCACTCAGTTCGATTTGTAGATTTCTGCTGCAAGATAAGAGTAATCTAAACAAGATAACGGCCATCTTGTTCGCTTGTTGTCAAAATAACCAGTGGTGTACCCGGAAAAACTCACTCACAGAGTTGAAGTGCTCAAATTACTTGGATCTAGATGAATTTGTTTAGGTCATGACACTGCTGTATCCGAACTCACACATTAGCTGTGTGGTTTCAATACTAAAATCATGTTGATATCACAGTTGGGCAGTTGTCTGTGAGAAGTATCAACATGGACCGTACAATTTCTAAATCATTTGCAAATCGGTTATTTTAATCACCGATTTCATAGCCTGTTGTTACTTCTCGGTTCACGTACCCTTGGCTTCATGTCAGCTCAATCTTTTTAAGATAGCATTGACCTGATATATGCAAGATACATCCTGTTAGCCTGAGTTGGCGGAATATTTATCAGTGCATCAATTCACTTGTTATGCGAGCCAAACTTTCTATGAATACCTTCTGCACTTTTATTGTTATAGTTTCACCTATTGCACAGGTGTACTATTGAACAAAACTAATAGACCTTTCAGATGTTCAATGTTCAACATCCACGTTTCATAAGCCTATTGTAAGACAAAGTAAAGAAACGAGAACCGTAAGGACAGTTCGATGACAAATTAGTGTAATTTGGAGACAATGAATTATATTTTTATACCGTGTATAACGAACGTTCAGCGATACATGCCTTAGACTTGCACGGCTTGAACTAAAAACCTTCATCCTTTGGTAGAACACTACTCTGTTTACACAAGGCAGAATTCAGTCATCTAAAATTAAAATTTTAAGTAGTCTTAAAACATGGTAACATTCATAGTTCAGAAAGAGATGAGAAAATGAAATTTACCAAATCTGAGACTTGTACTTTTAAATCTTCTTCTTTACTTCGAAGTTTTTCTTCCAGTTTTTGTCGTTTCTCCGTTTCTTGTTCAAGTTGTGCTTGTAAATTGTTACGCTGAATTTGCAGTTGGTCATACTAATTGAAAGTAAATTTGAAAACATACTGTAGACTAGTTTGTATTCTTCAGAAGTGACTAGAAATTTATTGAAACCGTTTAGATTTAGGACTGCTCAACAAAGGGTTACTTTGACCTCAAGTCAAACCAAGGAACGAACCTGTCCACTATGGTAGGATGTAATTCTATTTTTATTGATTTATTAGATTTATCATGCAGTGTAACAGTATTGTTCACTGGATTATGTCTTGGACATAATTTATTGTCCGTAGTCATATCAATAGAACTACACAATTTTGAGATATCCTTTATGTAGTCCTAATTTCCTCGACCCCTTCGTGATATGGATTGAGCACAAAAACCTAGTTAGGTCAGAATTGGTAGATCCTAGTAAGGTAAGGAATTTAGAAAAAAGGTTCATCCATAGCTATGCATGCGATTACACACAACCACACAATAGGATGGGACAGGGCGAAAATCTTTAACAGTGGGGAGGGAGAGATTGATAACTGAAGCATTGTTTATCTAGTCAATACCTAATACATGCAACAGGAATGACTCGCACCTGTTCTGGATATCTGAAAAATCTTACTACCCATGTCACAAAGGTGGCGGAGAAATCTCAGAGTTATGGAGTTATCTCGATATGACTATGGACAATAGGTTATGTCCGAAACGTAATCCAGCAAACATTACTGTTACACTGCGATAAAGCTAATAAATCAGTTAAAATGGAAGGAATCAACCGCCAGGTCTCGGGATCAATTTATGGCCATATGCTCAATTGGCTGTGATCAGCCCGTTCTCATATTCAGAGATAGTTTGATTCATGGACTGATAAAAAATGCACAGACATTAAGAACCATGGAGCACAAGACTGGGTGAAAAAAGACTGTTTTTGACTTCTACTTGGGTTTAAATTCCAAACAATGTTGGGTGATTGATTCATAGCAATAAGAAGTAGTATTCATCATGGACTGACATCAGTTGGGGAACCATTGGAAACCTGGGAGCACGGAACAGCTGTTTCGTTCTTGTATGAGACTCCTCAGCAGTACGCACCCATGACCCGGCTAGTAATCGAACTCAGGACCTTTTTGTCTCACGGCGAACCCGTTAACCATTCAGCCACTGGGTCGGTTTCCAGTGGTTCACAATTTCCAACTTCCGTCAATTCACGATATAGCACGACTGTCAACTAAGGTTTTCAGTTAACATCCACTTAGCAACCACTGGAAATCGACCCAGTGGCTGAATGGTTAACGCGTTCGCCGTGAAACCTGAAGGTCCTGAGTTCTATTGCTAGCCGGGTCGTGGGCGCGTACTGCTGAGGAATCTCATAAGAGGACTAAACGGCTACCCAGTGCTCCCAGGTTTCCAATGGTTCCCCAACTGATGTCAGTCCATGATGAATACTACTTCTAAATTAAAAATCACCATTCATCTCATAAAGAAGATTTAAGACATGATGATCACCGAGCGAAATTTCACACCACTGCTACTACTTGTTAAAATAAAAAGTAATATAAGCAGTACTAGCAAAAAATATTTGATGTGCAGAGTTAACGGAAACATTTATCAACATATTATCAAAATACAAAGTCTTCATTGGTATTTAACCATTAATCATTCATCCCAAAATTATGGTTTGTAAGGGATCTTAGGGTACATTTTTGTGATAAGACTATTATCATAGAGATAAATTTTTGAGAATATGAGTCAGACTACCAGTGATCGCATATCTTGTTACAGTTTGTACAAAGTGAACATTTTTTCATTTAATTTTTTATCACTCACTTGTATCTGAGCTTCTTCAAGTGATTTTTGTGTTTGTTTATAGGATGCCTTTATTTCTGTATACTGTTTACGCAATTTTTCTAATTCTTGACTTGAAGCTGTGGATATTCCAGTACTTGGCTAGAGGAGGAAATAAACAGGTGTACAAAAAGGCAGCAAATATTTAAAAGAGATTACGATGGTTAGCTGTTTTTTGTTTGCGTATGACCTTTGATTTTACTTTTATAGACTTAAAGTAGACTATAAAATGAGTGACAACTGATTGTAAAAATGTCTTGTTTTAACTAATTCAGTAAATTATTCAAAGTTTCAATGATGTTTAGTTTGTTGAAATGAATTTTCCTTTGTTAATTTTACATTTCCTTGTAGAATGTTAGAGTAAACTACTTTTCTAATGACAAATAAAACTAGACTTTCCTTCCTTCACATGTCCTGTGTACAGCAAGTAAAACGTAAATGGTATAGCTTCAGGGCATACAGAATTGTGTAATTAAAGAAACTGCAGTCTTTATGACCAATCATGAACACCTTTGGGACAAAAGATGAATTTGTAGGTTTGTGGGGATTTATTCATTAATTTCAGGTTGATATTCATCATGAACTGACATCAGTTAGAGAACCATTAAAGATTTGCGGGCACTGGACAGCTGTTCAATCTTAGTACGGGAATATCCAGGGGTGTATACCCGAGACCCCAACAGGGACCGAATCCAGGACCTACAAATTCCACAACGAGCACTTTGCATTGAACTGTCAGATCGGAATTCAATGGTCCAGACTTCTTAATTTCTGTCATTTCGTGATGTAGCACGGCCTTCATCCAGTGCCACTGACGAGTATCTGCCCTTTTGTCAAACTTGAATGTAGGTCACGTTATTTCGCATATTAACAGAAGTGGGAGAATGTGCAGTTTTGGATCCCGGCCTAGTGGCTCAATGATAACGTGCTTGCCATGGAATCTGAGGGTTCTGGGTCCGGTCCGTGATGGAGTCGTCGGTACACACTACTGGGGAGCCGCGTGCTAGGACAGAACAGCTAACCAGTGATCTAAGGTTTTCAACGGTTCTCCAACTAATGCCAGTCTATGATGAATACCAGCTTGAAAATAAAGATGAAACAGGTAGGAATGAAAATGACAATAAGACAAGGTAATGACAGGATAGGGAGATATATCAAATGAGATCTGTTCTATTACGCAATGGATAAGTGTTTATAAAATGAACACTGAAGATTTAGATTGTTACGCTGTATTATATGAACTTGGCTTCAGTTAAAACAGTGGTTAACTTCACATGTCACTGAAAAACTTCAGACAACAATGAAACGTGTATTCAGTGCTATGATATTACCAACAGAACAGTTTCAGATCTATTAAAGTACGTTTTCCAAATACCACTGCTAGCCTGTAGCAAAAAAAGACATATGCACATTTAAACGGTTTGCCAAAAGTGATTGATCTCTATGGTTTCAGAGAAGTGAGCTAAGATGAAGTAAAAGTTCTACATGAATTAGAAATGTTTTGTAGGACACAATATACACATATATACCTACCTGATACATTCTTGAAGATGTTAGCGGAAGTGCAGTTGATAAAGAGATGACAGGTTCTGTTGAGTCTTGTCGATCTAGTAAACGTTGTCTTAAAGTGTCTACTTGACTTTCCAATTCCGTGTTGCCTTTGCGTAAACCATGAATCTCATCCAACAGATCATGCTGTTGAAAAGAGAAAAGTAGTGAAGGTTTCTTGAGGACTCGAGTCAAATCTGTTTGGTGTTTTGAGTCATTGAACCAACCGGTAACTCAGTGGCAGATAAGTGCTATTTCAAGTTGGTACTCACCATGGAATGACATCAACTGTAGGAATATTAGAAACCTAGGAGCATTGGATAGCTGTTTCGTCCTAGTATGGGACGCCTCAGCAGTGCGCATCCATAACCTCGATTAACCAGACGGTGTTATGAAAAGTCTCAATGCCAAACACAAATAACGATAACCATACTTCGCCTATGGTTTTATCTATCTTGCAACTAGAAATACGTGTAGATCACTAATACTGCTTTAATGTAATTTTTTCAAGACTGTTCATGTCAAATATCAAATGGTACACTAAGTATAACATCATTAAGGATCATCTTCACTTAAACAACTGTTTGGATGAAGTCAATGATAAATTATGCAACTACTGAGATTTATCCTCTGCAGATGTCGACATGTAAGAAAGATTTACAATTATCCAATATAACTGATTTATATCTATCTCCAACTAAATAGATTTCATCATTTACATCATCTGATAGGTACTTCAAGAAATCCTTATCGGCAACCTGATTATAAGAAAATGAGACAGAGACAGAATCGTGCAAACTGGATAAATACCAGAAGAAAGTTAATCAATTCATTTCTCTGTTGAACATCTACAAATACCATATCAATTTGTCTGTATACCTAGTCATTTGAAGAAAGAGGTGACTTAGCACCTTGTTTTTTAGACAATTCAAGTCAAATGGTTTTCAGTCGTTTGCTAGTACAATTCCATATCAAATAGTTTGCACAGGAAGAGCAGAATAGAATCTTATCCTTATCAATGATTTACTGACATTAGTGTTCAAAAAGAAACAAGCAACAAATAAAGCATATCCCTCTGACTATACTTCCATATAACCATCTATCACTTTTACCTATCTTAAAAAATAGACCGAGGTGATTTGCATACATTAGTTGTTACGTGATAATCTTCTATGTTACTTGTTTTGTTAGGCTTTCATCACGGTTTCATTATATATGCCATGATACAAAAAACTCAGTGTTGGTTGGATGATTGTAGGGCATTGGGATGAAAACTCTGCAGACAGGGCTGATTAGGTTGCTCGATAATTAAGTGTACGAGAAATTCAAATCTACACCTAAAGTTTGGATCTGTATCTATGCGCCTAATTAAGGAAGTTCAACCTCAGTAAATGATTGCTTATACTGCAGATACAATAATTAGTTTTAGTGTAGAATAGTTTGTTCAAACTTCAAACCAGTCATAAGATTCGACCAGAAGGAAAGGCGACTGTTATCAATTTATAAAACTACTTAAAACACAATTAAGTAGCATATGGGGAGACACTTGCATATAAAAGTATTCAAATACTTATGCATGAATCTTCCACACCAGTTTATTTGACTCACATTTTCATTTTCAAGTTTTCTTAGCCTTGTTTCACGTTCTTCTGCACGTTTTTGACCAATAGATAGTCGATTATTTGTTTCTTCTATAGTAGACTGTAGGCGGGTAATTTCATCGGCTTGACAACGCTTTATTATCAAGCAGTTGGAAATAAAATGTGAAAGAAGAGAACAGATTGATTAAAAAGAGACCAAATAGCAAATTAAACATAACTTTGACAACTTCATAGATGTGGCTTTTATACTAAGATTATAGTCAGTGGATGGAGAGGAAGATGCATGAAGCAGGGTAGAACGTTCACAATAAATAAACAGTTCAAATTTGAGCAGGCACAGATACAGCAGAGGCGATAAAGTCGGTGAGGGTTTTGGAGATAGAGATATTGAACTTTATAGTTTGAAAATCAGGAGGTATTGGTGACCAACGACAGAAAAGGGGATGCACATTTCACGATTTTAGGACTAGTTAACTGGATGTACCCGCCGGTTTTGTACCCACTAGGACTAGAATCTATTATCCATTGTCTCCATAGCCGACTGATGAGTCCCAAATAGAACGAAACGCATGTACTAGATTGTCGACCATATCAAGACATTCTCATTAAAGGCCTATATGTGAATAATAGTCGATTGATTCGGTCGAAATCAACCAACTACGGGAAATAACAGGTTATAATGTCAATACATAGACACTGCAAAAACATGGTAATCGTAACTCACTACCTCAAGAGTTTACGTTCTAGTTTACGAAGTGATGGATGCAGAGAATGACAGAAACGTTCAACCAGGAGGTCTGAAATAAGATGAAAGATCTGTTCTTGATTTCATGGCTAGCCACTTTTCATCGAAACTAGTAACTGTCTCCAACTTACAACTGAAGAATAAGAAGGTTCTAACTAAATAAATCAATAATCAGTTTATCTGTTATCACACGAAAGCTATTTTTTATTCATGCACGTAAAGTGTGATTAAAACAACCATAAATTATCTGTTTATCGGCTTTCAAATAAGAAGAAAATCAAGATAAAGCCTGGAAGATCTTGTTAATGAGCTAAAGGCTTTATTTCCAGTCATTATAACAGTAATGTAAAACTGGTTATTCGTGTTTTATAGCGTATAGTGGAAAAATGAAACTGTTCAAGAATTCATTCAGGACATTTTCTGTAGAAGGTATGAACTAATTCTCAGCTAGTTTATTAGACCATTTAGATCAGTAGAATAAAATTTAAATGAATCTTCGATTTTTTTCAACTTCTTCACCATGACCTAATAAAAAGAATATTATCAAGGGTATATATTTAGCTGTAATTTCAAACAGATCAACTAAAGGGCTGGGTTCAGTCATTTAGAAGCTCTTTTCTGCTTAGCATTCATGAGGAAGATGCATCTAAACCTCAGCGAAGATGACATTCCATCAAAGATCCGAACCTAAGTAACCCAGTGTTGCCACATCCTCTAAAGAAATAAATCCAACATTGATATGATCCAACTGTAGACTACCATGACGTGGATTGTATTTAAACAATTGTTAGTCATTGAAAAACCTTACAAACCAATATTGACTATTTCTGCTGAGAACATAATTTGAGGATAACAAACTGGAAGGAGTTGGTAAGTCACTGCTCAGAAGAATGAATACAATGAAAACGCAATGGTATTTCATAAAAGTTTTTATATGACCTCAGGGACTGACTATTTAGGATAGAAGCTTAGGGAGAAAAACTAAATGGCTGCGTATAGTGACTTGATTCAATCTAAGTTTAGTAGGTCATCCTATTTGAAGAATAATAACTGCATTTTCTAACAATTTTGTGGATAAAAACCACATAGACGAAAACGAGATTGTAAGTAACTGGTCATTCTGTCGAAAAGCTTGACCAAATGTATCCGGACATGAACCTTTTATCCTGTATGAACAATTCAATTGGTGAAGGTAAGTTGACCCTGCTGTTGTTTGGGCACATTTCGTGGCGCATGAAAGCAACACAAAAGACCCAAATGCCATGAGTGATTAGAATGTGAAGTTAGAAATTATTCAACATTTAATGATTTCCTATTCGCGAAAGTTTGTGAAGCTCAATATCTTCACGATACACAATCATGCCATTTTTGAAAACCATACCAATTTCATGACAAATAGAATCAACAGACTTATTTCTTCATCTACAAGTCAGCATAAAAGTCAGTTCTGTTAAAGCAAACTATTAAAAAATAATTTACATATTTAGCTTACAATTTCACTTGTTTGACTTTTTATTTGATGTCCTTTTTCGTCTAATTTCATTTCCAAATGTCCAATATGTGTCACTTGTTCTTGATTAGTACTGCGTAGTCGAGTAATTTCTTCCGTCTATAGTTAATAAGTAAGACGTTACTTAAGACGCATACATAAGAAAAAATTAGCTAACTATTTCCTTTATTCATTTTAAACACTTAGGGGACTATTGCATTTTGCAGAGGAACATTCATTGGTTTTGTAAAGATGCTCACTATACACAAGAGGTCATACAGTTTTTAATATTATTTCTGTGATAAGTAGAACATATATAAAGTTTTGAAGTCAAACATCTAAAACAACCGTCAGTTATTAGTTGTCGAATTATGTGAGAAAGGGATGTATAAACATTATACAACATACCAAAAAGATAAATTATCTGAACCATTAGAAATCAGCATATCAGTGGAGGAATTAATCTGAAAATGATCCCAATAGAGGTCATAAATATGTTGGAAATGAAATCAGTGACAGATTTCTTTTAAGGGATTTTATTATCGTCATTTTAAACAAAGCTACTGAAGATTGATCATCGAAATTTCGCTTCTCAATTATATTATTTGTAAGCAGATCAAAAACGATTACGAAAATTATTGGCTATACACCCTTTCGCTATTGATGCAACTTACTAAGGTTTGGGCTTAATTTGTCAATAAATAGCTTAGCATAAATAAAAATAACTTTAAAGATTAGCGAAAAAACTGCTGAGGTAACCAATTACATTTCTGTTTTAGGAAGAAATATCTTCCCAGTAGAAATACAGAAAGTTGATTGGTTATTTCAATGGTTCCTAGTGTGGCCTTTAGAGTCACTCAAAATTTAAAAAAAACCTACATATTGACTTTGCATTTGTCTAATTCTTTCTTCTCGATAAACTGCATCATCACGTAAACTTTTCACTTCAGCCTCAGCTGTTGCCAATTGTTTACGCACATTCATTAGTTCATCTCGAAGTTTAAACTGCAAACAGAGAAATAATTAAAAGACATCAGCGGTACACTGAAAAGAAATTGTTTACCATACATACTGAAGCCAAAGAAAACCAAGGTCTTTAAGTTTTCATGAGATGATAAACTGGTGGCCAACTTAGAAGAGAAATTTGTACTCAAGATAAATCACCTATGAACTACATACCCCTTGAATCAAGATGCAGCTTTGAGGAGAGATTTCTGTGTTCATTTAATGATCGATAAAGTATCGAGATACGGGAAATACGGTATTGAAATCAATTTAATTGTGTTTCAAGACCTGTTAGGATAGTACACACACGGCATCTTCAGACTATCAGCTGTCACTGTTAGCTGCTGATTTGAAATCCAATGGTCAAACTCTGCAACTTTCATCAGTTCGCGATATGGAGCAAACATCATCCAACGTCAGTCGTAACCTGTTGGGTTGATGAAGTTGTACGAAAGGATGCTCACTGATTATATTTAGGAGCTGTCGTTCTTTATCTTCAATTGACAGAAGTTAAAAAGTTGACCAATTAGATTCCAGTCTGTTGGGCATACTTCAGTGGTTCTCTGATACTTTATTTACCTTTAAGATTTTTTTATCTCGTGTCTTTTATCTCATCGTAGAAATATGCACGTTTTTCACATTTTCTTTTGATTCCATTTGCAGACAGCTTTACTGTTTTCATTGTTGACGCACTTCCTGTTAAGAGTTTTCGACAGTGACAAGCCGACAGAGATTTTACCCTCCAAGGTTTTCTATTTATTGGTCATTATTGTTCATTAGTGCAAAATCGCATTTCCGACAAATTATGTCTTCGATTTTACACGTAACTGTGTCGTTGCTTTATTGGTCGAAGCACTAGTTGGTCACTTTGATTTCGAATTTCTTAGAGAGAAACTGACACCAAAATTACTTGGTGATTAACCTCTGCATACTCAGTTGTTCTTGGTTTATAGACGCAGTATAACTATCACCTGGAGATTCTTAGTATCCTAGTATTTTTCGTAAACTACATCTGTAGATTTGTCAAATACTGCTCATTGAGAAAATTAACAATTCTGATAACTGACAGTGTTTACTTAATATAATTGTAAATTCCATTCGAAGTTTGGCTGTAATGTAAACTTTATAACGACTGTGAATTGTAATGAATTCGTTGGGTGGTATACGAGCTAGTATTTTGACGACTGAATTTCTAAAAGGTAAATAAATCCTTTATGAGGACAGTGTCAGTGGAGTCATTAACCTTGTTATGGAATATCTACAATTAGGCATATCAGCTTGGAGAACACAACAAATAATCATTGTCACCCTAAAATCCGTTTCTATTTTACTTTGCCTTATGGTAGCTACCGCCGAAATCCCAAACGTACATTTTATCCCTTTGGCACTCATTAGGTGGATCCAGTATAACATCGGGAAATGATAATATGAACTCAAGGAAGTCTTTGATATGATTAAAGTGAATAACAAGAAGTTGTCCTTCACAATCCCATCATTATGTGTAAAACATAATCCAAAGAAATTCTCGTACTCATCTAGGGTGTAGGCAGGTGATAATAAACTAAGAAAATGGTAAAATGAACCATGCCCATTCTATGCTATTGTTGTTTTCATGTTTCTCAAGGTCATAAACGGTAATTATGTGTATAAAACGGCTTATTCTTAAGGTCATGAGATAATTTGTCTCCCCTGAGACAAAACCATTAAACGAACAGAGAAAGGATTGTGTTTGAGCAGAAAATGTTGGTTTAAAAAGCGCTCTGAAAAAAAAAACAGAATATAAACCTACGGAATCTTTTTCAATGGACTCAATACGAGTTTCACGTTCTTTAATTGTATTCTGTAGGTAACCAACATGATGTTTAAAATCATCAAGATCAGCTTTTTGTCGTTTTATTTCTTCAATATGCGATTTCGCCTAAAATTTAAATTGGTATTTTAAAAAAAGTAAATTAATAATTTTGGCCAATTTATTAAAAATCACCAGGCATGTTTCGTTGACATCCTCACCTGAATTTATGATTAATTCTCAGGACTTGAAATGGTGTTGATTACTATTCAGCAATTAACTGAGTTTATGTTAACACTCTCTTTACCGCTAAATATGAGATACTCTTAACATGTGTCATATCCTTGTTGTTTTGGATACGAATCATCACACAGAGGATACATACATAAGCAACACAATGACATGAACACTTCTTTCTTGTGCTGGATCGACTTCAGAACGAAGTAGTATCAAAACGCTTCAAATAAGAACCAAGTTAAACAATTCAATACGTCAGTGGACTATCAATTCAAACTAACCAACGAGTGATATTCTCACTTGCCTATAATCTCTAGGTCAGCTTTTGGTTTGTAACAGTAAGATTGTATTCACCTTACATATTTCTTAGCAAACAGATAGCTTACAGAAGAAATGAGGCGGATATGAATTTCACAAGTGATTCAAATCTAGACTTTATGAACAAATTCCAATCTGCATACAACTACCTTATATCTTTTTCAATTGTTTACCTAACACAGTATCGCTAATAGTGGTATCACTAAGCAGCTGCGAATATTTAACCTCTTGAAACATATCCTGATATTTGCTCATTGTTCAGTTTATCAGGGCTGATGTAATTCCATATTCAATGAACTAGACTTGCTGTGTGTAAGTTATGAAGAAGCTTTTTGATGGCGATGACTGGAAGGCGTCTGTTTGATCGCTCAAAACTCTTATGAAGACAGTTCAAGGTGTCCGAAAACTTTTTAACTCACCTATCAGAACAATGTCTTCTGAGGAAAAATTTAAGTCATGTTTTACAGTTCATAAAATAACAAAGATACTTATTTTGGTCGGGGCTAGCCTTGAAATCTCATTTAAGCGTTTCAGTGGGGTAAATCCTTCTAATGAATGCTGGTGTTCTTAATGACACTTGAAATCGAAAGTTACCACCTTTAACCTTTCAGAACCGCAAAGATCACTGGGTCATAGAAGTCTTATTTTTTGAAACAAGCATTAACTGTTATTACTCAGTGTTTATCACCGAAACAAAAAATCAGACTAAAGTTTATAAAGATATAAAAGCTATTGTACTAAGGGGTCTATGTGTCAGAAGTGGATGTTCAGTCTAATTAACAATGAAAACTCCAGGGTGGGGTAGTAATCACGGACTGATATTATCTGAACTACTGTTTCGACTTAGTATGAGACTCCTCGGTCGTGTGCAGCCACTACTCTGTCAAAGATCAAAACCTGGACCTCCAGGATTCTCGGCAAACACATCACCATTAAAACTGCTTGGTTGGATCCCGATGGTTCACATTTTCTTACTTCAGTCACTTCACGATAAACCTCAACTACCATCTGATGCTACTGACTAGAAGATGCCTTCACAACCAACTTGGTTTACCCACAAGTCACGGCTTTTCATTGGAACCCCTGGAAATTCATCTCGAAGGCTGTCACCAATAAAGATAGAACAGTTTTTTAGTTTAGAGGTATTTTTGAAGACACTAAAAGGTAGGAGCAATGAATCTCTTCAGATAGTCAAGTGTGATATGTGAATAGTCAGACGGTCAATTCCGACGTTGTTGGACTTCTAGGTGGAATATGAACACCGAAATTATTTACTTTCATATTTTAATTCAATAAGCGTAATTTCAATAATAAAGTGTTGTTGAAACAATGTAACGTTTGAACACAAAGAATCACTAAAATGCTTTTCCTTCTAAAAAAAGTAGTTATTTCACTTACACAATCCTGTTCCAGTTGTCTGAGTTTTTCAGTCTTCTCGCTTAGCTGGTTTAAAACTGATTCATACTTCTTCTGCAGACCATCCTTCTCCAAGATTAATTTGTCCTATGTAAAAGACACCAGAGTATTCTTTCATTAGATAGACTATGCACTTGTTGTGTACTGAATAAAATTTCCATTCTGTAATCGTTAATCAACCATCTGATTGGCTGAAATTCACGGTTTTATTGGCTACAGCTAAGTCAAGCAACTTTTCTGTGTGCTTAACTCTGAGTACAAACAAACTAGAAAACATGATCAAACAGGAATTTTACCTAATGTGTCCAGCCATTTACTGAAAAGATTGTTGGTACAGATCTGGAATTGGATTGTGTGGTTGCCTGCATATATATATATATATATATATATATATATATATATATATATATATTTATATTATGACGTGAAACTCACCAAGCTTCGGGACTCTTCAGTATCATCCAACCAACCAACAGTAGCAAGGTACATCACTTCATTGGAGCCGACCCGAAAATTCGGCGTAAGGCATCCACTCTCCACTATATACATGCCAACCAATCAGAGCAAGGTGACCTTCCTCAATTCATTCGTAAAAAAGTGAACAAATCACAAGGAAGGAACCTCAACGTACTGCAGACAAACAAAGGAAATCAACTAATCATGTAGATGCACACGCTTCCAAAAAATCAGAGGCAGGAAGTCAACTAATCAGGTTCAGCATGCCTCCACTCACTCACTCACCAAACGACCAATCAAATCACAATCAGGTAAAGTGGCACATTGTGAATATTCATGTACAATAAATTACTTCAGTTTCTTGTGAAGCCCTGATGAACTGAGAATGATATCTAATATGAAGTCAAAACGTTTATGAGTTGAAAGTGTGTTCAGCATAACATGGATTCGCACACATTTGTGACAGTTATACACAAGTACACTACAATACCTCACGAAAACAGTAATGATGATATCCTTTCTTTAGTAATTACTGAGTAATCAGTTTGTTCAGGATCTACATTACAAGATGTGTAACATCAGTCAACAGAAAACCTTAATGTATGGCCTCATTCTCCTTTCTAATGAACATTAAAGTGTGTCTGTAGCCTAAAAAAACTACTGTAAATATTTTCTTGAAAATGTGAACCTGCATCAATTAGTAACGAAGTTACAGACACTAGTGATATGTTATATAAGCCTAACAAGGTTCACAGCCTTATACTGACTGATTGACTGAGACTATCTTAACTAAATACTGGATGGGGCATCCCATTGTAGTGTAGTCTTACAAGCATGATGGATCATTTTTAACTAATGCGTAGACAGCGACAGCCTCATCGGGTGAACAATTTTTGTAAGAAGTCCACTTCCTGAAGCAAGTTCTTTACACTTGCAAATTCTGACTTTAAAACACTAGTCATTTCTCTTAAACAACATTTTGAAAAGTTATTGGTATATTAATCGAAGGTAAATGTTAAAATCACGAAATCCATCTAAAAATCAGATAAACGTTATCTTCAACATATGCAAATAATAATCCGACTTTAGCATTATTTTTTTTCGAACGTCAACTTACTTTCTCTGCTTCTATTGTTCTCAGTTGATTAATCTTCTCAGTAAGATTAGATTTACTTTCACCTAATTTTTCGTTTAAGTCATCTCTTTCTCGTTTGATTAACTCCATCTGACTGCTTAAACTGGCAACCTTGAAGATTTTTTAAAATATAAAAAGAAAAAGGTAATAACATTAGAGATAATATCAGTCATTGCAAACCACACATAATCGTTTAGAGATTGTTTAAGTGTATAACTGAAGGTATACGCTGTAGTATTCTTTCATGTCATTTTGTCAATCTTACAGTTTATCACCTGTGATTTGAGACCTAAATAAAGTAGGACTATTTTTTAATTTCTAAAGGTGATAGAACGTCTTAGATACTACAAAATATTCTTGAGTTTTTCCAGTTGCCCTGATGATTCTTACCTAGTGTTTAGATGGAGCGATGAGCTAAATATTTCAAGTGTGAATAGATCGATAAATAGGTAAGCAGATGAACTGATAGTAGGAGGAAGAAATAGGCAAACAAAGCAGAATATTTTATATGTTAACACATGGAAGAAATCAAGAATAGAACAAGTATGTCAAAACTACCAAGAAGGATACAAAGTATTCGATAAAGGGGTAAAGCATGAGGGTTGATATGAGGCTTAGAATCTTAAGATACTTCATCCTTTGACTCAAAACACCTCAAGTACGTTGCTTTACTAACCTACATTTCCATAGATGATCCTGACTAACAGGAACTTGATGAACTGGTGGCGAAATCCTCATTTGCCATACTTAGAGGCTATCATTAGGAAGCCGGAAGTGATTTAGTTTTCCACAGTTGACATCAATTCACTTGAGGATAAACATCTGCTGTTTTGATAAGTGTAAACAATCAGGAAACCTTATTAAACCAGGGATTCCTACCTATTTGCCCCAACTATCCAATATCAATCAAGATCTGTCATGATGCTGAATCTCCTAGTAAGATCACAACATTATAAAACAACCGACAGAATTCGGTTCAGCACATGAGAATAGGAAATAAGAAATTAGTTACCCTTTAGTGATTAATCAATGAAGATTTCCACTTTTGTTTTTAAGTCAAATGTGTCACACAGATAAACAGCATTATTAGCTGTAAAACGTTTAGGACATTAACTGTGGTCGATGACGGAGCATTCTGCTGGAGCGTAGAAGTTTAACGCTTACACCAATCATTATTTTCCTCATTAATCCTACTGTGAATAACAATAGACATCGAATGAGACAGTGACGTGACATGTATAGCGTATGTTTCAGTCATTTCAATCGATGAATGTTCAAAAGTTCACTGCTACTGTAAACTCCCAGTCGCCATATGTGACTTTCATGCAATCATGTCACTCAGGGTTAAATTTGCTTTATTCGTTCATAACTTTTTATCATTTTGACTCTCTGAGATAGCCACTTTTTGATACTGGGTGATGATTGAAGGCAAACTGAAAATTCGCACCACGTTGGGATTCGAGGCAGTGACCAGCTCAGTTGGTAAAGCATAGTGTTGGAAACCATGTGGTCGTTGGTTCGAATCCCGTCACGGTCCAAATTCTTATTTCACCTTCAAATAACCCTGAGTATCGTAATTTTTTGTTGGAAATCACAATATATTACTCATTTTGATTGCCCACCAACAGGACCTTGTTCACATTATACATTATTGATTAATACGGGATTTAGTTGATTATATTGTTGACATGAAGCGTGTGGTCTGAACATGCATTTTTAAGTTGCTTGTTTGTCACATTATGAATAGTGTTTCATGAAACGGACCTACGTTAATTGTAACAAAGTATGACTATCTATACATAGTTGTGATAGATGGTGGAATCCAAGATGCACATTTCATCCTGTTTGGGACTCGTCAAATAGATGTTTCTGTCTCTTAGTGAGTGGTTTTGTTCCGACTGGGATTCGGACTCGGGAGCGATCGCTCCACCAGACCACTGAGCCACGATAGCTACTTCTTGCAAGCAATTATATTAAAGTGTGATTTAATTTATGAAAAAATGTGTTTGTCTAGAGGTATTTTACAAATTGTGAGCACAAAGCACAACTCTATCGCGTGACAGTAGTAACGACTATTCAGGGATGAAGTCACTTTGTGGAAAATTAGTTGATTTCAAAGTAGTTCTTGCAGAGAACTGAGTTAAATAAAATAGTCACTGAAAAATGGATAATGATACATACTACTTGCTATTATTAAGTAGTATATTAAAATAACGATATGTTCAATTAGGTTGGACTTCATTCAAATAACCAGTTCCGTAATGTAAAAGTCATGATTTATTTTCTTTCTATCCTTATTTCACATTGTTCCTATATTCAATGGCTTAGTAACTTTGAAAATGATTACATCAGGTTTAATGTGATACAATCACAAACGCGGACCAACTCACGATACAGCTTATTTTATCCCAAAGTTTCATTCCGTTTCAGAAATTGTAAACACACTGTTCACTCTGAGATATACGATACCGTTATGCTGTTTGATGTATTTTTTTAAAGTAGACACTTTGAACTGTAACCGAAGGCGTTTTCACTGAAATTTTTTTCAGATGAAAAAACGTGGTCACTAAACTCACAGTATTTAAAAACGCATAAACAACAGTGGTAATGTTGTTTCTAAATTATTGAGCAGACATTCAGGTTAGTTATAGACTATAGAACAACAATTTTCATACCTCTACTTCACGTTCCGCTTTAGCTGAAGCAAGTTCTCGTCTGAGAGTAGCCATTTCTGTAAAATCTGATGTATGAAATCCCTGTTTAGGAAGAAAGTAAAATATATAGGAAATTATTATATAATTACTAAATTTCTGACAGTATGCGAAGAAATAGCAAGCTATGTAATATGATGAGTCTTATTTGACCCTTGAAGTTTAATCATTGTATTTTGTCACCCAGATTATTAGTATTCTCATGTCCAACTTTCAAATCTCAGATAGTATATTGATGCCATAAAGTAAACGACCAGTTATATCTTAGTTACCCTATGACATCTGTTTTTGGTTTCCCCTATTATCTACCACACAGTGTTTTCTCACAAGTGAGGTAGTTAAATGATAATGAGACGTTGATGATGGATAGTGAATAGCAGCGGAACGCAGAATGTGCGTTTCGTCCTATGTGAGACTCGCCAGTTGGATATACGTGCACCCCTTTAATGTTATTACCACTGAGGTTCGAACCCAATTCTCATCACTTCAAACTCCAACAAAGGCACATTCATCTGACGAGTCCAAAATAGAAATAGACACGCTTCTCGGATTCCACTGCTAGCCTCAAACAGACTACATTATAATGAATATTCAGGTAGTATCGAGGTCGCCACATAGGAATCCATCTGCTAACAGAAGTCGAGTAATTCGACGCAGTGTAGACACTGGAAGTTACAAGTGTCAGTAAACAAAAGATTGTGTTCACTCATAACTTTCCAATGATTGATCATTCGTCTGGCGATCCATATATGCTGCCGTATGTCTTTATTTCTTTGTCCGGTTGAACTGTTTCACTCGATAATTGTAAAAATTGATGGAGAACTGTTTCAGTTGTCATATGTTCACTAGTGATTAATGAGATGGGTAAAGACAAGAGCACAGTAGGCGGATCAAGACACAATTACTGAATACAACCGATATTGCCATAAATTCTATTATCACCTAAAAATATGCATAACTGCCAAGTTACATATTCTATGCAAAAGGATTCAAGAAATTGAAAACCTTTGAAGTCGTTGGAAAAGCGAGATACTCCTCATGAAGTCTACATTATCTGTGTTTCCCAATACTCAAAGTTTTATTTGACTAGAAAATGTGAAGATTGTTACAGTCAAAAAAAGTAGAATTCATGCTAGGTGAACGAAAATAAAGTAAGACTTACTGTTGATGACTTCAGTCGATCGTAAGCAGAAGCAGTAACTGACTCGCCACCATGTGCCCGTTCATCCAATTCCATTTGTAACTGGTTGAATTTCACACTCAGCTCTTGATTCGTTTTGCGTAACTGTGCCAATTCTTTGGATAACTGATTACTCGACGGTGATCGTGTGCCCAAATCATGCAACCCAGTGGATGATGTATACTAAAGTGTGAGATTAGATATTTGAAAAAAGTACTATACAATCCTATCAGTACGTAATTTGGTCAACCGGTAGGAAACTGTGCCTAAACAAGATATAGATTATCTTGATACTCATCAATACAGAATGCTTGTAATATTTAATAAAATCATATCCCTTGATATATCCAAAACTGCTTCATCATTTAATGACATTAGAAACTATTACAAAACTACTTAAGGTATTACTGAACCCCTGTGGGACTGGATTATGTACATGTGCTAGTCATAGATAATAACTGAACTAACTATGAAGTTATGTGTGCTGAGTTGAGATCAAAATATCTTTCGACAAAGTTTTCAGTACAGTATTTAAGCTAAGGATAGATTGTATTTGAAATTGAGGCTTCTGTGAATCCTGCAAAATGTACTTACTGAAAATGGTTGGTATGCCTTACTGATAAATGTGAGGGTAATGAAACTTGAATTGAACGCTTCCTGCTGATCAACCTGTAATGTCCAACACTAATCTAATTACGTGATTAACCAGTAAGTAAAAACTATCTAGAAATGAACTCATGCTTTTCTTAGTGTTCATAGATTGTTAGCAGGAGTGAACAATGAACATTTCACCCTTGGTTTGATCAGTATTAGACAATTTCGTTTGGGGTTTGGAGTAGCAAATTCCATGAAATCGAAGAATTAATTCAGGGGACTATAACTCTCAAGGCCCTTCAAACTAGCAGTCAGTAATGGTATATATTTGTTCCATCTTTTGGTCTGGGTAGTTTTGCAGTCGCTTTCTCTTCCTACTTCAACTGATATAATTCATCAAACAAAACAATCACTCAGTATGTGTAACAAATTATTCAAAAGCACGATTAAAGCTTCATTAACCTGGCATACTATGTTCGTCAGTTTGTTTACATGAAATTCTATTAGTGAATCACAGGTTATAACCCTCCAGTCACCTGAAAATATTTAGGTAAGTAGAGAACCAATAACTCCTTAATACAACAAGTGTAGCTCAAAGCATGAGGATTTTGGTATTTCGTAAACCTTAATTACTTAACGCGTTATTTTGGTGTTTTCGATGTATTATCCTTTAAAAGTAATTGGTGATAATATAACTACTAGTCTAAATGCATCTTAGGATGTTTTCAATGCACAACACCGTTAAAACATTATTTTCATGCACTTGGTTTTTAAACAAATACGAACTGTCCAACCAAAACAACTCATTTATTTTTGGCCTTCTGTTTTCTGTCAGCTAAAAAATATCTTTACTGAAGTAGTCTACCCCATCTTCTTGGTGTTGGTAATGTATGAATAGATATAAAAGTACTTAAAGCATTCTTGTTGAATTTGCTCAACACTATGATTTCTTATTTTCCCTATGAAAATTCGTTAATTACTGTCAGTATTCAAAAGTCTCTATAAGTGTACCGACTGGTTTACTTCCTTATTTAAGGTTCTATTCTTAAACTCGACACAACTTACCCAGAGATTTCACTACATGAGAACAACACTATGAAGACACTTAAGATCGGAAACCTGTAACCTCTACATATCTTCCACTTTCAGTAACCATATCTCACACACAGTATGATAAAACGGACTGCTGAACAACATAAACATCTTGTGATAAATAGTTACATATCCCACCAGCACCAAAAACTACGTAGGTTGGCAAGGGTCAATAAAAGATTTCACAGTCAAGTTGAGGTTTCGTTAACGACCATCTAATTCCTATTACATCCCAACTTCCCGAGCAAGTGAAATGGCAAACGTATCCAATCACTATTCCCTATGCTTTAACTTAAAGTCAGTGCAGACCAGTCTTAAAGCATCAACTTTTATTCGACGCAAGCACAATATTCATGTCAAACGTTGGCAGATTTCTGATGAAGGCATTTAAAAGCTAAGCACTTTGTCAGGGAGTCCGCTTAACAGGATTATGTTGCCTGTATATTATAAATCAGATAAGTGCCCTCCAATGAATAAGTCAAATCATTGTAATTTTGTACTTGAACCAACAGAAACAAGTTTGGTCAAATATATATATATATATATATATATATATATATATATATATATATATATATGCCTAAGTGCCTCTGTGGCCTAGTGGATAACGCTTTGGCGTTTGAAGCGATGTGTTCAAGGTTCCAGTGTCAGTGGGAACAACATCACTCACTGGTGTGGAAGTAAACCCAGATGATGAGTCTCAAATGGGACAAAACGTGCTTCCTGGATTCCTTTACCAGTCACTAAGATCAATATAACCACTAAAATCCGGCAGTATCGAGGCATCCGCATAGGAGTCCATCTGCCAACAGAGGTCGAGCGATTCGGCCATGTATAGTAACGAGAAACTACAAGTGTCATTGAAACAATTGACACCCATTGGACAAGAGGTGACTATCGTACCCCAGTGGCTTACTGTACAATGCTTTGGCGTCTGAAGCAAAGGGTTCAAGGTTTGGTGGGAACAACATCACTCACTGGGGTGCAGGTACATTCAGCTGACGAGTCCTGAGTAGGACAAAATGCGAGTCCTGGATTCCTCTGATAGCCCCAACCAAGTAAAGTACAACTAAAATCTTAGAAACCTTCGGTAGAATAAGTTAGTGTCGTAAACCTTTGACGCTTTTTTTCTTTACAGAAATGTATAAGTGAGTGAATACAGATGGTTATTTGGCTTGATTATTTAGCCTGAACCAAGAAATTTAATTCTTAAGTATCATGTTTCATGTACTATTGAAGTAGCTCATCGTATATTGAACACCCGACATGTAATTAATCAACCAGAAGCCTTAACAAGAAAATGCAATCTAACTTGTTAAACTATGGTCAATCTCTTTATATATTAATGATGAGTTACTTAGTTCTTTGAGAAAACTCAATGTCGATTTGAAACCCTTTTTAACTTGGTTTTTCTTCCCCTCTAAACTTCTTCAATTCCACATTATTTTTTTAGTCAGTTCAAATATCTTTGTATCACAATTGTTACTGTCATTAAATTTCGCTTGTCTAACACCTATCAATCTTGTATACATAACTTTTCATATGATTACATAATTGTCTCTTGTAATATGTCGACTACTCTTACCCATTTCAAAACACTCATATCTTGTGCAACAGGATATTTTTATTGTGATATCCCTTATTCTGCCTCTTCAAGGCTTCAACTACCGTTGGTCACTAGATAGTAACCAATTTCATACTGACTAGTCCTATGTACTGACCGAATTCTATCGATCGACTTTTTATGTGACCAGAAGGCTAGAAAATCCATTATCAAGGTGCACTTTGATTGAATTTAATGACAGAAGACAATAAAAGCCAAGAATCTTTGGTTGATCTGAGTTTCGTTCCAGTTGGCACTCATCAGCAAAGTGTCTGTGAAACCTCAAGGAGACTGATGTTTATCCAGGCTGCCTGACTAACTCGATGGTGACGTTTGTGACTGCAGCAGTAGATTATGTAGGTTGAAATCTCTCTCAATTTGGTCGAGATTGCAGATATGCCTTGCTGACGGGTACCAAAAAGCATGAAAGAAGGTCAGGTACAGCTTCCTGCCAATTCTCTCTAACTGCCTACTACCTACATATTTGTTGGCAGCTGTATACAGACTTTTTATTTTTTAGGCTGTATGCAGATGAAGAAAACTTTACGGAGTAAAATAACGTGGTTTTATTCTGTATATACTATTCTCAGTGTGATATTCATGAGTGTACATGAGTTTAAATTTTGCTTAGATATTTTTTAATTACATTTATGAAACACTTAGCCCATACGTGTTCCCACTACAAGTATCCTTCGTAGTTTCAGTTACTCGAAGTTCCCTCTTTACTTATCAACTTTTCGACCACTATGTTACCTGTAATCATTATATATATATATATATATATATATATATATATATATATATATATATATATATATATTCTTTCTCACTACTAAAACTGAAACCGTGTAGAACTCTAGAGGAATTCACCGTAACTATCACTAGTGATCAACTGTTTTAACTTGCAATTTGTTATTAAAACACCTCACAAAATCTTGCATACTATATTTTGACCAAAAGTTGTATGTGAAATACTCATCGGTAGGAGTTCTTTCTGATACAAATTTCTGTTGAATGAATTTACACCTCATCTGAGATAAGAACGATGAGCATTTGGTAGTGAATGAGTGGTTTAATCTACAAATCACTGAAAAGTGGATGGAAGTTATTTATGATGATAAACATTTCCTTTAATACATTTTGAGATCATGTAATCAGTATACCATGACTAAATGGAACTTCTAAACTTATTCAGGCACAACTTGCCTATAAGTATGAAACTTAGGTCTATGGCTTTCTGTTGACTAACTCTCAGTAGCTAACTTCAATCTTCAAACAGCTAACTTCTTATGTTAACCTAGTTCTCTTTAATTTTCCTCAAGGCTTAACTTTTCCTCATGAAAATTCGACATTATATAACCTGTAGTTAACACTGTCTCCCATATTTAAATGTAAGTTAATTTCCCGCCTAAAATGTACAACCCATTTACTCGCTTTTGACTGGCCACTTCAAGGATGGAATTCTTCTTTAGTACAGTTCCGCTTAAATAAAATTTACTATAAACCCTACGGATGTTAAGAAGTACTTCATTTTCAACAGTTTGTTAACTCACCTGAGCGGCTTCAAGAACATTCAGTCTAGTAGCTTTCGTGTCTAACTCTCTTTGTGTAGCTTTCAAACGGATCTCAAGTTCTGAGTTTTGGAATCGCAGTCGAGTTAATTCTTGTAAATGTTGTTGAAGCTAATTTAAAGAATAAATATAAATAAGAAATGTTAAATTAAAAAAAATTATTCGGAATTTATTAGTGTAAACTTATAGTTGGGGTTAAGACATTGATGTTAGCGGGTTGAAGAGAGCGGATAAAGTTATTTAACTACACTTATCTGAGAGGAAATCTGTATTCACTCTATAGTTGGAAACCATGTATTGCAACTTAGCAGTTAGAGATATCACTACTATGCACTTTAGTTTGTAGACGATTTTCTTACTGAATACTAGAAAGTTCTAAGTACTTACTAAACTCTACCATACGGTGCAATAAAATGTGAGTTAACAACACTGTACATCCATCAGATATCGAACAGTAACCCTAAGAACTGAAAAATTCGTATTCACCGAATATCTTGATATGGACACTGAGCTAAATGACACAGTACTGAGCTGCATACTATGATGTTAGAAGTAAGAAGTTGACCGACAACCAGTGAAAGGGTTCAACTTGTCACGACAGTAGAAGCTTATTTACAGAATCCAAAAAGCATGAAATTCAAGTATGCATCAAATGTCCGGTCAAACGACCGCATTTAACTAAGAGTTAAGATTAACTATTGAAAGGGTCAGATAGTAGAATGTTTGTATTATGAGCTTTAACGGATGACAGAAACAGTTATTTCATTAGATTTAAGTTAAAGTGCTGGATAATTTGATTTGTCTTGTTTCACAAGCATCCAAGCTTCTCATGCATTCTGTGTTAACCAATATATAATCTTCTATTCGCAAAAAGCTATCCTAGATTGTGCATTTTCATTGGTGTCTATATCTAATTCATAGAGAGAAGCGCTTAGTAGAAGTCATATTTGAATATGAAAGGATAGTATGACGGAGATGCCGACAGTTTGATATCTTTTCTTCAGACCATGCAAACTGACTGAAATTTCAACTAACTATGTCCGCCAGGGTGAAGGCATATGTGTGGTTGCACCACAGGATGAGACTGTATACTGTCCTGGCTTTATAAAGCCTAGAGTTATGTTTGGTTTTCTTCTAAAAACCAATGTATAATTATCGATTTAAATGACGAGTACATCATTTTATGTTCCCGTATATCTCCCTGTCAACCTATGTTTCGCTATAATGAATCAAACAAATGGAAAGTAGTAGTCTCAGAAAAGTATTCTAGGCCATTCTATTTTATATATTTTGAAGGAGATTTTACTTAAGACTTATTTTATATAATAGTTGTACAGCTGAGCATATGACCTATTTATTATTATTATTACTTGTCCTTTGATTTCCTAGTGGAACATAGGACTTCAGTAGCACGTCTCCACTCCACTCTGTTCTCTGAAATCTTTTGAACCTGGCTCCACGATAGCCCACAACCTCTCATTTCCTCCTCACACGATCTCCTTCATGTCACCCTCACCTCAGACGACCAACTCCTTGCTTCCCATGGGGATTCCACTAGAGTACCTGGCCTGGCCTGACGCGTGATGTCCCCAGTCGGCCTTTCCGGTGTATGCCCAATCCATCTCCACTTCCTTCCAGTACATATTTGTTCAGAGATAGGTTCTTGGTTGATTCGTCACCAGGCCAGAGTTCCTAATTGCTTATTCTTATTATTCTGGCCATCTGATCTTCAGTAACGAGCCAGCGTAGGCAGCAGTTGTTGATGAATATCTGTAGTTTGTTGGAACTCCCTTTCGTAACGCGCCAGGTCTCTGAACCTTCACATAGCAGCACTGACTTGACATTGGTGTTGAGAATCCGGATCTTGTTCGTTGCGCTGATTGCAGAAGATCTCTACACTGGTTTCAGGCTAATGAACGCCTGTCTTGCCTTTCCGATCCTGGCACAATTCGACATCCTCATCTGTGCCGCCTGTAGTTAAGACAATGCTGCCTAGATAGGTGAAAGAGGTTACTTCCTTTATGTTTTTCCCGTCGATGGTGATTCGTGTTTGTTGCTGTTGTTGTTGGTTGGGTATCTTCATCACCTTTGTCTTCTCTACATTCACTTGAAGTCCTGCCTTCGCTGCGTATTTATTGAACCCTAACTCATTTCCATACTGCTCAAGATTTTTTAATAACTAGATGTTAAATGAAACCAATTACTGTGCATTGGTCATCTAATGATTTCACTTTTACAAACCATGGTGCCTGGTTAAAAGGTGATTGAGGTGCATATGTGTTTGACAATATTCGAAGGCATACAAGGATAGTTGGGAGAGAGGCCAATTTACCAGCCACTAGAATAGACAATTAAGTTTCTCCTTTAGGGTGGAGAGATTTCCATAAAATAAAAAAGTTTATTTGCTTATTTCGTTTCTTCTTTAGGTGGTCTTTAGAGTCTTTCTTATACTTTCCTTCTAGTGTAATTAAGCACATACGAAAGTGACCCTAAAACCATCTTAGGAACTAATAAATTAGGAAAATAGTAGAAACGTAATTGACGATTCCAGTCGTTGATAGGATTCTCATCAAAGTCGATTTATTTTAAAGGCCGCCCTACCAATTTCTGAAATGACCAATTACTTTTCTTGATTTTAGGAAAAACTACATGTGCTGCTGAAACATAATTGGTTATTTCAACTATTACCAAGGTGACCTTTGAAGTCACTTTTTAAAGTCAGCGTTTAAATTGGATAGGGAAAACACACGATCAGAGGTTTACCTTTGCTCAATAGTTGTAGCAGTTTTAAAATAGTTTTCTGGCTAAGAATTTAGTGCTCACTCACTGAGAAGAATAGTTCAGTGGAGCAGCATGGATTGTGTATGAGGAATTATTATTGTCAATGATGAAATTATTGAACGCTACAACCAATGCATATTATAGTTAGATTCTGCTTTTCAGCATCCTAGTGTGCAGCGTTCTTGGACGCTATACTTTTAACTCGAAATCATACCTTGTTCCCTACAGAACAGAGTTTCTTATTACTTCTTGTGTTTTCCAACTTGCTTTGCATACAACTGATAATTGATCCGTTAACCGATTAGAAAGTAGTGAAAATCAACAGATGGATGATAAGCTCCACTGCGATTGATTATATTGTGTCCTAGACATTAGCTTGTTGGATTACTACCAATTTGAACAGTTATCAAGCAAACAAAAATGTTAAGTTGCTATCATGTGTACCTAGTCCAGTCCAACATGTGGTCAGTCGTGAGTAGGATGGAGTTGCAAAGGTCTCTAACTTTTTAATTCACTACCACAAGTCCGAATCCCGAAGAGGATGAAGCGTTCAATGATGAGAGACAGAAATTATGACACGTCGATTCAGGATTATCTGCCAATTGTTACCGAACATCTAACTTACGACTAGTTATTTGTGTATTTCCAGAAGTTTTAGGTACTTTGTTGTTTTCAACCCACTAAATAATCTTTCTAATAATGATAGCTGCTTAGAGGTTTTTTGATGAACACATATCGGTTATTATGAATTTTGACACTATGCACAGGCATGTAAATACTTGAAGTTTAACAGAACTTAAGAGTATCTCCTTGAGTAGCTATGGTTGTATCTTTATTTCAGATATTGCTTAATAAATATTCCATAATGTGAGGCGGTAAAATACTTGTCGAATTGTAGCTGGGATTTGGATTCCAGTTCTAAATGAGGGTTTCATATCTATTGGCATTCACTGGCTGAAACGTTTATGACACTACGACAGAAAGGGATCTAATTAGACAGTGATCGGTGGATACTGCCATGACGAGGACTGATCAAAAGCTATTCATCATTTTGCCCACTGGTTGGATGGTAGGGTGCTCACTGTGAAACTCAACTGTTCTTGAGCAGATCACACATGCTTTCGTCTGTTTATTTTGCAGTGCACTCCTAAAATGGGACAAAGCTATTCTTTAATTCTACCTGATTTTTAACGGTTCCTTAACTGATATCCATTCGGGATTAATACTGTTTTTGAATTCTTGTACAGTTACACACTGTGCTCTTTTACTGTGAGCACTTAATCTGTCAGTTATTCAAAAGCACATTCAAAAATACATCTAACTTACCATGTTTTCCTTTTCTTGTAGCAGTTTGTTTAACATAACGACATCTGGGCTAGCCAAAGGTTGACCTGGTACTGAAGCTCTACCACCAAATGCACCTAAACCAGACGAAGCATTCCCTATTAGCTGGAATGCACTTCCAGCTAAATGTGGTGATAAAGAACCACCAGTGCCAGTATGATATGGAGCTAAGTATCCAGACCTTCCAGGAACTGAAGAAGAACCAATATTTTCTAAACCACCAGACATTCCAGACCAACTACCATGGGGTAACACATTCGGGAAGAGTGGAATCGTTGATAACTATTGAAACAAAATGTCAGATAAAAGTTGAAAATTGTTGATTCATAAATATTAGATATGAGTAAATTCCTTCGTTTTCACTATTTCCGGTTAATAAACAGCAAGAAGGAGTTAAGCAAGATGGCTATTTGTTTTAATTAAAGGTTCTTATGCGGAGTATTTCAACCGAGACCGTCAAGTTAGATGATGAGCTATTGCTTTTTTGTTTGGTTTTCATGAATTCTTTTCTTTCAAGCAAATAACATAAACCCCATCTAATATCATATACACATCTCTGATGGCATTATCAATTTAGTTCAGATATTACTGATGCGAGAATTTCTGGAAATCACAGACAAGATTTCGTTTTTCATATCTTTCCTGAGACTATTTTATTTTTGAAGTCAAAAAAGGCTGCTTTCAACTAAGTGGTTTTAAGATGATATTTTCGGCAGCTTGTCTGCAGTGATTGAGAGTGTTGCAGAATTTGTGTGATACAGAATTTGAGACAGAACTAAGAAATCTATTAGGATAGTTAAGTGACTAGAAGCCTTTGGTAACCAGTTAGTCAAGCATCAGTAGAGAAGCTGTATTAGTTAGTATTCTTATCATTGACTGACATCAGTTGGAGAAACACTGGAAACCTGAAATCAATAAACCCCCACAAACCTCAAAATTGAATGGATCTAATCTTGGGTGACAAGCTTCGAGAGGTGATTCGCGAAGTTCCACTGAGAAGTCGTGACCAGTGGGGTCAATAAAGTCGAACATGAGTGGAGTAACTCAGCGACGCCATTGAATGGAGGTCGCGCTATATTATGAACTTACAGAAGTAGGAAATATGGACCATTGGGTTCCGACCCAGTGGTTCAATGGTAACATATTCGCCACGAGTCCTCAAGCTCCTGGACTCGATCCCTAGTGGTGTCGTGGGTGCACACTTATGGGTGGTCCCATAATAGGACAAAGCAGCTGTCCAGTGCTCCCAGGTTTCCAGCGTTTCTCCAACTAGTGTCAGTCCGTGGTGAATACCAACTGGGAACCAAATTCACTTAGGCTGATATGTTCATCAGCATTAATTTTGAACGTCCCATTTCTGAATTAAAATAGATCGACGAGGATATTATTCTGGAGCTCTTAAGTCACCTACCAGTTTTTCAAATTACTCTTCTTTAGTTTTCATGAAGTATGTTCATATATTCTTGAAAGCCTGCATTGACTAATGTATGCAGGTAGTACTGTCATACTTTTCTGATTCTGTCTGCAAGCAAGTCTTGGTCTTGTAAATGGAACCTTGAGCTCTTGTATCCGTTTTGACCCACAGTAGTCTGGGAGTAGTTGATCTGATTGACTGATAAGATACTGCGCTATAAGATACATAACTGATGACAACATCACAGTTTACTAACCCGATGTTTTGCTTCTGACTGCTTGTATCACTGTGAGCGACCTGTGAATTTGAGTGGATTTGGGGCTTACCACCTGCCTACTGGCTAGTGGATGTAATATCTGAAGCGCAGTTGGCTTGCAGACGATCCTGATGTCCATTTGCTTGCATGGACACAAATTGTTTTCGACATAGTAACCCAATATCATACTATGCAATTATCTCATTTCCTGCGTGTGTAGGAGCTTTGAATCATTTTGAGTGTCTGTGTAATTATTGACGTTGATGCTTGGGCTTACACTGGTACTCCATGAGAGCATTTTCTTAACATATAATGTGGGGTTTGGTATTCGGAAGGTTGGATCACACTAAACATGTTTCATCGCATTGCAAAATCTCGATAAACACTTTATTGTTTTCGTCAGCATGATCCGATCTAATTTCCAATGCATTTTTTATTTCGTGATGGGTAGTGGAGGGGTTACTATTATTCCCATCCGTCAAAGTAACGTGATCCATATTATCAGGCTTCTTGAACTCAATTTCATCTCCACTCTATCCATCAGTAATGTATTTACTGATAGACATTATCAAAATCTGAAGACTTATGGATATAAATTCTGGCTGGATATCACTCAGCACTTAATTGAATATCTCAAAAATCCTTAGTATTGCTGCCTCCATTCTTCCTAAATAGCGCTACATAAAAGCTTGAAGCTCTTCATTGGAAAGTGCTGTCATATTTTTTCCTGTCACTACTTGTTTTCTCGATAAATGGAAAGGGTAGGAATATCACTGAAGGTGTATTGCAGTGGGTTCTTATGGAGATTTCGGCAATCTTACACCAAACTATAACAGTCAGTGAACAAGAGGAACTATGTATCCATTACTTCGTAATTCTCAGGTATCATTAAACTGATATCCATCTGTCATGGAAGGGATTTTTAGATGTTCTCTCAAATTTTGGCATGTGATAAAAAAGAGGAACAAGGCATCAATACATGAGTATGTGTGTGTGTGTGTGTACTATCACTAGCCTATTCTAATGTACAGTTTCACTGAAAACAGACATTTGGGCACAATAACCAAGGCAATTAATGAAAATGTTGGTAGGTTAAAGGATGAGACTTACAATGTAAGTTGATCATGTAGGTCGTTGATCCATGAAGTAAGAGAGATACCTTGCCGCACAGATTGATTTAATCTATATTTTTATTTTTTTTGTTGAGTCCATTAAATTAAAGTAGTAAGCCTGGTTGTGGTTGTATTTTTGTGGAAGGGGAACTTATAAAACAACAAGGGTTTGGCTTAGTACAAACCCTGCTACGAATAGGATTTTTATCCAATTTTAGTCATCTACATGATCGGCCATTTGGCATTTGAAATTCAGATTACAAGTGATTTGCGTAATTCATCTTTTTGTAGTTTTTTGTCGTTGGCTGGTTCATGAGTCTGCATATAGTTGAAAATATGAAGCGTTACTGTGTTTCTAGTTCCATCTTTTAAATTCTTTCATTTTTAGCCGTGAGATGGTCGCTGGTCTACCAAAGTGAGTCAACAGTAAACTGGTCGTGAGACGAAGTACTGAGTTCACACCCACAGTTTAGTATGCCATAACCTAACCATTGCCGTCATGGATGGAGTATTCTAACGGACATTTCTATGGCTGCAACATACAGACAAGGACGAAACAGGGATCCAGGGATTTATTGTTTTCATTGATTCTCAGCCATTATAAGAACCATTATAAGAACAACCTTGAGAGCAATTACATCCCCGTGAACTGCTGCGATGAAAGAAGTGAGGCCAGACTAAGACAATCGTTGACAGAAAAAGTCATTCTAATATATATATATATAAATATGGAATATAAAACAGGGGAAATAACTTACGACAGCCCGATCCTGATCAGTCAACGTGTGTTCACGTCCTTGTGATAGTTTAGTCATGGCTGCCACACGCAAATTAGCTTCATGATTAGAGCGTCGCAATTTTTCAAGTTCAGGCAAATAGTTCCGGAACTAAAACGAAAATTAACGAGGTACTTAGTGAACACAAGTCCCACCGTATTGATAAAAAAGAGAAATACTTTTCATCACGATGGTCAGTATTTTCATTAATAAATGAAGTATGCAGTTAAAATGTATACCTTTTTTGTGCTTAAGTTTCTATGAGAAAATGTTTTCACATCATGCAAGAAAAAGAATTCCATGGTGTATGATTAACAGTTTTGTCAAGCAAAACACCTTGAACCACAATAAAGATCTATGCTTCAGAAGAACACAACTAGTAACCCCACTGTCTGCAAGTTGGAAGATCTGTCAGTAAAGCTTCCACTGTTTTTTTATAGAAACTTAAGGATTGTAAGTTGACTGAGTAAATGAGAATGGTATAAACTTAGAAGATCAAAAGGTGTCTGAAAGATTTCCAGATCACATAACTTTCAATTCATTCAAAAGGTAAATACAATTTCAGGCTGTTTAGCGAGCAAGAACGTACAGCATGGTAAATTACAACAGAATACATCACCTAACACATGCAACTAGGAAATATGACATAATAGGCTGATTGTCAACACTTGCTATTAGGTTATGCGCCTTGTCTTGCATGTTTTATAACAGTCTGAGATACTTTTTCTTCAGTATGATTTTCTGACAAATATGTGATTTTAGTACAAGTTTGTCTTCCACTGCTAAATCTCAAAATAAATGTACTCACTCAGTTGATTTAATGATCAGACAGCATGCTTCCTGACCAATAAAATCATGTCAATAATTTCAGAAAAAAATCAGGTGTGTCCAGAAAAGCTCAGAAAAAATTGCTGAATGAATAAAGAGAATTCAAATTATGGAGTTTGTATAAAAATCTGTTAGTTGGTGGGAGACTGTCAATGGAATAAATTAGAGCAAATGGTTATTGAATGCCTAATTTCAAATTTTGTTCAAGTATAGCTGGTGCTTCAGCTTTGCATAAATGGTGGAAACGTAGACCTTTGGAGTAGCTCTATTTAGCTTTGTAAATTAACTTAAAAGATGAACTTTGAGGAGCTGAATGACCTGACTCCATTAGGTGTTCTCACATGAATGAAGTTATTTTTTGACCGCACCTTAATATAGTCAGCTGTGAATTTGTAGATGCACATATATGTGGACATAAGCGGGAACCTATCCTTCACGCATTGTCGAAGCAAACAAAAGGCGGAGAATATCACCGCAATCTGGCAAAATAGATAGTATTATTGATACACTTTGATAAACGAAGAGCCTGCTGAAGCCGTCTGTCTAACTGCATCAATATTACATTCTATTCTACCAGACTGCGGTTGATATTGTCAACCTCTCGTTTGATTCGGCAGTGTGTAGAGGGTAAGTTGCCGCTTATGTCCTAACCTATCCCTTGTAGAGATAAAATTCTCCTTGTTTCTCTTTCCTTATTGCCTAAATTAAAATGAACAAAGATTCTAATCAGTGTTCTATCTTTAAACTGCCTATTATTGTGATTAAGAAACAGCTTTATCTGAATTAAACTCATCTATCTATCTATCTAATCACTTATGCCCTTATTTGTCCTAGTTAAAGCTTTAATTTCCTGTTTCTGACAGGCATTTTCACTAATTTATCAGATCCTATATCTCAAGTGATAATATATAAATTTCCTGTCGATGCTATGAACGTGTTGTTTGTATGCAAAGTATATTTATTTACTTATTTATTACCAAATGACATGAATGGGTATGGATTATACACTCCTATCCTATTTTAACACTTAGACCAAAATTAAATTCCTAAACGGATTTTCATCAGAAATAAATACTCAAAAGTATTTTACAATAAAAATCTGTATCACAGTGGTATTCAACTAAGTCGAAAATCAATCTGAAAAGTACTCAACTTTTTTAAATTTGGAATTAGATGAAAATACACCAAATGAAGTTTCAGAAAATGGATTAGTGAGAGCTGTCAAAGGAATGTTGTAAGCAGTCACTTTGGAAATAATATCTGCCAGTCATTTATTGATGAACAGGTGTATTCAGGACAAACTTTCGTTGTTGGCAACCTGCATGTGCATATATGAATTCACCAACTCCGGTGGAACAAAGGACCTAGACTATAGGGAGAGATAGATTCTTCGAACTCCATGTCAGCCATTCAGTAATTTTAAATGCACCCAGCAACCATCTGCTCTTTTGTTCAGTAGTCGATGAATCATACTTGTTGTGTGAAGTCTCGTGATACAATCTTGATACAGAAACTTCAACAGGTGATATCGGGTTCAAACCCACAACCCACTGGATGAATAGTTCCATTTCATATTACCAATTTGACAATAGATGCATCAGCCTACAAAATTTATCGGCTGTAGACTATAAAATACTATGGCATCTTTAACAAGTGTGAGGAAATGCTTACTTTGCATTGTTGAAGTTATGCAAATACATAGACTGAAAGCTAAACTATGTATTTACGAACACCTTTTACATTCACTGTCCTTGTTCTCTTCTTATTTTTAAAGCTTTTCAGTTCTCAAGTCTAACAAACGTCATTTTCTGGTTTGATGGACTTTTCAATTCAAGTAATAATTCCCCATTCATTTTCACACTGAAAACTGACCACTCACTTTGTTACGTATTCTCAATTTCTTATATATTTCCCAAATATTTTAATAAATTCTATGTAATTTTAACCCTATTTGTACTGCTAACTACAGACATTCATCAACAACTGCCTACGTAGGCTCGTTACTGAAGATCAGATGGCCAGAATAATAAGAATAAGAAACTAGGAACTCTGGCCTGGTAACGAACCAACCAAGAACCTATCACACAACAAATATGCAGAAGGAAGTGGAGATGGATTGGGCATACACTGAGAAGGCCGACTGGGAACATCACGCGTCAGGCCAGGCCAGGTACTCGAGTGGAATCCCCATGGGAAGCAAGGAGTTGGTCGTCTGAGGTGAGGGTGATATGGAGGAGATGGTGTGAGGAGGAAATGAGAGCTTGTGGGCTATCGTGGAGCCAGGTTCAAAAGATTTCAGAGAACAGAGTGGAGTGGAGACGTGCTACTGAAGCCCTATGTTCCATTAGGAATCCAGGGGACTAATAATAATATAAATAAATACAGACTTACAAAAATTATAATTTTACACATCATATTGATTTTCTTTACCATTAGATGGGGACACTAATTGTTCTTAAATGGGATTGTGAAACTGTTGAAAATGATCCCAATGCAAATAGATTCGACTTCTGAGATCTTATTATCTTAACAACGGTATGTTGTGTCATTTCTTTTATTTTGAAACTATCAGGGATATTCCTGGATGGTCAGTCTATTCAGAACAATAAACTGCTCAGAGTTACAATCTGTTAACTTTGAACGACCAAGATTCTCCAAGATATTATAGCAGCTGATGGAATATTTGTAAAAGCTGCGGTTAAAGTTGGTATCTTTCATATAAGAGTGTGTAATAAATGTCGAAGTTGATAATAAAATTTATTCACCCCTTGATTAAAGAGCATTTTTAGATGATTTCTTAATGTTGAATTTGTAATTAGAATATGACTGGTAGGCGATTTTCCAAGCAAAACTGATTAGAGTTTTGTGAAATGCTAACGTTTTTCAGGCTTTGAATGATGAACTTGTTAGCTGAGAATGCACAGGATTGTCTTCAAACTACATTATGCAGAGTGAAAAATGTTGGTGACCAGCTTTCACACTTTTTGGACAGATTATTATCATTGGATAGCATTTTAAAAAATATTTGAACAACCTTTAATTGTACACTGATTGGTCACTGGAAAGCAACCAATTTCATATTGTTTCATATTGTCTAGTCTTGAGTTCTGACCGAGTTCTATCAGTCATTTCGCAGTGTAACTGATCACCAAACTAGAGGGCTTGCCAACGTGGAGCACTTTGATGAGTGCTTATTGGTTGGAGGCAGTCAACAATCAATATATTTAATCTAGTCTCACAGAAGGCCAATTGCAGGCTGAATATCTCAATGATCGGTTCTCTGACAAAGATGTTCATTGGTGACAGTTCAAATCTTAGGTGGGATATCAGTTCTTTTGAGGTCACACATACACCTTGCTGACGGTTCAATAGGATTCTCTAGCCAAGATAGTTTATCTCTAAGTGGGTTTATAGATTTGAATTCCACTCTAATCACGACCTTATTAAGAATGATACATGAAGTTTATGATGTCTGTTCTTTATGCAGTAATACTATGGAGGTTATAAAATCCTTCCTTGTGGTTTTCTAATTCACAATGTTTGTATTTGTAATTGGTTTATTCGTAGTATTTTTCCTATTAATCCTGATATATTTCTGGATAGACTCACGTGGGTAACAGTTGGGTGAAAATACAGCCTTCAAATGTTTGATTTTAATGACATGAATTTTCAGTTTTCATCTCCTATTACTCAGATTTTTCCAAGTCTACCCTAACTGATACCGGATGAGATGATCTAAAGTCTAAGTATCGATCAAAGTGTGAGAGATTTTTGTAGACAGTTTGATTTTGCGACCTAATTGTATCAAGTTCTCCTTCATCACTTTCCAGTTCATGCGTGAATTGAATCACATCAACTATTGAGCTTATATGTTGAAGATATGTTATTAGGTTCTGATTTCAACATTGTAAGTGTGCCATCCATACATCTTTATCATACATTGGGAATAGGGTTAATTGTCCTCAAGGCAGTTATACTCTACCACAGTGACCGAATTCTGTTCTCATGTTATTTAGTTGTCTTTCCCGATTTATAATGTCTACCCAAACGCTGTTCAGTTGGAACATAAAACATCCTTGCAACTTGAACCTTTATCAAGATTTAAGTGTCAAATACACTGACACTTCAAGGTGACTAGTTAAAGAAAGGTTAGTTCTCAGGTTTATCAATAGTTTTTATATGAGAAAATAACTATTAAAAGCGATTTGTCAAAATACGGTAACTTACACATTCCTGTTCAAGAGTTTTCAACTGATTTTCACGATCACTTAATTCCTCTTGAGCTGAAGCCAACTGAGCTGAAAGATTATTCCTTTCACGTTGGAAGTGTTCCAGATTACTTCTTAAGTCCCGCACCTTAGTGGGAAAAAAGATATAGCAGTAGAAAGAAAGTGTTACTTTTCATCTACAGAGTAAAATACATTTGGGTACAGGATTCGGACAATTAGTCCATGTTCCTATGCCTACCCACACAGTGCTATGTACAGAGAAATTAAGTCAACTACCTACAAGAAGAAAACTGGGACACTGGTAGAATTATATTCCATTTTAGTTAGTTTATTTAATTTATCACACCGTGAAACGTTATTATTTCTTGCACAATGTTGCTGACATAATCTATTATCCATAGTCATATGAAGATAACTTCACGTTTTGACATGGCTTAAACATTTCTAACTCTCTCTTCTTCTTTGCGTTATAGGCAGCAGAATTTTTGATAATTCCGGAACAGGTGCAAAATCACAGCTGAAGCCCGTGTCCGAGATTTTAGCAAGCAAATAATACTATCTCACTACATGATACATCTTATAAATTAACAGTAAAGTATATATCGACCGAAGGAAACCTGTAGAAATGAAAGCGTACCTGTTGTTCTAAGTGTCTCGTTTCATCATCCCGTCCAGAGGCGTAAATTTCGCGCTCCGCTGTTAAGCGTACACTTTCTCGTAGGGCCTGTTCAAGTTCACGAATTCTGCCATCTTTTTCTGACATGATACTCTGTAAGACAGAAAGCAAATACAGAAACTGATATCACATCGAAGACTGTGGAAGACATGGGACACTAGATAGCCTTCTTGATTCTTATTCAACACTTCTTATCACTGCACACCTAATATTTTATGCATATCAAGTCAATACATATCAGATTCCTATATCCACATATGTGACCACTCAGTAATTGGAAAAAAACATAGTTCTTTACATTTGACCGACCAATAGTATCCTTCCTAATAAAAAAAACGATTAAGTGCCTGCAGAGGAGTGAGAAAAAGAATAACTTTTCTATACGGAATTGATAAGTTATCATTTATGCCATACAAATATATTCCTGTAATATTTATTTACTTTTTGAAGAGTAAATTATACAATCTTCGTCCTACTTTTTTCTATGAGCAGTATGCGGTATCGTACTTTAAGGTAAACAATGCTGTGAAACAGCAAATGGTCAACTTTTGTGAAATCATTCATTTCGATGGAACTGCAATCATTTACCTTCAGTTTACTTCTTGGATTTTAGGGAGTCCATCTCTAAGCCAGCCAAGATTTACCACTTTCATTTTATTGAGTTGTATCGTTTAGTGGGGACTGATTGTCCACGTATCTCTCATCAAAAGCTCCTAAGGAATCCTAAAGAACTCCTCATTGTGAAATAATATATATCACTAAATGTAGGTCACAAGAAAACCCCAGTAGGATTCATATCAATTACTTCGAATTGTCTTCAACTACATGGCTGTGATAAATAAACGATTTTTACTTTTCAAAACAAAAATAAACTTCCAGCTTGATGTCTTCATGGATTGACAATATATAGAACATCATCAAACAGAAAAGCTTCAGTCTATTTTGGAACTTCTCAGTAGTGCACATTTATTAACTCATGTGAAATTAAGCCCAGAACTAAAACATTCCCGTGAGCAGTTCATTGATATTCAGCCTATGAAATGGAACATGATGGCTAATGGTTTCAATCTTTAATTCTACTTCATACTCATCTCTGACTTCATCGGTTTTATAGGTAGAAGGAAATCACCTATAAAAACTGGTTCTAATTTGCGTTTTATGGAGATTAAATTGATTTGTGACTAGTTTTACTGACAAACTGAAAAAGATGAAGGTTTATCGTTGATAATGACTGGTTGACATCATCGTGAGCTGTCAGCTATTAGTAAACACCGATTACTGGTTAACAATTGCAAGGATGCTTGAAAACATGACTTACGCCTAATGTCATATGAAACAGATAATGTACGTCAATGCAGTGCTTCAAGCGATAGGGAAACAGTTCTTCAGTACTCTGTGGTTTTCAAAATTTCATTTTGTTATAAATCGATTCTACATAAGTCACTGAAACAAATGACTGAAAAATTGGTGACATGGTGTACATTTATTGCCTGGTTTATTTTTATTTTTCTCAGTAATTCGCTAAGCTGTTGCATAATATCAAATTCAAACTTCTATTCATATAATTGTTATCATTAATGTTCCGTTGGTTTCAATAAAAGATTTTCCATTTGGAGTAAAAAAAGTAAACTATAATTTACTTTTAAAAAATTTAACTGGTCATTATAAGTGTAAAACAGCGTTAGATACTTTTATATCACTGTGGGCGATATCAAATGAATAAATCTAATATGGAATTAGATATTTATTAGTTGTATGAATAGGTGGTAAATGCAAGAACTATACAATTTCATAGTTGAATAGTGTTCATAAAAATTCTTATACCTCATAACTGATCTCTTCAAAACTAACCTACAGAAAAAAGAAAGTAATTTGACTGTTGTAGATGGACTTGATATTCAGCGATGATTGCATATTCTTGAATTTGACAAAGAACCTTAATAAAAATGGGATCTTTTTTTAATTAAAAACAAATCTAATATGAAAGAACCTTAATGTCGATAAGATTCAAATTCTCTGCGTAACCAGCCTGATACATAGATAACTGGACATAGTAATGTCTATAAACATGCGTACTTCCATTTTTCCATTTGCCAGCAATACAACAAGGCGTGTTAGAATGACCTTAGAAATGCATTTTTAACACATTTTATCCCTAGTGTAATTCAAAAGCAGTTTATGTGAGAAGTACTGTGATTTTGAATCGGCGCTAATCAGTTTTTAAATTTATTCACTACGCCATCTCGAAAAAGTTGTATACATCATGCAAAAAGTAGGATAACACAATTTTAAACAAATACTTAATTCTGTCATTAAAAGAATGCATTTTACAGTCAAATTCATCTTCATAGAGAAAAGAAAACTCATTTACCAGCATAAACCTTATAACTTCAAATAATTCCTCACGTTCTTGAATTTGAATAAAGCCAAGCTTATCCAATCGCTAAGCTAGTCTGCGTGCATCACACTAAATCCTCATTGAGACAATCCGAAGTAGACAACTTCCCTTTATGAGCCTTATAGTTCCACAGAGTCCAAATAGCACAATCCCTCGGTATTTACTTGATATTGGACATAAAGTTGCCATATTAGAGTCATCCGAAGTGATGGGTAAATAACTGAAACTCAACCTTTAACGGTTTGCTGAAGTAGTTGCAATTAAAAGACTCAAACCTGATCTGTGTATTCGGAAGGTTACTGTTGTCAATCTTGCTTCACTTTTGTAATTTTAAGCCCTTAAATTTGTAAATGCGAAATTTTGTGGCTTGATGATCGACTATTTCTTGACTTTCTTTTTCGATCTACTTCAAAACCTACTCTTACTTTCTGAGTTGTTTTCATATTATTGCTCAATAAAGTGATAACCTGCTAACTTTTGATTTCACTTACTTAGCCATGATGTCATTTCTACCAGTTCTATATATATATATATATATATATATATATATATATATATATATATATATATATATATATATATAAATGTACACGCTTTCTTTAGAATGCTCATTTTATCATTGTATAAATAATTAACCTTCCATTAGCCTTCATAAATTCATCAGTCTCGGTCAATCTGAGTCTCTCTTACCATCCATCTCAATCAAAATACTCCTGTCGAATTAGGAAAGCACTTTGTATAGAATATTTTAATCACTAACAAATATTCAGTAGCTTGTGGAGCAGCTGAGAAGAACCTACGAAATATATACACGCGAATTCTGTTACTACTGTTCTTATTGGCTGATTTGTAAACCATAGACTAAAAAACTGACTGCATCACATCTCGCTGCACACGAGAACATTTTAGAAGGAGTAATTGGACTATACATTAGTGGGTGGCGGAACGTACTGAGTTAGTAAGAACACTGTAATAATAATGACTGAAAGTTATATCAGGTATAATACAGATGACAAGAAGAACAAATAAAACGGCATGAGAATGTGGAAATTGGCAATCAAAGTGGATCAAGAACTTGGCAAATGAAAAGTTGCATACAACTGAAAGATCAGGTTAGTGAACAACCTAAATCCGGACGAATATACTGCATTTGATGATACGACTTGTTATTTCTCGTCACTGAGACGTTTGGACTGAATTAATCGGTTTTATTTGAAGAATAGGCTCCAGCCCAGATACCTTAATACAGCCAATAACTTCATTTTCATAAAGATAAACATTTGCCAGCAGTGAAACCTACGACACGTGTGTCGTTCAACTTATGGTTCGCCGTCTGGATGTACCTGACATCAGTGAGTGATTTTGTTCCAGCTCAAAACCAGTACCTATCACTTTAGGCGTTAAAGCTTAGTACCTTAGTGAATAATGCTTTGGCATTTAAAGCGATGACTACTTAGTTCGAGTCTCAGTGGGAACAAAATCACTCACTGGGGTCCAAGTACATCTAGTTGACGAATTCCAAGTAGAACAAAATGCGCGTCCTGTATTACACCTTGCTAGCCACTAGGATGTTTGAAACAGCCAAAAAACGCATACTCCCTCTCCTTGTTTAGTTCGCAAATCTATTAGCTTACTTTAACTGTCTTACTGCATTTTGTTTTCACTCAACATGAAAATTTATTTGACTGGTACACGTTCGATGAAACTTTTTTTGAATTGTATTGTACAAATACTTCACATTTCTCCGATTAAACTCTAGGCGCTTAACAAATTATAAAACTTTAAATGTTTTGAAAATATTTCAGGTTGATGGACTTTATTCACTCAAAATTTTATTAAATTAAGGTCGACTGTTTTAGAAATGATGCAATCTTAAAATGCGTTTATGAGTGAAATGCCATTTTACTTGTTCTACCTTGTGAAGACTGTGAAATGGCTGAAAGAATCATAAAAATTTATGACACTAAGAAGTAGAATAAACTTTTGCAGTGATCATAAAAATTGTCTTATGCAAGTTTATAATCCTATTCTTATGTTCGACCATGGACGATTGACTGATAAGGTAAGGATGGGATATTTATTGACAAAAGTTGAGTATCAACCTAACAAGCTTTATTGAATAATCCACTGACGTACCTATTAAGGACTACTGCTGTTACAACAACAATTCATGGTCTTGTCACTGAAAGAGAACCAAATTAGTCTTGCTTTATATCAGAATTCCAGCAAACAACAGATTTAGAGATGGAACAGAAATTTCCTTTCAGAATTTTATTTAGAAAATTCAGATCCCTCAGCCTACAGCCTATATATAAAGTGACATGTCATTTTAACAGCGAAAGTATAGTGAATTCAATTCAGAACCTCATAATAACAGATAAACTAAGTGCTTTCACATAACTGTTGGACTATAAAATTCTACAGACTACTGATACTTCAAAGAACCCTAACTGATTCACCATCACAATTGGTTAAAATGATGCAAATCTCTCGGATAGGTGTCTTCACAAGCAGACGAAATCAACGTAGGACCTTGTACAGAAGTACATCAGTTCGAGCTGTCACAATTGACAGGAGTATGCATAGCACAAGTGGTTAGAGGAAGAGTGATATCAAAATAGAGGGAGAATTAATTTAAAAACCAAGGTTTGGTAGAAAGTTCAAAGTTTGTAAGATGTCAAACAAAGAATACATCGGCGTCATTGTGACTGATTTCCAGTTACTTCGTCAAGCGACTCCATTATCTCATGGACACCAATCAAGCAGTCCAGATCATCATGCATAATGCAAACCAACCGTCAGAGGCTTCACAAACTGGTGCCACCTCTTTATCTGGACAAGCTAAGCATTCTTCCAACCCATTCATACTTTTGCTGATATTGCACATTAAGGCAGGTGGTGACTTCATCGACTCCTATTATTTTATTTCAACTAATTCGATGACCATTTACTCAAGGCGTATAGTTGTCCTAATTTTTTCGCATGTGAATTCCAAGCTGTATTACAAGAATTCTTTACTTTTATTCATAATATAGGGTCAGGAAGTGATTTTTTTATTTTTTCCTATGGACAATGACAACTTTTCACACATATGGAGGACAAGTTTTAGTGAACGAATGAAATCGTCTACTTGGAAAAGACTTCACGCTATCTCATAGAGGATGTACAAAATTATCAGAAGAGAAGTGGTTGGGAAATATAATCATTTTACAGAAAAACTATTGCATGATACGTGGTACTGTCTTTCACATAGTTTATCGCGCTTTGTTACTTTTTGTCTTTAATGAGGTTCATTCCACTGCATGTTTTTCTCCTCACCAATCAGTGTCTTAACAACGAGATCACAAAAGATGCTACGACTATCATGTATTCATAGTGTGATGGAAATGGTGATCTTAAAATCTAGTAGATAACGATCTGTCATTTAAAGCTATTGGCCATGGGTCTGAGTCCAGGTGAGAGTAACTCCACTTACTAGTGGAGTCAGTCTCATAGATAAGCTGGTAAAGCACACCATTTTGGTAACCCGAAGACCACTGGTTTAAATTCTACCATAACTGAGCTTTTCATTTTACCTTAACAATCATCAGCACTGTGTCAGTAATACTGGTCTACCACGTCAGGGCTATCTTAAATGGTCCCAAGAGTAAAATTTTGAATTTTGATCGCTTAACCTTGTACATTTCTGCTATTAAGTAGTGTATGTTGTGAAGGGTGTCTTGGAGGCAAATAAACGAACATGAATATTATTTTCAAATAGGTTTATCTCCAAGCCGAAATAACCTCATGATGGCTTCTAACTTTAAATACTGTATAACAGTCAGAATCATTTGGAGGTCAACTTATGAACTGTGTGTAAGAACTTCACGAAAAAACATAAATTTTCTCCGAATAAGGGTCGGCGATGGGGTGTACAACAGTCTTCCTGTATTCGGTAAGTCTATGGTTTCGTTTGCAACCAGAAAATAACTAACAAACAGTAATTTTTCACCTTCAGGATCTCAGTATCCGACTGAGCATTTTCTTCTCTTTGCCTTGATTCCTCAAGCTGTTGAGTCAATTTTTTCCGTTCTGTTTGCTGATTTCGTTTTAAACTATTCAAATTATTTTGTGCTTCACGAAGTTCTCTAGAAAAGAGATAAAGAAAAATACAGTATGAATGAGAGAACACTTTAAGAACAGTCTTGAACAAGAATGATTGACTGTAAAGTAAGCGATCTTAATGTCTTCATGTGGTATCATGTATCGATCTAGTGTCACATTATCACGCAGCTTAGTGACATCAGAACCCTCTCAGAACATGCTCAACGATACCAGTAAACAGTCATCTTTCAACCACCTTTACGAATTTCGCTTTCACAAATGCCTAAAAGAAACAGATAACTGGTTGTCTTTCAAGCATTCTGATCATATGCTGAAGGATTTATGTCTTTCAGACCAAGTCTCATTCAAAAGTTGGACTACACTTCAATGAAATCAAATGCATCTGTTTATTACTATTTTAGTTGTTGACAGTTTATTAGAAGCATTGAATTGATCTTTAATAACTATTCAAAAAAATTAAGTAAACCGGATTGTGAATGCAAGAATGATGCATCGGAGATTTGAACCAGTATCCTTCAGAACCATCATAAGAAATGTTCTCATTGATTAATTTTTACCAAAAATTAATTCTGAATTCTGGGTTTTTGCAAGCGAAATACAGTTTAGATACTGGTTTCAGAGGTTATAATCCCTTAGAAATGAAGCGTTATAGTACAGATTTATTGGAATTGGTCAGTGTTTATGAAATTGAAGATTTCATCTTCACCGAGGCGACTATCGGTATGCTATAGCAGAATTTACTGATTTTTAAAAATCGAAGTTGCTACTGAGACGAGAAATGGTAACCTCTGAGAAAAACAAACATATTACTTACAAAACCATGGATGCTTAGCTTCAAACAATGTCATCACAACTTATATTCAAACTTAGCCAATGAGAAACAATTTGTTCATAATATGAAATTTTCGAAGCTATTATTATTCTCCACGGATTGAGATCTCTTTCACCCGTACACTCAGCTATTTCGCTTTACTTCGCTCGTAGACTTAGTTAACATATCAACGTTATTCAACCTACACTTTTCAAATGAATACTGTAAAACAAACAAAGATATTTTATTATCTTAAAACAATCCGTTCAAGTCTTCATTACATCTAGTTTTTCGAGATGATAAATATTAGCATTGTCAGGTTGATGGAATAGGTAAAGTCTACTTTCGTTACAGATCATTATCTCTTAGATAATTAATTGTTTCAATTCATGTCGACTTAGTAACATTCTGCTTGTTACTTCGAGATATTTCAACAGCAATCACATCGACAGCTGTTTTAGAGATTCTTTCTGGTAGTTTCAGTTTGAACCTTTACAGCAGTACAATGCTGTAACAGTTTAAATCATCGCCGATTAAGCTTACTTGGCGAAAGTTAGGCTAGCGGTCTCAGATCATCATCAGAACTTATTATCAAAAAGGTACGCACTGAAGGATAAACTAAATCCATTCTTCAGTTGTACAGTGGATGAAAGTATCATGCAATAAAGAGTAATACACTATTCATAGAGAAAATCTCAGGACTGAACGAAACACTGATGTTTCAGTAACAATAAGTTATTTCTGCTATGTTCAATGAAATCCAGAACTAACCAGTAATATGCTGGTTATTAGTATCATGGAACATATTATCTACTTTCATTTAAGCTTAAATTCTAGCAAGAATTATTTCCAATAACAGTGCTTTCTTTAGAAAAGTATTAAAATTTCAAATTGCCCGCTTTTTTTTCCCTTTGATTTAAACAAACTGACTTTTGAAAGATGGTTCAAGAAAAAAATTCTTGCATTCTAACTAAACTGTAAAGGTGATAAAAAAAAAGAAGTTGAAAAGAAATAATGAGGATTCCAAAGCGAAAAAAAGAAAATAAAACACTTTCATAATTCATCAGATAGCGAATAAATGCAGTGAAGAAAGTCACTGGCTTTTTTAAGGTCATAATTTTTGCTCATACTTTTTATTTCACTGATCGACATCATATTCAAAATAGTGGATCAATAAACGCTTTTCCAATCTAGGAAAAGGACAACACAAGATGAATAACAAGATGATGTTAACATATTTAATTGAGGTCATTCATGTCTATGCATATGGTTATGACAGAATATCTATCAAGGGATATCAGGTTGCAATCCACATCATGATATCTACACTTTATCGCTGACAGGATAATATTTGTCAAGTGTACATGACCATTAAACTGATCGACTAAATACCATAACGACTTTGAAAAGCTTCCTTGAGTTGAATGTTGTACTTTGCTACATTGTGTGTATATGTGTCAAAAAACATGATACCCAAGTCAACCAAGGCATCTCTCTTTGAATGCGAAAGGCGTATGCTTTCCAAACATAACTCATATTGATATACTGAATGAAACTCGAACTAGTGAAACATACTGGTTAAGCAACTCATTAGTTGAAAACCAATCATTTCCTACTGTTAATTCTACCTGTTAGGCGTTTTCTCTCATTGGTTGTGTAATCTACTAAATTTTTATCAGGCAGCTACATTGTTTGGATCACTTGAATCGAGTGAGTCTGAAGGTCACCCTAGTAACTTCCAAAAAAGACAATCAGATTTCTTGAATTCTCACCGAAAGTTGCTTTTCTTTATCATCAAAAGAACCTAATCGGTTATTTCAGATGTTATGGTGAGCTTTAGTATCATTCGAAGTTTCATTCAATAAAGAATCCTAAGCGGCTTTTCAACTGGTATTAAACTGACCTTTAGAGTCACTTCTTTAACCTAGATAGTTGACTTGAATAAACAAGGTAAACGATAACAACCAACCAAAATCAGAATTTCAAACTTCTGACATAAAGTGTCATCAAGTAACAGAGTATATTATTGAACACAGTAATTACTTCAAAAATTCGAGCCCATTGTGCCTACATCAATTATCAAGCTATAGATTTTAAATAAATTTAAAGGTCAACCTGGCTATTGTTGAAATAAACAACTGAGTTACTTTGTTTCTTGAAAAACTACTTTTCTGGTTGAAATACTAAAATCTGATTGGTTACTTCAGCAGTTAGTAGGATGGTCTTAAGAGTCACCTACTAATGATCCAATTAAGGTGACCGTTGCGCAAAGGACTGTGATTATAATTCGACTTAAATTTAGTGAAGAAAAAAATCGCCTCCATGAATGACTCAATTTCATTAAAAAAGTTCGGCTGATGAATCCCTAATAGGACGAAACGCACCTTCACAATTCTACTCCATATCATTATAAAATTTAACCTAATACAAATCTATTAGTATAACCCCTAGGAATGTTAGACTAGTAGGTAGTAGAAATAATGAAATTTTGAATTTTTTGATGGTTGTTATATTGGTAACTTGACACCACCATTACAACACAGATAAACAAATAAAGGTGTTTGTGCTTGTCTTGATGAATGTGTAAAAGCAACTGATATGTATATCAATGTTTGACAAGAATTTTAACACTCATATCATGAAGTACTTAAATAACTTAATAGCACTTATTATTCAATACTAATCAGACTCAAGATCCTATAGATTCAACCTTTTTAAATCAATATTCAGGACTGAACATTTTCACCACATACTACCCTAAACGTTTCACTAAGAAATGGAGCGAAGTAATGGTTCATCTGTCTGAAGAATTGTTGCGGGTTCAATCTCTGCTACGTGTGTCGAGATTTACGCTACCAGGCATAAAGTAAGTACTGCTGCTTTCACGCAATAAGAGGAATTGAGTGTTATGTATGCAAACATTTAGATCGTTGGTGAGTTATGTTTCACGTTTTCCTTTTATATAAAATCAACAAGAAAAAGAAAAAGAGAACTTACTCCTTTAATTCATGTAGCTGATTTTCTTTATCAAATTTCTCAGTGTCAATTGTTCGAAGTAGACGATCAACTTCTGCTTGAAGTTTAGATGAAGTTTCTATGTAGTGATTCAATTGACCTTCTAATTCTGCTGTTCGCTGTATGAACTTCATGTCTGATTCAGTGGTTATCTGTTTCTGAAGCTGTTAATCAACAAAAAGCAGAGCTTTACAAAAGAGGATAGCAGGAAGGAGGTAGATTTAAAAAAAGCAAAATAAAATTAAGCTGATTTTGAAATATTTGGGTACAGATTTTTTGACAGTCTAGAGATACCAGTGAATTTCTCACTTTATAATATTGGCCTTATAACATCCCATTACTTGATGCTACAGAATATCATCCTAGGCGATTGATAAACTAACTGTTGAGGCAATCCTCACCACGGACAGACATCGGCAGAGGAACGCCTCTTAAACGCCTACGATTATGAAAGGGATCGAGCTTAAAGCTGTCATAACTTGTAGTAATTGCGTTACCGTTTATCCGTCAAATATGAATCCAATGGTTTTCAGTTTTGTAACTTCTACCAACTCTTGATTTGATTGTAAACCTCAATCATCACTTTAAGCTATATGTTGCATAAATTTTGGAAAAATTGGTTTATAGTACATCACCCATGAATATGGTCTTTTATCAATATACTTCAATTAGTAGTAATTACAAGTGCTGCTAAAATCGAATATGCGTCACAGAAATGCTGTGCTGTGCTTCATTTGCCTTCAAATCAGTCTTCAAAGATTTTCTTTAGAACAAAAGATTCTCTAAACTGCTGAATATTCCCTACACCATTTAATATCTTCACAATTCCTTATCCTTAACTCTTCACATTTTTTTGTCTCTACATAAGGCTGTTAAGACTATCTGCATGAGTTGTGTACGTACTAGTTTGTTCAGTAACTACAAACATGTTACATGATTTCAGCAGCTATATAAGCGTGACTAGTACTCAAGGAAGCAATCTGAAAAAAATAAAAATCTTTCAAAACTCTTATCACCAATAGATGTGAGACTTGTTCCCAGAACTACACAATGTTTTCGAATTTCTGTCATTGCAACACAGTGTGTTCTTTGCTCAGAGAAGAGGTTCCATCCAAAGCATACATGACTTCAGTAGGAATATTAGCATATGAGGCAAATTGGGCCTTCATGAGTTACTAACTGAACTTTATACTGGTTGGCCACCAGAGAGTAAACATTTTCATTCCAACACTTAGTAATGATTGAAGATGACATAAAAGGCTCAATTGTGGCAGGGTTCGGTACTCCATCAAATAAGCTGAAAAACTCAGCTGATGACTAGATCATAAGTGTACTTTAGTCACCAAGAATGTTGCTCAGCTTTTGTATGAATTCGTGTCATCTAGCTGTTTTTTCATCCCACTTACGCTACTTCACAGTAAGGACTTCCCGTTCGAATCTAAATGGAACCGAATTACAGAGGGGGAATTATACTGATTATTAATGACAGTAGCTGAAACAGCTGTAGTTCAGCAAACTGGTATTACTGATTATTTGTGATCATTGTTCTGATGTATAGTCCTAGGTTCTGACAGAGCTTGGTCACCAAGAACCATGATATATGTGTGGGGTCGCACATCAGTATTTCAGGGGTAATGTTCTTGATCCCAACACCGAGTTATGAAGATTTGGATCTCTGAATGGATATCAGTTCTCTAGGGGTCAGAATAACTATCTACTAGGAGTGCGAAAAAACGAGAAACTTTAGTTAAGCAGGGTTTCTTGGTGATTGTGCTTAACCACCAAAAACTGACATTTCTTTCTCCATTCTCCCTTCACAGTGGTGAAGAAGAGGAAATTAGCTGAAGGTACCAAACAAGGGAAGCTTAAACCGTTTCAAAAAAGTGCAACTTACAAGTTGTTTCTCCATTTGCAGTGTAGTCACCTCTGAATTCCGTTGACTCAAATGAGTTTGCAGTTGACTAATTTCAGCTTCCATTTTAAAACGTGCTGTACGATAATCGCTTGTTTCATCACGTATTTCTAACAGTTGTGTTGCCTTTTCATCCAATTCTTTTTGTAAAGAGTCTAAACGATTTCTTAAATCATTATTCAAACGTTTCTGTGTTTCTAGTTCCTCAGCAATTTCTGACTCACTTCTTTGTCGAGCTTCTATCAAACTAAACAAATAGCGATAGTAATAATTTTCAGAATTAGTTTCATGTATTTTGTTGTCATAATGACACTATTTATTAAAGATCGATATGAAACGATTAATCAACAAGGATCAAAGGGAAATTTACGTACTGCTCTATCTACTTACAAACACCCACTGACATTAAATTAACCAGACCACCAGCAGATATAAACATTCTTCATGCAATACAGCTAAGGCTGAACACTATTAAAGAGTCAGTCTAGAGTATACATTCAGTGATTTGAAGCATTTTGAGCAAAAAACTGAAGAAATGAGCAGGTTGGATATTAGATGGTGAAGCATGCAAATTATGAGTAGAAGAAAAGAAATTGTATTCGAAAAATAACAATATATTCTAGATTCATAAAAAGATTAGAAGTGATCTCCGTCAATTACTGTATAAATCCAGAAAATTCTTCAAGTAGTGATTTTAAGCAGTTCACAAATATACTCTGCAGAGCATAGACTTTCTGCATGGCATGAATCATCATTGCGTAACTTCATGGATAGTTAGCAAGGTTTATTTTGATGAGATTTAAGTTACTTTTCGCATAATCATCATCCGATAAGAATCTTAGACGAGGCTGTCATGTGTAAATCAAGTTCAACGTTCTTCTCACGATGGAAAACACCAAGTTCAGAAGATGGTTCAACATTTTTTCTAGAAGTTTATTTACACTGTGCATCCATGAATCTCCAGAGACATTTAAAATTTACCACTACACAGTCCCTCATAATCTGTCTTTAATAAGCCTTCACAAAACCTAATCAGTGCCACTTTCGAGGGATGTCAGCCAATGTTTAATAGATCCTCGATATCCACTTGCTAAAACTTACTAAGCGACTTTATCAATATGACCCGTTCAGCATCTAAAAGAAGTGACGTGGTAATACCTTGAACCGAACCTTTTCGAATCTCTTTTCATGGTGTTCAAAAGAACCACTAACTACGCTTTGATTAGTACTAACACTTCAAAAGATGCTGATTCCTAGAGCTAAGTATGTTCAAATAATGACAATAATTAGTAATATATACACAGCTCAGTGAAATCAAAATACAAACTCAACATTTTGACAAAATCAGACAAACCATATGCACATCTACAAAGTAAATAATTTCAAAATGCCACTTTATTCATGTTTTTCAAAACACATTAAACTTTCAATGAGAAATTTTTGGCAGACAGACAGATAAAACCAACATAGAAGCACGCACTCAAGTACATCGACTCAAGTTTCCACACTACATGGTAGTATATAAAGAACAAGTGGATAGAGAAAGACTGATAGTAAAGTAGACAGAGTTGTGTGAGAGAACAAGTAGTTTGAAGATAACGGATAGCGTGAATATTTAAGCCTTAGATGCCAGGGATTGAATAATTCTGCACCAGTGTTACCTGTTTCAGTCATATGAACAAGTCCTCAGCCATTGATTCCTTAGGTCTCAAAGACCCCAGTCAGGCTGTCTACATCTCCCCACATGACTCAGACCAACAGTGACATACTTTTTTGACTGGTGTTACGTCCTCATCTGGCCATTATAATAAGTTTATGGTCTAACTGGTTGTTAACTAAATCTTGTTTTAACCAGTGACACGTTCAAGTATCAAACGTTTCTATACTCACTAACAGAATTTCATGTTATTTGTAGATGACAATAGTCATAAATTCATCTTAGATCAGTAATCATTATCAAGCGTAAAATAACAAACAATGCTTCTGCTACACATTCTCAAACACTCTAGTGAAATAAAAGTTCGGTTAGTTGCTAGATCCAGTTAAAGATTACTTATTTTCATGATCAGATGTTCAGTCTGGACATGTTTAACCTGTGTGTAGCTCCAATCAAAATGTTTTATCTTTCTAAAAAGTGAATGTGGTGCAGTTTCTTCGGGTATCGATTTTTGTTACTTATCTATCGGGACGTTGATCTTTAACTACTGGTCAATGTGTTGAGGTGTCCTGCAAATTAACTCCTGTGCGTATTTATTCATGAACAACCGCTGTATCTATCAACCTTGTTATCACCACACATGAGCATAAATCGTTGATGTTAATGTTTCGACCTCCAAGGAACTAGTCAATTTAGTATTCTCTGGCTTCATTACGTCAAACGTTGACTGAATTTTATTAGCGTTAGTTGATAGATTGGAGTAAGATGCTATGAAATGTCCACTGCAAGCAAAGTATCAAGCTGCATTATCCTAGAGAGACTGAAGGATGCGCTCGATTTGAAATTACAACCAGAACAGGCTGGCTGGCTTCAGGAAGAATAAATCATGTGCGGACCAAAACGAAATGCTACACTAAGCATTATCAAAAAACAGAGTATAGAATGCCAGTCAACTCTCCACCTTAACTTCATCAACTTTGAAAAGCCCGGCCTTCGACAGCGTCGACCGAGAAGTAATTTGAAAGGCAGCTGCTTCAACACTACGCTTTTAGTGCCATAAATCTTTATCAATCTCATGCCAAGTGATCAACAATGGAAAGCTCAGTGATGCCTTTGAAGTGAAGACAGGGGACAGGAGTGAGACAAGGCTGCCTACTTTCACCACCCATGATCTTCCTGATTGTGATCGACTAGATCGGACTGGACTGGATCATGCAGCAAATCGTGAGGAGCTGTGAGAACATGGTTATACGCTGGCTGGAGGGACGAAAATACCCCGTAACAAGATTTGGATTTCATTAACGATGATTTATGTATGATGTCTTGTGGCACAAACTTGAAGATCCACAGGTGAAAACTAACAAGTTGATGAAAGAGGCAGGGCAGCGAAGGAGGACCAGACTTTAAGTGAATGTAGAGAAGATGGAGGTGATGAAGATACCCAACCACCACCACCACCAGCAACAACAACAGGCACTGATCACCATGAATGGCAGAAACACGAAGAGAGTTGTCTCTCTCACCTACCACCTAGACAGACAGCGCAGCATCGTTCCAACTACAGGGCACGACACAGATGAGGACGTCAAAGACAGGATCGGAAAGACAGGAAGAGGGCATTTATCATTCTGAAATCAGTGAGGGGATCTGCACCGCACTCAACATACAGCGTGAACAAGATCGGGATTCTCAACACCAACACCAGTCAAGTCACTACTTCTATGTGATGCTTGAGAGACTTGGTGAGTTACGAAAAGTACTCCCAACAAACTTCAGACATTCATCAACTGCTGCCACCTACAATCACTCGATACTGAAGATCAGATGTCCAGAATAATCAGAATAAGCAACAAGGAGCTCTGGCTGGTTGTCAACGAACCACCCAAGAAGCCATCACCCAGGACGTGTACAGAAGGAAGTGGAGATGGATTGAATTGGGCATACACTGAGAAGGTGGATGGGGGACATCACGTGCTAGGCTAGGTCAGGCCGTCGAGTGGAATCTAAAGGGGGACGACGAGTTGGGCGTCGGAGGCGAGGGTGACGTGGAGGAGATGGTGTGAGGAAGAAATGAAATCTTGTGGGTAGTGGTGTACCCAGGTTATGTAGACTGCGGAGAACAGAATGTAATGGAGACGTGCAATTGAAGCCCTATGTTCCACTAGGAACCCATGGGACAAATAAAAATAATCTCTAATCCGTGTTATTACAAGATTCTGTGAACTGTATAAGAATGGTATCATTGTGTCACATGAATAACTGCCAATGTGTAGATTTTATAGGCCATAAAAAAATTCTAAAACAGTATAACAAAAGTGCACGATATAAGTTTATCTCTGTAGAGCTGTATACGGACAAGTTTGGTTTACTTGACCGAAATATTCATATCAGCTGTAGATCAGCTTGACGTGCTTCTAGTGAATTACGCTGATATACGTACCAAAATATTTGGTGTTATGGGATATTCTAGTGAACAATAGAAACTGGTGAATTACCGCATAGACAAGTGTCACGCTAGTTGGATAGATGGCTTATGCATGGCTGAAACACTCAGCATTCGATTGTTTTGCTTACCGCTCAGCTGTTTGGTCTTTCACACGAAGAGATTAGCTTCAGGTGACCGATATATACAAAGCTATTCTTAGCGTAGGCTTATTAGATGCAATCGACAGGAATCCCTGGTTTACCCCAGGTCTCGCCCTTGATGCCACTCGTCAACAAGCAGACTAAAAGATCCGAACACCTATTACTCAGTGCTGTAGTCAGACACCTCATCACTGAGCCATTCAGATCGTGATTGACCTCCCGTAGAAATGGGTTCCTGATATTCGGTTATCGGTCGAATTACAGCTTATGATAAACTTCTTAACTAACTTTACAGTGTAAACCAAGTGTTACTGCTAGTGAAACTGTTATTTATCTAAAAACGTTTTATTTATCATCTCACCGTTCAATCTGACGATCTTTATCCTTTAGTGTTTCCTCCCATCCAATACGACTGCCATCTGTACTGACACGTTCTGTACTTATGCGAGTGAGGCGAGCTTGTGCTGTTGCTAATTGTGTCTCTTTGTCATTCAGTAGGTCTTCTACATTCTCAATCTAAAGCATAAAACAAAAAAAACAGTCACTTCAAATTGCTTAACAAAACCTACTTTCACTAATTGCTACTGTTTCAAGAGACTGAGATACAGTTTTCTCTCCACGGATTTAAATCTGCTGAAATTATCATTAAATGCATTATGGAAAGAATACCAATGCATTCTATTGAAATATTTTGATAAAAGTAAATTACCGCACTCAAAGTTCCGTGTGAGAAATAGTCCGTGTCGTTTTCTACATATGAATGAGGTGTTATACTGTCATGTATTACGTCAGACATTTGGTTATATTCCGCAAATTAAAATGAGTCACTTGTAACAAGTGTTTCTGCTGAAACTGGTTAAGATTATAACTGGATAGTTTATTATGATCGGTGACAGTTATGATCAAATGTTACCTTCTCTGTAAACCAGTTTGTTTGAATATTTTAGAAGACTAGCCACTTGGTGACCTGTATAAATTTTTGGCCTACCTAAAATCCTACACAGAATATGTCCTATCAACTAGTCACTTCCAGACTCGTTTTCATTATTCCAGAGTCAGTGGGTTGTAGTGTGCACTCTCGTGCACATTTATACTATTTTCAGCTTATGGTTTTGCAATCTATCAGTAAATTTACGAGGAAACTTTACGGTAGATGGCAGTGAAGCACTGGGGTTACAATAATACATTACAAAACTAATACTGGAATAGTTGACTCTAAGTAAAAATTTTCATGCTGGCTATATGAACGTTCACCGCCCTAATCACGTATGCTTTTCTGTTCACCTCCTTTCTCACTGTAACAACCTATCCACAGAGTGAGCGATGACTTATCAACAGTCAATCTTCACTTTTAAGTGTTTATAATATTGTTATTAGTAAAACCATTTAGATGCTATAATTATTTTATTTGAAAATATTGTAAAAGAAGTACTTTTGTTGAAATACTACACAAGAATAATTCCATACAGTACCAAGAATACTGTTTAGCATAGATGATTATCATCATTACTATTATAATGAGCTCAGATAGTTTTCATCTAGTTCAAAAACTATAATGGTTATTCAGCAGTATTAGTGACTCTAATGGGAGATTCTGCATTTTCCTCTGCAGAGTATGTTGTTCTTGCCTTTACATGGGTGTCACTCTGGATTATCTATCCTTTTAAGAAATCTACTATTTCAAATCTTCTAGTCGTATTTACTTAATTATGACCTTGACTGTCAACATAATCATGTACATGAAACGGTTTGCCTGACTAACATCTACTGAGCACTATATCACATGTACTCTTATCGCATCAAAACCAGTGAAGCAGAGGCTTCGAATGATTGCGGTCACCAATCATATTCCTGAAAAACATCATTCAAGGTTCTTCACTAGACTTTAGATATACAATTTGGTTATTCAAAGCAAATACTTTGTGTGCTCTTTAATCGGTAGTCGTTAGCAGTGGAATCCAGGGCATGAGCTTTGCCTATTTGGGACTTGGCTGAATGTACCTGAATCCCAGTCACTGATAGCTTTCCCACTTGAACTTAGGACGGACAGCTACCACTTTAAAAGCCAGAGTGTTTTTCGGTAGGGTATAATGCCGATCCGGCTCCGTAAAACAACTAGAGGTGAAATACAACTACTAGTAAATAATTTTGTATGCGTTTGAAAACTGACCTATCAATTTCAATGAAGTTATATGACGTGATTTAAGATTTGATTGAAAGATAATGCTTTTTTGCCTACATCTTAATCAAGATTAACCTTTCACATTTTTCCTTTAATCAGTCAGTTTACGGCCATAAACCAGAACAAGTAATCTAATCAACAATTTATCAAAGTGTTTAGTCGCCAGATACCTAATGGATATAGAACATGAATTTTAGATAGACCAAGTCTAAAATCATCAGTATAAAGAGAACAGTCACTTTACTTGGCTTTAAAAAAGGAAATGAAATTAAATGACTATGACCTAATCTCTTTGTGTCCACTACCCTAATAACTAATGCTTTCACTTTGTTGCAAAGTATTCATCATATTTTATTCATATTTCCCTTATGATTTTCACTCACCGATTTAAATGCGTTCCTAACTTCTCAATATATGGTTCATTAAGTAACTCTTTTATTTCTTTCTGACTCTAGCACCTTTTATAATGCAGGAAGTGCTTATAAACTCTTATTCTGATTACCTTATTGTTATCCTATTTCTGTATTTATTTGATCTGTTGGTGCACATTACGCAGTTTGAATTTAACCTTCGTCTGAAACGGTTAGAGTACGTTAAATATTTATTTATTATTTTAACCATCTGAGTTAGCTGTGGTTTAGCAGACTTGTGTTTATACTGGGCGATGATTGTAGTGAAATTAAGATCTGGTCAGAAGTTGGGTCCCGTAGCTCATTTGGCAGAAAACCAGCCACCCGATAGTAGCAGGTTCGAATCACGTAGTATTCCTAATTTTCATTTCACCTTCGATCAGTACTCAGCATAAATATTTATTTCCCGGTTATGATAACGTTTAGGATTGTAGACTGTGTGCAGCTGATGAAAGCTGTCAAATAAAATACGCACATTTTATTCATCAAATACATTTGTCGAAGTTCATCATGAGGAGCATGAGGAGTCTTCTCTGTCATTTCCGTTGTGTACCAAATACCCCATCTCATAAAATATTGTTGATGTAAACTTCAAGTGTTGACTCGGTTCATGATGATAATTTCACTTCTGTTGGTTTCTTTCCAATACCTCTTCAGTCATTTCTCTACTACGCAAGCCTATTCTGTTTAATATGGATTTAAAGCTTGTATCATGACATTTGTGGATCTCAGGACCAGAAAGAGTTTGTTTATGCCTAAACCTATCTGTCAATTTTAGTTTAGTGAAGTCCAGAAACTCATCAGTTGTATGTATCCGGAACCAAAAGTTGATATTCTTAAAGACAGTGAAACCCAGCAAAATGAATGATGACAGTTTAGTCATATCTGATAGTTTTTAGTAGTCATAACTTCAGAAATACTGCTATACGCTTTCCACACATAAGTAGTCAGTCTGTTTTGATTTCAATGGTATCTGTTAACTGTTAATTGGTTGAGTTTTGAAATTTGCGCAAATAGTTTAGTTTCCCACGAAGTAAGGAAACAGGTCACACATCCATGACGAATTCTTGTTGATGAGTACTTTCACCTAACAGTTGAAACTGACAGTAAGCACTCAATAAAACCGGTCAGTTACAGTGACCTCCAATTACTTGCAGTCTACTGGTAGTAGAATGCAAAATCACCTATGATCGAGTTTATTTTGTGCAGTACATCTTTTATATAACTAAACGTTTTATTTTAAACAGGTAGTCGGTTCAGTGGTCGGTAAACTGGTTCATGTGGAAAGTCATTTCGCTGGATGACGAAAGTCAACAACTTAAACTTATGTGAGCGAAATCGGTTACACTGGAATTAGTTATGTTGTTTCTGCTCACAAAATAGGTCAGTTTACCTATATAATAATTATTCTTCCTTTGTCACAGAATCGTGCTTAGCAAACACATTATTATTATTAGTCCCTTGGGTTCCTAGTGGAACATAGGGCTTCACTAGCACGTCTCCAGTGACCTCTGTTCTCTGAGATCTTTTGGACCTGGCTCCACGACAGCCCACAAGCTCTTATTTCCTCCCACACCATCTCCTCCATGTCACCCTCACCTCGGACACCCAACTCGTCGCTTCCCATGGGGATTCCACTCGAGCAACTGCCTGACGCGTGATGTCCTCAGTCGGCCTTCTCAGTGCATGGCCAACCCATCTCAACTTCCTCTGCATATTTGTTGCATGATAGGTTCTTGGTTGGTTCGTTACAGAGTTCCTTGTTGCTTATTCTTTCTGGCCATCTAATCTTCAGTAACAAGCCTACGTAGGCAGTTGTTGATGAATGTCTGTAGTTTATTGGGAAGCCTTTCGTGACGCGCCAAGTCTCTGAACATACAGAAGCACTGACTTGACGTTGGTGTGAAAATCCAGATCTTGTTCCACATGCTGATGCAGAAGATCTCCACACTGGTTTCAGGCTAATGAACGCCTGTCTTGCTTTTCCGATTCTGACTTTGACGTCCTCGGTCCGCCTGTAGTTGAAACAGTGCTTCCTAGATAAGTGAAGGAGGTTACTTCCTTCAAGTTTCTCCCGTGATGTGATTGGAGTTTGTTGTTGTTGTGTTGTGGTGGTGGTGCGGTATCTTCTTCACCTCTGTCTTCTCTATATTCACTGAAGTCCCGTCTTAGCTGCCTCTTCTATCAACTTGTTAGTTTTTGCCTGCAGATCTTCAAGTTTATGTGACATCAGGCACAAGTTAGCAAACACATAGAGATAAACAATTATAGAACCACTGGCACTGAATGATAATCATTTGTGCTTTTTCAATTTTTCTAGTGTCCCTCTGAAGTTTAAAGTGTTACTCAACTGGTATTTACTTGAATACTGTGGTAATTAGGTTGATGAATTCAATTTTCAGCTTAACCAACATCTAAACCACGTTTTAGGCAACTCAATCCACTCTGTTTTTTCAATTCATGCTTCATAGAGCATGTTAACTTATTGATAGCAAGTTCAATGACTTTGATCAGGGTTTCCGCTGATGAAATCAACATGCTTAATTGTAGGTCTTCGATTTCGAATAAACTTCGCTTGCTTATTACAGATGACTGAGCGAAAGTGGCTCAATTTTCAATTTCGAATGAGATGAAAATTTTCAAGGGTTTTGTTGACCTATAGTCGAAGAATGTTCATTGCTAACGAAAATTTTCAAAAAACAACTAGAAGCTTAAACTGTAAACTGGTAAGAATTAATTCATGTTCTCAGTTCAGGCACTGAAACCTTTCAGCGATACACACTTATGACCTTGAAGGAAATGTAGCTCAGGACTGACAGGTCTCATATCCACTACGTTACCAGTGTTACATATTTTCATTGGTTCTTCAGACGATATCAGACCTGCTTTAAAGTCGACTAATACTCACAATCCAACAAATAAAACATAAAATGATGGTGAGTTTATGGTTTTAAGTCAAACATCAGGACGGTATATCACGCTATCTAGAAGATTAAGAACTATACCATTCACTAGCAAGATTAAAAAGGTTACCACTGAGCTATTTGAGGCCTGTTTATCATTCTGGTGATCATGCTCCATGATTCTATTGAGAGCATTAAAGCAGAAGATTGCTCATGACAGTGAAACAAGAGTCTAGATTACAGCCATAGAAGGCATTAGACAACTACGAAATATAATTGAACTTTATAGAATATACTAAGAAATAATTATGTTACATCATAAAAACTGTGTCATAATCTAAAATTTATGCGGACTGAACCAACTGTCTTCAAATTCACAGATTATGGTGAAAATGACGCAATTAGATGCAGGATAACCTACAAAATTCAAACAAGGTTTGTTTCTAGAACCAGTCTTCAAATCACAAAGTGTGACCTTCATGACAGTAATAAGAGTTTCAAATTAAGAATCCGGGAAAACTGGATGACAAATATATTGCACTAGGGGGAAACAGTCACACTGGCTACCAATAACAGTCGATCCGGCCTTCAAGTAAAACGACAGCAACTTCGGTCGTTTAAATATTTTAAGTTGATATTCATCCCGGACTGAGATTAGTTGGAGAAACACGGAATACCTGGAAACACCAAACAAGTGTTTCGGCCTAGTGTAGGACTCCTCAGCAGTACATACTCACGACCCCTCTGAGGTTAAAGCTCTGAAACTTCTGGTCTTGGGGAGAACGCGTTAGGCTTTCATTCAGAGTTCATTGGTCCATAGTTTCCTACTTCTGTCAGTTCGCGACATAGCGCAACAATTCACCAAGGTCTTCAGTTGCCATCCAATCCACTTCCTAATAGTTGATCCCGCAGGTTACAGCTTCCCACTAGAACTTCGGTATATTCATCTTGAAATAATTAAAATCCCTATAAACTTCAAACTAAAAGTTTAGATATTTCTCAGCCCTTAAAATAACTCAATCCAAGTGCATTATGGATGAACTCAATTGAAACACAAAAAAATCTGGCTAACCTGGTTAGTTTTGAAGGTTTCGATCTGTTTTCTTCCGTCAGTAGTTTATCTATAAAGTAATTATTCTATCGGTTCGCCTTACTAAATTAGCGCGTAGATTGAAGGCAAGTGCAGTATCACTCAAGAAAATAAAATTAAAAATGTATTACAAGTGAGTGATAACAATTCACAGACTGACATTTGAAAAATGTGAAAATATGGTTCAAAATAAACGCTACTAGATGCCATACAAACGACAATCAATTTGCATCGAATAAAATTCAAAGATCACTGAATAATCATTGAATGTAACTCTTGAGATAGGAAGGTAATATTTTGGTTTATATGATAATTCCTCTTAACCAAACAGAACGTAACAGTTATTAGACAATAAAGACATGAAACTTGATAGGTTTATGCTACAGTTTAGTTAGTTTGACCTCTACCATTCTAGAAATCATAAAAAGATAGGTATACATATCGTATGAATCTTGGATATGAACACACACAAACATACACACAAAAAAAGAAGTCTAAGCATGAAATATGCACTAATACATGAAAATGATATAAAAATCTACCTTTCTTTGTAATAATGATATCTTCCTATCCTTCATATCCATTTGATCTTTGAGTTCAGTTAATTCGTGTTCAGTTTGACGTTTTGCTGATTGTGCTGTGTTTAATGCTTTTGTTTTCTTTTCAAGAAGACTCTCTTTCTCTTTGATTCTTTTACGAAAATCTTCAGCCTTTTTGTTGTTGTTGTTGTTGGTCATGATGATGACGTTTATTGTAGAGTTGATGAAGCAACATTGAAGGAAACATGTATATATATATATATATATATATATGTATATATAAAATCATATGCATATATAAAGACAAAATTGAACAAAGCGAAGAAGATGGAGTGACTTATAATTATCCTTTCTTTACTCCTACATTCTTTATTATCTTTCAATTAAAGTAATCATTACAATGATAACCTCATTCTGTTGCCTTTGCTCACTGAGTGAAATAACGTGAATGCAATAAAGATTGATATAATTATAAGTCTATAGCTATAAAAGGAGATACTGAATGAATTGGTAAAATCACTGACCCTGAATACTTCATCCTCTGAGTGAACTAAAACCGACCATATGTTTATGTGTGTGTGTTCATATTCTCTGCAGACAGCTTTTGTTTAACTCCATTTTTTCCTACTGGCCTTCTTATTGTTTTTTTAAAATCGTATCATAGCTATATCATTGGGCTGAGTATGGTCACTCGTTGATGGTTTTTTCGTTAATACGACCCCAATAAACAACTATGTATACAGTACAGTTAGACAAGTAATATCCTCTTTCATTATCATTATGATTTCGTACTACATACTACTTATGAAAAGTTGAGGGCTAAAGTCAGTCATTAGAAGCTTTTTGATAGACGAATTGAAATGATTTCAGACCTAAACAGTCATTCCGCTTCCTCAGGACAGAGTTCATCAACATACTTATTAAAATGATCTAGAGTAGAGATCAGACTTGTCCAAAATAGTTTAAAACAGATTCAACCATGTTATTTTGCAAAACAGCCTAACTAAGATGAGGATAGTGCAACTTAAAAGGATTTGATTGCAAAACCCTGTTTTTTGAGTCAAGTACATGGTCAGAACCTAGAAGATTAAGTAATCTGATTATGTGATGTCAACTTAAATTGACCACTGTGTGCCAACAGATGCAGCTATCAAGTTTTAATTGTTGATAGAAGTCTCTTGATCCATTGCGAAATATGGCCAAATGCGTACACAATATGGCAGACACTATGATGCAGTAGACTAACTAATATCGATCCCCGCAAACTTCAAAATCAAAATATTGTCTAGTATTCATTGGTGACTTGCTTAAAGATGAATTTCCTCAAGTTCTTAGAAGAAGCTGTGACCCATGAGGTCAGCCAGGTGTAAGGACAAATACTTTCTGATGATACTGGTCAACGGTAACGGTGTATCGTGGAACGACAGGAGTAGGAAGTTGTTGACCACTGAATTTCAACCCAATGGCTGAATGCCAATGTGCTCCTTGATAGAAATGACGGTCCTGGGTTTCATCCTTGATGGAATCGCGGGTGCCTACTGCTGAAAAGTCGTTACAAGTATGAAGAGCATTATCACAGGGATCCTGGTCACGCAACCGAAAACGCCGACCCATTGTCACCTATATACCAAGCTATAAACCAACTCTGTGTGCTTAAGAGTATTGATTAGAACGTTTGTACTGTGCACAATGTAATAAAACTTCCAAGTGTAACTAGAAACAGTTTCATAAATCCTGCTAGAAACAACTATTACACTGAGTATGAATTCCCTAAGGAGCAATTATAAAGCACGTGTTAACAATTATAAGGTTCAGTGTCCGCCTGACTTTTCACCTACTCACTCACTCACAATCCACTGGCTAGTTAGCGTGATAACAGTTCAATCTTGATGTTAGTTGGTTTAAAGTAAGCGATAGCAACTGGATCCACGCCAGGTTTTGGAATTGTTACCACTCATCAACATGGTTTATTTACAACATTGATGAAATGTGTGCTCACTTAGAGATAAGAGTCCATGTCACTCGATAATACAGTCAAACACTTTGTAACACAGTCACTTTAACTGCCACGAACTCTCTGTAGGGTTGCATTAGATAAACTAGTTGGTTATTAACTAATGTCTCATTGTCTGCTTTACAATGTTGGCTTTGTATTCGACTGTTTTGGGATTTTTTCAGCAAACTAGGAGACTAACCATCGTAGACCAAACAGTTTGATACATTAGGGAGCACCATTTCAATTTCTATAATGAAAAAGGTTCCTTATGGCTGCAGGTATGCCATCCTAAGTGAAAAAAATGTTTGAATGTCAGTAATATCTGTAATGGAAGTGATTACGTCGGTTGACCTATCTATTACAATGATTAGTTATATCCAGTGGTACCAAATATTGATAATACAATGTCCCCTTAGAACGAGGCCACTTCTTCAGTCCAGATTCAACGTAAGGCTTTCCAATTCCTTGACAAGTACTTTACAACTCTGCCACATATTCACGATCCAGTACTGATAACTGTGTAGTAAATACAATTACTGACAAAAATATTCAGCAGAGTTGTTTGCATTTCACTTTCGCTAATAGCAATTGCTGCCCATGTATACACCACTACAAGTGAAATACGATATTTCATCAAAAGTATAATTAATGCTCCTTTGTTTCGAGGGGTTCTCCATTTCACAAACTCTCATGGGACTGGAAACTTTTCAACGAGATCAAATAAACAACATCCATCTAACGAAACAGTTGAAAAAATATTCTGTTCTCATATTATTGCTACAAAACACAATAAACCGAAAATACAGTTGTGCACTTTTAAAGACATAAGCATATACACCTACATCTGCTGTCAACATGGAGATTTTGTGTTCCCGTGTGTTCACTTGCTCTTTCAGCACATTGATATGATGAGTTTGATCCTGTTGTTGTTTATCGACCATCTCTAAACGTGACTGTAGAGTGTACAGTTCGCATTCACGTTTTGATATCTCACTGTTTAACATTTCAATCTGAGAATGAAAATAAAGAGCAGAATCAATGATGGCTAGCATAAAATGCTTATTTTTTAGTCAAAAGATTTCATAGCAATATTGAAAATAGATTCAACTCACCAGAAAACTTCAGGGTTGATATCTTGATCAATATACCAAATCTGTTGTACAAAGATCAACGACAAGCAGGTAAGTTGCTGAACTTATGTCTCCAGATAAACTGAGCTATACTTTCACCATTAAAACTGAACTTGAACTGTGGTTACATTACGAGTTAGAAACTGAAGACTTTGTGAAACTAATCAAATGGTTAAGACAATCAAATCCTAGCGGTCGGTAAGCTCAATTAGCAATAAGTTTGTCAACAAACACTGTCCAGCAGTTACTAGGATTAAATATACACCCAAATATTTATCAATGGGTTGTGAATGAAAACAGAAAGAATATAAGAATAAAACTTGGTCACTACGGTGGAATGTACTACCAAGTAAAGTTTTTTATTTAACATAGCACATAATGATACAGCACTAGTTCCCGAATGATGTCTCAAGCATAAATCACTTCATATTATTGTTATTATCTTTCCCATGGGTTCCTAGTGGAACATAGGGCTTCAGTTGCGCGTCTCCATTACATTCTGTTCTCCGCAGTCTACATAACCTGGTTACACCACTACCCACAAGATTTCATTTCTTCCTCACACCATCTCCTCCACGTCACCCTCGCCTCGGACGCCCAACTCGTCGTCTCCCTTTGGATTCCACTCGACGGCCTGACCTGGCCTGGCACGTGATGTCCCCCATCAACCTACTCAGTGTATGCCCAATTCAATTCATCTCAACTTCCTTCTGTATACTTGTTGGGTGATAGCTTCTTGGGTGGTTCGTTGACAACCAGCCAGAACTCCTTGTTGCTTATTCATTCTGATTATTCTGGACATCTGATCTTCAGTATCGAGTGATCGTAGGTGGCAGCAGTTGATGAATGTCTGAAGTTTGTTGGGAGTACTTTTCGTAACTCACCAAGTCTCTCAAGCATCACATAGAAGCGGTGACTTGACTGGTGTTGGTGTTGAGAATCCCGATCTTGTTCACGCTGTATGCTGAGTGCAGTGCAGATCCCCTCACTGGTTTCAGAATGATAAATGCCCTCTTCCTGTCTTTCCGATCCTGTCTTTGACGTCCTCATCTGTGTCGTGCCCTGCAGTTGGAACGATGCTGCGCTGTCTGTCTAGGTGGTAGGTGAGAGAGACAACTCTCTTTGTGTTTCTGCCATTCATGGTGATTAGTGCCTGTTGTTGTTGTTGCTGGTGGTTGGGTATCTTCATCACCTCCATCTTCTCTACATTCACTTGAAGTCTGGTCCTCCTTCGCTGCCCTGCCTCTTTCATCAACTTGTTAGTTTTCACCTGTGGATCTTCAAGTTTGTGCGACATTAGGCACAAATCATCTGCGAAATCCAAATATCACCACATATAATAACATAAATTTAGTCACCACAGAACTTCTTATGTCTAATTTTCATACTTCCATCAAGTCACATTCCTGGATCCTAGTGATTGTAGAATTTTCCACAGTTTCGGAATAGCCTTCGCATCATTCCTGTTACATGTGTTGAATATTTATTCAACGATCAATCTCTCCCACTCCATTGTATGATTGTATGTCAGTTCATGCACTGCAATAGCCACTTTTTTTCTGCATTATAACTTATCTACTAATTTCTTATGGCTGCGACAACTAACTGAACCCAATCGACTTTTTTGACTTCACAATCAAACCATGACATGTGGTAGATGAAATTATCTTGTTTAATTGGGTTTCATTCATCCTAAGGTAAACAAAGCATACCATTGATTTTGTGGGTTTGAATCATCACCTCAATTCCATCCTTGCCGAGAATTCTGTGTAAGTTTTGTAATGTTTCTTCTTAGTATGGTAACAACGTAGTGACCTTAATGCTTCACTTCGAGGAGTGACTCTAAAGGCCATCCAATCAGGTTTCAGTGTTTTGCCTGCTATGATAGTTTTACATAAAATGCAGGAATGTAATCGGTTACCTCAGCAGTAGTTAGGGTGACATTTAACATCACTCATTTTTACAATAAAGTAAGAAATCTAAGTGCTTATTTTACTAGTTGCTGGAGTGGTTTTAAGAGATACGAAGTAGCCTTAGAGGTAACCCTAAGCGGATAAATTTTTATTTTATTTTATGAAAAACTACTCTTTCAGCTAAAGTACGGATATCTAATTGGTCATTTCGGTAGATGTCAGGCTAGCCATTAAAGTCAAGTGAATCTAAAGACCATCCTAAAGACAAATGGAATAATCGGTCACGTTTCAGTATTATTTCTGGGAAGGTAGTTTTGCATAAAATACAGAAACGTAATTGCTTATCCCATGAGTTGTTAGGGTGGTTATTAAATTTACTCATTAAAAGTAACTCGGTTACACGCCAATCCCACATAATAGAATACAATTCGCCCCAAGATGAGTAACTTTAAAGATCACCCTATCAACTGAGATAATCTACAAAGCTCTCATATTTATTAAAAAGCTGCTCTTTTAGCCAAAATCCAGAAATCTTGCTTGCTAAGGTGATCGTCAAAGTCACTCCCGAGAATGATTAACTTTGAAGGCCACACTAGAGACTGTTGAATTGACCGATCAGGCTCCCGTATATCATATGGAAAAGTACTTTTTCACGAAATAAAGCAAAGTTACTGTTTACTTACTAGGGTGGCCTTCAAAGTCACCCTTGGAATATACTTGCCATGTAATTGCTGCTCTCGTTTACAAGCCTAAAAAGAAATAAAAATTGTTGCATAATCAAGCAGGAGGTTGACTTTAAAGGAACCCTAGCATCGACTTAACCCATAAAACCTTTGTTTTATGAAAATCTGCCTTTTCAGACGAAATGAAGAAACCTAACTGATTATTCCAGTAATTGCTAGGGTGGTTTTTAAATACAATCTTAGAATCGTATGAAGTTGATGTATGACTCTAACGACAATGATAGAAACGGCTTATCTAACCAATTTCGTTTCTTTATTTTAGATAAGTTGTCATTTTTTTCTCATAAAATAAAGAATCCTAATTGCTTATTTTACTGGTTCCTAGAGAGGTCTTCACAGTCACTTAAGTTGGTATCCTAATTTATTGTCTCAGTGGTCCAATGTCGTAGTAAGTATAACAATGAAATCAAGCACGATTTTTACCTTTATTGCCGCAAATCTGTCTGCATGAAGTTATAATGTTTACATGTAAAACCGTGTTTATCATGTGTACCCCTGGAAACCTCCAACCACAAAAAACTAAGTCAGCTACTTCAGTTTGTAAGTGTGAATTGTAGATTTGTTCATAATCCTGCGTAAGCTCAATCACTGATATTCTTCACGGTAAACACACCGTATAAATGATACTTAGTGGTATTTTTTTAAGGTGAAAATTTATTGGAATAACGAAAAATTCCTATTCAACCATAATGAAATAAATAGAGGCTACAGTGAATATAATTATCTTTTCTTATCCATATATTTGCAAATATATAAGTTGGATGATCTTTTTTTTATTATTATTATTAGTCCCTTGGGTTCCTAGTGGAACATAGGGCTTCAGTAGCACGCCTCCAGTGACCTCCGTTCTCTGAGATCTTTTCACCTGGTTCCACGACAGCCCACAAGCTCTTATTTCCTCCTCACACGACCTCCTCCATGTCACCCTCACCTCGGACACCCAACTCGTCGCTTCCCATGGGGATTCCACTCGAGCAACTGGCCTGACGCGTGATGTCCTCGTCGGCCTTCTCAGTGCATGGCCAATCCATCTCCACTTCCTTCTGCATATTTGTTGCGTGATAGGTTCTTGGTTGGTTCGTTACCAGAGTTCCTTGTTGCTTATTCTTTCTGGCCATCTGATCTTCAGCAGCGAGCGTAAGCAATTGTTGATGAATGTCTGTAGTTTATTGGAAATCCCTTTCTTGACGCGTCAATTCTGTGAACCATACAGGAGCACTGACTTTACGTTGGTGTTGAAAATCTGTATCTTGTTCCGCATGCTGAGTGCAGAAGATCTCCACACTGGTTTCAGGCTAATGAACACCTGTCTTGCTTTTCCGATCCTGGCTGAATTCGACGTCCTCTTCTGTGCTGCCTGTAGCTGAAACGATGCTGCCTATATAGGTGAAGGAGGTTACTTCCTTTAAGTCTCTACCGATGATGGTCATTGGTGCTTGTTGTTATTGATGGTGGTGGTGGTGCGGTATCTTCATCACCTCTGTCTTCTCTATATTCACCTGAAGTCCCGTCTTCGCTGCCTCTTCTGTCAACTTGTTAGTTTTTGCTTGCAGATCTTCAAGTTTATGTGACATCAGGCAGAAGTCATCGGCGAAATCCAAGTCTTCTTTACCGCTGTCCAGCCAGCGTATCCCCCTCTTCTCACTCCCCACTGTATGCTGCATGATCCAGTCCAGTCGACCACAATCAGGAGTATCATGGGCATAGTAGGTAACCTTGTTTCACTCCTGTCTTCACTTCACTTCAAAAGCATCACTGAGCTTCCCATTGTGAATTACTTGGCATGTGGCATCTTCATATAGTTGTTGAATGAGGCGGATAAAGGTTTGCGGTACTCCGTAGTAGTGAAGCAGTTTTCAAATTACTTCTCGGTCGACGCTGTCAAAGGCCTTCTCAAAGTCGATGAAGTTGAGGCCGGATGATCATTAGTTCAACACAAATTTGTGGTCAAATGCCATGAAAATGAATCATGGAAAAGATAATTCATCTTAACATGTTGTGCCTGCAAAAGGTAAGTTTATTTGGCAGAAGATCATGAACTGAAACTCCGTTATTTCATTCATTACTAGGGTGATCTATAAAGCCAACCAACTTCAGTAGCCGCCCTGGCAAATGTTAGTATTATCTAACAGTTTCTCTCCATTATGAAAATCTACCCCTCCTAGCCTAAGTAAAGAAGTCTGATTAGTTATTTAATGGATTCTGAGGTTGGTTTTTACAGTCATTTTTAAAGGCAGGTGGAAAGTGTCTAAAAATCTGGCCGTGGACAGATGTTCTTGTCTTTTTTTGTAATTTTAAACTCTTCATCAATACACTTCTTCAAAATAGTGGTAAACTGTAGACTGAAGTCATCTCCGGACAAATCAAGTTCCTAGAACAACCTTTTGACCAACATATGAAATGCATTTAATTTCTGACCTTCAGTAACATAATCATTGAGTCCCTAGTATGAAGCAGTAACTGATAGAGGTTATGAATGAGAACATACTTAGGGTGGTTTTGTATTACCATGATTCCGGTAATAGTTTCATACTCAGTAGTTTAAAGAAAGCCATTCTTTCAGCACTACTACCTCCTCAATCTGACTTTACTATTATGAATTTGACTCTTAAGTGACAAGCGTAACAATAAGTGTTCTTAGGTTCTCTTCTTGGTAAAAACTAAACAGTAAAAATCATCATTAATAATATCTCCGGCTTGTAATATAATCTGATGAAAAAAATCTCAATGAAGGCAAATAAATTTAATTTACAGCAGTAGAAAAGTGATAGTAATAATCGGATAAGAGAAGATATTCATCGTATTTTGCTTTCATTTTGAAAAAGAGAATATTTTTTGCTACAGAAACAAAGTCATCTACTTTGGATTATAATCAATACTGTAATCCATTCGCCTCATATATATTTACCTACCCCTATCTAGCCAACTCTTTATCTCAAATACACATACACACACGTTCCTTCTTTCTCTTGACTTTTATGTTATTCGATAAAAAAAAACAGAAAGAAATTAGAGCGAAAAAAGCTCCCGTGAAAATCTCTTTTTATACTCGTAGTAATGGATAAACAACAGGCTCTTGTTTTGATACTTCAAGTGTGTTAAGTTGAAAAGGTCTGTTGAAACATATTCAATATGCCTGTATTGTATGTTCACTTCTTAACTAGACTAACGTTGACAGCAAGTTAAGGTAAGGTAATTGTAGTAGTCTTCACCGATGTATGCGTTGGTATTGAGCTGTTGCATAGACTGTTATCCTGGGGATTTCATCAGAATTAAAATTGATAAACGCGTACCCTCATTTCTGAGGAGGTATGAGTATATGGTTTCTGTAGATGATGTAATTTTATCTCACCTCCTTGATAATGAGTATCATAGTATGGTTTTAAATCACATATGCCGAACTTCCAGTAATTTTGCCGAGAATTTATGCCTGTATCTTCTGTATACATTGATATTCTTGAAATATAATAATAGGTAGTTATGTTTATGCATTAAAAAACACAATGCTTCCATGAATGACTATCGCTTAACCCACGAAATCAATGTATCACCTTTCCTACCTCAACTAAGCCTTTTACCTCTTCCTGCAGTGCCAACAGTAACTCGAATGTAATCATTCAATGAAAATCTTTGGTTATTAGCTATAAAAGTGGTGACTGTAACAAAGTATTGTAGTGGGCGTCTCTGATAAGAATGTATATAAGTAGTATATGTTGAGAAAGTGGCAGGAACCATAGGGAATTACCGGCAATGGGTAAGGTTTCTGCCAAGAGCAACGCAAGGGATAATGCAGGCGTATTACAGTGGATGCTGCTGTTAAAATTGTATGAAGAGCAAATCAAGAGAGAAACAGAAGAGGAAACGAAGCATATATGCAAATGACGGGTTTATTGCAAGGTGTACTATATGTAACGACTACCGTTCCAATTGTTGGTAGTGAGAATGATGTCGCGTATATTTCCTGTCTCCTCAGTAACAGCATACTGCAACTGAATTCTCCTAGTGGTTACTGAAGTATCAAATCACAGAGGTAACGATATATTCAAAGGATTGTTTATGATGCTATTTTCTCGACACGGTACGCTTTCTTAAACCAGTTACGTGTTTACAAATATGGGATTTTCTGTCATTGTGGTTGAAACAGTCCCCAAGGAAAAAACCCACTGCAAACCAGATGTGTAAATAAAATGAAGAGCCCTCGTTATTATCCGTGAAATACAAGACTGACCTACTGTTAACTTTTAAATTAAATTTTGAAAATTATAGTCTAGAGATACAAATGGATGTGAATAGGAATCATTCATTCTGGCTGGCCTTTCTGAGAGCTTCTAAGAAGTGCCTTGATGGTCCATGAATCATAACCATGAGCTGGTTTTAACACTATATAAGTATAGTCCGTAGGTTTTATTATGATTCTCAATCCCTTAAATTTCTAGTTGACTCTTTCTTCCTGTTTATGTAGTCTTACATCTCTTCTCTTCATACCATGTTATTCTTAACTTTACACCCTATCTAGAAGTGAAACCACATTCAATTGGTCCATATCTGTCACCTTAGTCAAAATAGCAGCTCAAAATCACTTTCGTCTTGGAGAAACATAATCTATGGACACTCAATAAACTTTTCAGCCACATACAAAAAAGAGTCCTATCGACATTAAAATTTGGCTGTTGAAAAAGTTAATATCTCGAAGAAATGTCATGGTGGGACATTCCACCTAAGGTAAACCGAACCACTCAAGTTAGCTAGCCAGATTCCGTCGGTCTGAACTTTTCGGTTCTATGAACTGGATTTGTCTGGACATGCTGCTGATCGATTCGGTCTCAAACAGGCGAAACGGCTGTCCACCGCTTAAATGTGGGTAACAAAATCTACAGGTCGAGTGAGTGGTTTCTAGCTACTCAAGTTGTTCAGAAGTCTATTTATGCAGTTCGTAACACTTTTATATTAGAGATCACACCTTGTGGTTTGGGTTGGGCATTTTTCAGTGGTTATGCTATTGAAAACAAGTTGAGAAGTTGAAAAAGCTACTAAGCTGTGAGAAATATCAGTCTGAACCGTGCAATTTGACAATAATTTGCAAACTGATGATCCTATGGGAATAGAAATAGTTAAAGTTGTTAGATGTTCCAATTGCACGCAGAGAGAAGTTGGATGAGACTGAAAGTAACAGTTATTTTGAAATACGTTCTACTTTTGATTGGTTGTTAGCTTAGGAGTATGGCAGTTTATCAACCAATCCCTAACTGATTCCTAAATCAAGCTTCTACAAGTTTCCTTGAGTAACTTATATTCTCAGGTTATGCATATTTTATTGTCGATGCTGAATGATGCAATTGATAATATATTGTATCGTTTAACAGTTTATTGCCACTGATAGCAAGAGATTATCTAGGAGGGAAACAGTTCGCCTGGTTTACTGATATGAGCAGCCTAAGAAGTTTATTTTGTTGTATCAAAACACTTCATTCGTTCCTGCGCACATCTTGATGCAGTAAGTCAGGCAGTCTCTGAGAGGTGCTTATCCCAAAAGGTTTTAATAGTCTTGTAGTATCACACGGTTCAGTTTCACTAGGAAAACTTGTTCCTCAACTTACGAAAATTCTGACAGACAGAAGTCTTGCTTGACTATATGTTCCTTTAGAAAATATCAGACACGGTTTTCGTTAGTTTCTCCATGGGGAAGGTACACTACAGCATCTCTTTGTTTTGCTGGAAAGTGGTTTTAGGCAAGTTGTATTTCGAATTCTCTTTTTATGGATGAGAATGTCTGCTAATGAGAGCCTATTACTGAACTTCTCTTCAAACCTGCTTCTTGTGCAAATAAAATTGATGCATTGTGAAGTATTTGCCTGATCCATTAGCTAGATATGTCGATGATATCGTTAGCACAATGGGAAGAAATTAGCTAAAGATTGCTGTTTTTGTTCTTTTTACAAGCCGCTAACCCTTGAAACTATATTTCCTCTTCTCCTGCTTACAACTGCTTATACTTAAGGTCATGGTCGTCGATTCCCGAATGTACCGATGTACCAGTTTCTCTAGTACATTACCAAAAGGATAAAACTGTCTAAAGTAAACAGGCTTCAGTGACAGACGCTGACACTCTGAATACAAAATCAATGTGGAAAAGTTGTAGAATATGTGTATCCTGGAATGGGGAGTGTTTTAGTAAAAGTGTTCTAAGAACTGGTACATTCTTACATCGGAAGAAAAGGATTATTGTTTTCAGTGATATTTTAGTCACTGTCTTCTTCGAGATATATGGAATAGATGACGATTATTTATTCCCCATGAGTATTTACACATAATCATTCTCCCAGTTTGATTTGTGACTTGATATATTTCGTTGAGTTGATTACCAATCACTGAATGCCTTTTAATGCAAGAAAATGTCTTCTTGGTTTAGTTACCTTACATTCACACTCATTCAACCGTTTAGCTATCAACTACTGGGGGGCTAATTAGTTGTGCTAACCAAGTATCACTGAAATCCACTAACTTACCTGACAACAATGCGTGAGTCAAGCAGTGAATTGATTCAGCATAACTGATAGAAGAATGAAATTGGACAAACAAAATGAAGTAGTTTACACTGTTTCTCTTCACAGGGATCTATAGTTAATTCAACTCACTGCCCAAACCTGTCGTATCATAAGCTTTAGGATGATATTTTTCTAACAAAACATACTACTGAACTAAATGGGTGACAAGAAATTAAACACGCTGATCTGCTGACCTCACTAGCAAGATCAGGGTGATCCAGAGACTGGTTGGTAATTTTACTCATTCGGGCTGAGCCAACCAGCTGAAAGAGTCGAATTGTTTTGAAGCGTTGGAAAACTATTCAGCTACGAGAGATATCAACATAGATCGTGCAGTTTGTAAATAGTTTGCAACCATTTTCCTACTGTACTCTATAATTTATATACAAGCCGCAAATAAACAAGTCACTGTAAGCCACTGAAAAGTCACCAAAGAAGCCTTAAATTTCAATAAAAGTTCCAAGTTCGGTAGTAATGACCCCTTGAAACTAAAGGAGAAAATGAAAGATTAGATGAATCAATAAGTTCTAGTCGGAAAATAAATTCATAATTTACCTTTGATTTTAATATGCGTTCATTACTTCGAAAAACTTGTAAAGTTTTATCCAAATCATCTATTCCACTGCTAGTTGATGTATTCGGTGTAATGAGACCATCATCACGAAGACGAGTGATTTCATCCTCCAAAAGGCGTATTTCATTTTCTAGTGTTAAAATTTTCGATTCCTTTTAGGTGAACAATAGGAGATAGATGAAGTAAGAGAGAGTAAGTAATATTCATAAAAATAGAAATTTTATTTATCGAGAAATTAACACGAAAATGGTCACATTGTTTGGCTAAACTACAAGGTATGAAAAAGCCGCTATTGAATGTTAAGAGTCATCTAGGATGAATTACAGCACTTGGCTGCCAGATTCACAACAATGAGAAAACGTGTATGCGTTCACAGAATTCAACCTGCATAATCGGAAAGGTGAATTTACAGGTTCAACTACTCAATAACTTAATACATAATTAGCCTCTTTTGAGACTGCTTTGTTCAAACCGACTGGTCACCAGTTTGGTGAGAGATTTGTCTATCCAGTCTTATTTACCAATTGAATTTAACTCAGTAATAACATTGAATCTTGTGGAAAGATGAAGGAAGTCAGCAAATGCATGACATTGAAGAAAACTGTATTTTGAGCACTGGGTGTGAGACAAATATCAAGTCTATCTTCATCAGTAGCATTAGTTTCAGGATATAGACATTTATGGTCATGTACCATTAGAATGAGACAATTGTATAAATCAAAATTTCAGGTCACTCATTAATTTTTATGGAGATATTGCAATTTCTCCTAAGTCTAAATATCAACAAGTATATTCTGCATCAAGTTTTGCAATTGATTTATTACATGTAATATATGTCTCATTCACTTCATCCAATATTACTTACTCATTCCGCTCACTGACATACAATTTGGTTATTAAATCAATCACTACATTAACCCTGGTTGGTTTTCGGTAGGTCACATTCATTCAGATATTAATGGGATACTTGTTTCTTTATTTTAAAAAAATGTCACTAGTTAAGGAAACAGAGGTTGTAGTGAACTGAACTACGAGCCCTGGCTGCTAGTCAGATCACCAGAGCACCGGACCAGTGGACCAGAGGTGGCTGGTTCGAACCCTGCCCTGGGTCACATTTCCATTCCAGTTTCAATATAAGTCTGCTGAACGACAGCCATCTACGGTAGTCAGACAGACAAAGAATTCAGATTAGAATCAATAAGAAGTCGCCGTAATCAGCCAAGTCGTTTGCATCAATTAGACAGCTATGCCTAAATTCCACAAACTTTAACTAATAGAGTAAAATATCCAAACAAACAGAAAGAGTTACCATAAGATCATATTTGTGGATCGTTGGGAACGGATGGCTGCTGAAACAGTTAATCCTGCTCCAAAAGTATTATTTCGATATGAAGATGACACGTTTACAGTGTCAGGATCGAGACACAGAGATAGCTTTTTTGCATGTATAAACTTGGTAGTGAAAGGAATCGAATCTTTTCTATGGACTAGAAAATGGTGAGGATGAATTAGCGATGTCAGATTGCAGAATAAAAGCCTAATTATGAAGCCTATGAATTCAACACTGAGTGACACAGGTTTGAATCACCGGTGAAATACCGGTTTCTTCAGTCTTACAGAAACGCCCTGCTGATGAGTGTTAACAAGCGCGAAACCCATGTCAAATAGGACGAACTACTGATTAACTTCTAACAATCCATACGTATTATTACGATTTTGAGCCACTGAAAAGTCAAAAGCCTCCTCTAAACAACTATAAATTCAAGATTTTATTAGTATGGAGTTCATGAAATTCCATGATCTAACTGTCAAACTTTCGCACTATTATACTGAAATCTAACACGTTTTCAATTAGCACAGGTCAGTTTTGTGAGGAACACTAGCTACCTTCACAGTTGAAACAGTACTATTTTTAGAATCTTTCTGTTTAGTATCCTATCCTTTTCTTCCGATTATCCAAACTATCAAAATAGGGAGCCATAAGAATTATGAAATCGATAGGAAGAAATCCTTGGCTGTGGAAAAACTTCAACCGATCACAACTGGACTACCAACCAGCTGATATACAGACTAAAATTTTGTACCCAACACCAAACCCGATCTTTAAGGTGGTTATTTTGAATTCTGCAGCAAATTAATGTTGATAAGATCAAACATTAGAGCAGGTAACTTCTCTAAATATTGTACGGCACATGATCACTAAGTGATTCAGTGACCTACACGATTGAGCAGGAAAGTGTTCCTTCAGCAATTTCAAACATATATTTCCCTACATCAACATTAAAACAGCAGGAACAGACGAATGAGAAGCAGAAGATCCAGAAACGTTACCTCCTCCAAAGTTTGTTCTCTCTGTTTTAAAGTTGATAAAAGGAAATATATTTATGAAATTGTCACATTCCTGATTGTTTATTTAGCTGAAACAAAGTAGATTGAAATGAAAGAGGTTGACTTCTTGGTCAGTTTGTGTGTCTTTTTTCTGCTTAAGTTGGTGTCTATGCAATAATGAAATTAGTGATACAATTCATTTTTGGTGTAAAGTACTTCTTCACACACTCAATTGACTGAATAACTTTTTGGTTGAGCTGATAATTAGTTATGAAGATGGAAGAGCAAGTGGGCCGGAAATCTAGCTACCTGAAGAAAAAAATTCCCATTGCAGATCTATTGATCCTAATTACTATACTGAAATTCATGCTTTCATGTTGTAAAAGTTATCAGAGATGAAAATAGTCTATGAAACAGACAGTATAAAATAGAAAGCGAATCCGAGATGCTTATTTGTGTGATTGACCAATCAGATAAAAGGCAGTTCTTATCACTGATTGGTTTATTCACCTGTCAGTTGGAATATTGATTAAATAGTCTATACTCCTTGAGCATCAACTATTTTTTTAAAAATTCTAACGATAGTCATAGCCATAAATTCGTTGCGCTACTCATAATTAGCGGCATAACACAGTAGATTGGACAATTTATTCCTAACATAGAATGACCCCGTCACTTTACATCTATTAGAAAAATATAATCATATTTCGTTTCAAAACTGACTAAACTAAGTAAATATTAAAAAGATCACGTTTCGAAAGTTAAAGATCAGCTTTTTTATAACTTTTTCTTCTGTTGTAATGCAAAATTACTCTGTTTTTAAACTAATCTTCCTACGTGGCTTTCATGTCAACAGAGTGTCGTCATATGAAACAGATACTACATAGAAACACATTTTTATTATTATTAGTTGTCCCTTGGGTTCCTAGTGGAACATAGGACTTCAGTAGCATGTCTCTAGTGCACTTTGTTCTCTGCAATCTTTCGAACCTGGCTCTACGACAGCTCAGAAGCTCTCATTTCTTCCTCACACCATCTCCTCCTTGTCACCCTCATCTCAGACGCCCAACTCGTCATCTCACATTTGGGTTCCACTCAAGGGCCTAGCACGTGATGTCCCCAGTCAGATATTAAATTTCTTAATCAGTGAATCGTATTTGTTACTGTTCAGTACACTGTTATAAGATCTGGAAGAAGGAAATATCCAATAAACAGCTTGTGATTTTCGAATGGTCATATTTAGAATGCCTTATAAAGGAAATCAAAAGTCATGTTTATTGAAGCGACTCATTATGCAACTGTATTCTGACTAAGGAAACTGATAAAGTTGACAATATATGTCTTTTTAATCTTTATTCACAAATCGAGTGTTATCACTTAGTCAACTGCTTTCTTTGCATAAGCGTTAATCACGTGATATTTTCATGAAGTATTGTCTCTATATTCCGCCTTCTTATTGACTCATAACAAAAATTGGCATCCTTGATTCAACCGACTCCATTAACGACTACTGGCTCGTATGCGGATACATTGATATTGGCGGTAATTTGATTGTAATATTATAGATTAACATTGGTTAACAGTGGATTCCAGGACTCAAATTTCGTTTCACTTAGGACTCGTCAGATGAATTTACCTGTATCCTAGGAAGTGATAGTGTACACACTCAAACTCAAACCGATCGCCCATCGCTTCAAATACCAAAGTGTTATCCACTAGGCTGCTGCGTCATCATAGACCCTATTTGTGAGACGGATATAATTTTGTGTTAAAGGTTTTTTTTAGTTTCTCGTCATTACCTGGAGTAAACTGTCCTGTCACTATAAATAACAACAGTATCACTGACTACAGGGGAGGCACACTTGACTAAGTAGTCCTAAATAAGGTGCAACGAGCTTCCTAGACTCCACTGCTAACTACTATTCATAATAACTAATGATGTACTCAGTAGGTTTGAGATGGTTGAAACTAACGACCAGATGCCATAAATACCATTTATAAACCATTTGAGTTCAGTCATAATTGACTCTAAATCTAACCTCTCTAAGGTGTAAGGAGAAGTCATGTTCTGCAAAATCAAACTGGTTAACTCTGCGGATATCCAGTAGTAACACTGAATTTCAATCATACCAAGTAAGAAATTGACACTGCTTAAGGAATAGGACTCTTTCAATCAACGTCTGAAGAGTAATATGTTTCGTCCGAGGATATATTGTTTTGAGGTTGATACTGAGTGAAGCGAATCAAATCAGATGAGTATTCACGTGCCTACATTCTTCTGATAGAAAAAATTTGTACATGGTTTAATGGTTTATTAAATCTTGAAAAAACTGGGTAGAAAACCATAGAAAAAAGTCTTCAGCACTTTTTCTTCTTCAACAATCCCAGATTCCATCATTCAAGAACACTGATTAGCTGACTGACAAAATCAACGCAGAAGCTGGCATACAGATGCATCGGCTCTAGTTGCCACACTTCAAAGTAGTAGAAAAAGAACAGGTGGATAGAAAATGAGTGATATAAAAGTAGAGAACAAACAATTAGAAGATAACGGTTAATGCGAAAAATCAAGTCTTATAAAATGCCAAGGAGTGAATACCTCTGTGCTACTGAGATCGGCTTTCAGCGTTGTCACTAAGTGTCCTCAACCACTACTTCCCTTAGTCTCTGGGACCCCAACCAGGCAGTTTACATCTGCCCACATGACTCAAGCCAACAGTTAGGGACTTCATTGACCTGGCTATCCTTAATCCTTTTCCATCCTAATCCAGCTTCCCCCACCAGTATTTCACGTCGAGGTAAGTGGTGGCTCATCATATGCACT